CATTTTTCTGGTTTCATGGTTCTCATCTCATTCCTCACACCACTTTCCAAATTCCTTGCAACATCCTGGGGAAACTGAGGTAGCCAAGCAAAATAACTGTATGAAGGGCATACGCTTGGCTAGGAGTGGTCTTACCTACAATTTCAATTCTGCAATTCTAGGTTTTCTTTGGGAATCCCCAACCCTTCTGGCCCACCATGTGCTTAACCACCTCAAGAGAGGTTGATACTTGGAGGCGTGCCAGATGAGTTACAGCTATAGTCTGGATAGCCTCTCCTGGGGCTGTCCACGGCATCCCAGCACTGTTGCAGCAGAACACCCAGAAAAGAAATGCATCACCCTTTTGTTCTAACTCTCCTCTCCAAGAGGCAGAAGAGCACTTTTGAAATTCAACCCTCCTGTTCAGCTCCATGCCAGTAGGGAAGAAGATGGTGAAGCCACCAAGCATCAGGACATGAAGCGCTGAGCTCAGAATACTCAGGAGCAACAGGTCTTTCCTCTCGTGACTACCTAGCTCTTCCACTCTTGTTCCTGAAAAAACTGTTGGCAACTGGCTCCTTCAAGAGTGAATGTCCATGGTGTGACGCCAGCTGACTCCTGGCCTTTTGTGGAAAGGATGAGTAAGGAGAAGTTTCACTTTTATCCTCTCCTACCATTGGAAAAGCTAGTGTGGTAAATCTGAGCCATCTGACAACAGGCCACCTTTTCTCTCCTACCCTTCACAGATCCCTGCAGTCTACAGACTCTTGTCTCATGTTTTCAGAGGCCACCCTAACATTTTACAGACTGTCTAGAGGTGGGACCTTGTCCTACCCTGCCACCTCTGCAGATCTATGATTACACAAACAAAGTGAAAAGCAATGTAAAGGGAGTGGTTTGGCTCATTGAGAACAAAAACCTTCAAAAAGCTGTCAATAGGTAACTCCACAGAATATCTCAAGTTTGGTCCAGGCTCTGGACCTATTCTCCTGCAGGGATACAGCAGGTCAGAACTCAACACACTACGTTTCTTAGGGACTTTTAGCAGCCTCCTCTGGAGTTATCCACTGACTCATGGGATATCCATGGACTGCTGTTAGAAACCAGTGGCCACAAGCATGTTAGCATACCCTTGTACAGAGTCAGCCTCCCAGTAAACATCTGGTGGTGCTCAGAGCATGAGGTGCTCAGAGGGTACGCCACCATTCCCAGCAGGAAGCCGGGGGGGAGAGACTGGACTGAGCAGGAGGAAAGCGCCTCCTGTGAAACAAAGGGTTGTAACCACCTCTCCTTACAAAGCTGTGGAGAAAGGAAGGAAGAGATATGTGCAAGAGCTACCCTGTATGAGGCAGCAGATGGTACTGATATCCTTTTGGAGGGAGCTTCCTCCTCCCATGAAGAGCAGAGCTGGAGACCAGGCTGAAGGGTTTGCACTTATGCTGTCACAGAATCCTAGAATGGTGTGGGCTGGAAGGGAACACTAAAGATCACCTAGTCCAACTTCCCTGAAATGAGCAGGGACACCTTCAACTACATCTGCTGCTCAGAGCCCTATCCAGTCTGACCTTGAATGCTTCCAGAGGATGGGGCATCTACCATCTCTGGGCAGCCTGGTGCAGTTTTTTACTCTCCTCATTGTAAAACATTTCTTCCTTGTACCTAGTCTGAATCTCCCTCTTTTAGTTTAAAACCATCATCTCTTGTCCTACTGCTACACACCCTGCTAACAAGTCTGTCCCCATCTTCCCTATAAACCCTTTAGGCACTGGAAGCTGCTCTAAAGTCTCCCTGGAACCTTCCCTTCTCCAGGCTGAACAAGCCCACATCTCTCAGCCCATCTCCAAGCAGAGCTGCTCCAGCCTTGAAACATCTCCATGGTCTCCTCTGGACTCAGTCCAACAGCTCCATGTCCCTCTTGTGCTGTTGCTCCAGAGATGGAAGCAGGACTGCCGAGGGGGGTCTCCCCAGACAGGAGCAGAAGGGGAATCCCCTCTCCTGATCTGCTGGCCTTGGTGACAGCCACTCTTAGGTCATCTGCTACTTGTCCCAACTTCTATAGGGTTGGCAAAACATTTCCAAAGCAAAGAAGACAGCTGGATTCCCATCACAGAAACCAGAAAGGCATTTGGATCATCATCCCAAAGACTGGGAAGCTCTTGGGCACAGCTCTACAGACCTGGTCACAGAAAAGCAGGCAAAAGATAACCAAGGAGAGACTGAAGGAGGCCAGCAGCCAGCAACCCTCTCCCAGGGCAGTCAGAGCAGGTCGAGAGGAGCAATGTTGGTCTCCCAGGAGGTACTGGCCCCAGCTCATTGTGCTGGAGAAGACGTTAAGGGCAGCTGACCTTACGTAACTGGAGAACAAAGCAGCTAAAAACAAACTGGAGCTGGGAACGGGCTGCGGAAGTGGGACACGGCTTTCCTGACTAATCAACCAGCATCTGAAGGAAATCGAACTCAATGGCAGGGAAACAACTGCATAAACACATCCCAAGGGAAGAAAGGGAGTGAGAGGAAGTGGGGGAAGACCACAGGGGCACCAGCCCCTTCCACCTTTCCTCCTGCCGTCACGATTCGGGTGGCAAAGCCTGAAGCGCAGAGATGGAGAGCACGGCATGGAAACCTGCCGCAACCCCAAGGATTTAAGGGGTGTTCATGCTTGTTTACCAACTGCAAACTTGGATGGGCCTCAGAGATAGGAGGGGAGAGAACCTGACATGGCTCAGCAGCTCTCTTCCCACCGCCAGCTCCCATAGCATCTCCGTAAAAAGTGGGATGAAGGGATGAAAGAAGTGCTGGTACCCTGCAATGCTGCAATAGCATCCTACTGCCTAGAAAGCACTGTCTCAGCAAAGGCGTGCTCACTAGGGAGGTGTGCTTGGGGAACACTCCCATACACCCCAGTACAAAACCAGTGACCCCAGAAAGGTGTCTTGCTGGTGTCAGCACCTCGTGATTTTTGCCTGGGAAGGGCTGTACTCACAAACACATCAGCCTGCAGGGCAGTGCTTGGGTTCACTTGCTCTCACCGTACATCACTACCCCAGAACATGCACAGGTGGAGGGATTTCCATTAGCTCCCCAACCCCCAACCAACCCTCTGACAAAAAGAGTCTTTTTCAGGAGCCTCTGCTTTTCCAGGCATAATCCAGGGGGCTCCTGGCTCAGCTGCGACACCTCCATTCCCATGGAAGCCTGAGCCCAGCAGCCAATCCAGTCTCAGCCCTTGGTGGTTGGAGCCAGATGGGACCAGGGCCACGTTAAACATTCAAGGCCAATGAACCAGCTCCTTTTCTCCTCCTCAAAACCATCTGCTTTGGGTAAAAGCCAGTGACCCTGCAAAGCTCAGCCCCAGATAAATTCCCAAAGAAACAATTTGCTGGGGCTTTACAAGGAAGAGGAAAGCAGGTGAGGAAGCCAGAGTCTTTTAAGACCTGTGTAGGGTCAAGCTGCCCCACACTGGGGCAACAGGGGCTCTGGCCCTAGCAGATCTGCTCAGTGTGGGGAGAGCCAGACTTTTCAGGCATTATACTTGAATATGTGAAGCCAAATTGCTCTTCCAGATAGCTAACAGGGGCCATGGCAGCCGTTCGGATCCATGCCATCCAGCATGCTATTTTTAGATCATCCACAAAGAAGGAAACCTCAGACAACCATCAGTGTGAGCTGAACTGCAGCTCCTCAGCTGCTTGGCCAGCACTGTAGGAGCTGCTCCACCAAGGCAGTCTCAATTCTGACAATGGGAGGACAGATGAGACATGCAGAGGCCTTGGGGACATCACCAACATTGCAGCCCTCACTCCTCCATGGCAGAACTAAAGCTGCCAGCATGAAACAGGTGATCTGCAAAAAAGCTTACAACCCCACACCAAACAAGCCAAAACCTGAGCTGGTTGCTGGTGCAGATATTCCTAAGCCTGGGGAGGGGTGAGCGATCTGGGATTGTCAGTGAAAACAAAGCCTGGGGAACAGAAAGCAAAGCTTCCCTCTCCAGGGGTGATTTAGCAAGGCTCTGTGGCCACATGCTGCACAAGGAGAAGCAGCCTTGGCTCCATGCTTGGGGTGCAATCCAAAGCTGACATGAAATGTGCTTTTGGCTATGACGACCTGGCCTGGGGAGTACAAAAGGGAGGTCCTTAAACAGCAGCAGCAGAGGAGAAGGGCAGCCAAGCAACTGCAAAGGATGAGCCACAGACAAAGGAAAATGGAAAAAACTTCCCGATGTGCTGGGATAATTGTCCTGCCAGACACTCAAGAGCAATGTAGCAGTTCACAGTCAACATGGGCAGCCTTGGACAGATAACATCATCTGCACAGGCCGAATCCTCTGCAGATCTATGTGTTTTGGATACCTGGGTTTGCAGCCACCATCTCACCCTGGACTCAATTTAGGGCTCTGAGGACTTTAAAAAGGAGAGAGGAGGCTAGCACCCAAGGTCCCCTAAAAATAAGACAATAATCACACTGGAGAAGGACTTTCTACAGCGGCCTGCCGTGACAGGACAAGGAAGAATGGCCTTAAACTGACAAGGGGGAAGACTGAGAAGAGCTCTTAGGAAGAAGTTCTTCCCTGTGAGGGTGGTGAAGCCCTGGCACAGGTTGCCCAGAGAAGCTGTGGCTGCCACATCCCCGGCAGCATTCAAGGCCAGGCTGGATGGGGCTTGGAGCAACATGCTCTAGTGGAAGGCATCCCTGCCCGTGGCAGGGGGTTGGAACTGGATGAGCTTCAAGGTCCCTTCCACTCCAAACCAGTCTGGGATTCTATGACCCCTCCACACCATCCTCTGAAGCATCCTGATGCTAAACAGAGTTCTAAATCCCCAAAACATGAGCTAGAGGAAAGAGCGGTAATAATAAAAGTGGTGCCCTGGTCTGCACCATGGCAGACTTGATCCCCAAAGCTATGCTGAGTTGTGATGAATCTACTGATCTACTACTGCAGTAGAGTCTTCTCCTTCTGCCCAAGGAAATCTGACCAGTGCCATGGTGCATCAAAGAACCCAGGGCGAGGGGTCACTCACCAGAGGAGCTCAGCTGGCCGGCCCTGTCTGGGACCTGAAGCTCCACCAGGTTGGGTTGTGCATCGGAGCTGTCGGAGGCACCATGACCCTCTGTTTGTCCCGCTGGAGAAGAAGCAATCTCAGCCAGCACTTCCAGGTCCTTCAGGATAACCTGCGAAGAGATGAACAGCGTGGGGTGAGCTTTTCTGTCCAAACCCATGGCTGGAGACAGTGAGATGGGAAGCAAACCCCAGAGCACATCAAGAAAACTGTAAGGAAAAAAGGCTACCTAAGAAATTCAGAGTGGAAGTTTCAAATTATTGCAGAGGGGATGGGGCAGGAAAGAGAAAAGGGGAGGGGAAAAAGAGAGTTGTGAAATTAAACCAATGTGCATGAGGAGGTCTAGGTTTTGCTTTCCCCCTCCCCTTCACAACCCCAGGTTTGGGATAAGTCCAGCAAAAGCATGAGGATACTCTTGGGCTCTTGGGGACATACACCCATCTGCCTGCCCCCTGCACCTCAGCTCTCCCTTTTCAGGGCAGCATCCCAGAGCAGACAGAGCTGCCATTTGGATTTCATAGCCTTCCTTTCAGAAGTCACTGAATTAACCTATATATAGCATCTCTGGACAAGTTATTACAGGGTTGGTTGGGTTTTTTTTGTTGTTGTCAACCCTTCTCATGCCTCAGGCTATTTTGGGTCCCCCTTCATTCAAATGTCCTTGGGTCTAGATGTTTCATCAGCCATACTCAATACTCTGAGCGTGGCAGAGCTGTGCAGAGCAGAAAGGCTGCCAAAAAGGGCAACTGCTATGTCTAACTCATCAGAATCTAGCGCAGCACTTCCCTAATCACCCCTTGCCTACCAGCGCAGTGTCCTAGGTTTCCACATGTTTTCACAAGGCATCTTTCAGAGGAGCTTCAGTTATATGGGAGTTTTAGCTCCTGAGTTACAAAAAAAATACCCTTAACCCCGAGAAACAAAATCTAATTACATCTTTTCTTTTCTTGATCATGGAGAAACACGATCAAAACAGAAAACATGACCCCTGAATCAGAAGTAGGAGCTCCTAGGTTTTCGAGCAGGCAGCATGGTGCTTGGGAAGACCCTGTGCCTATAAACATAATGAAGTCCCAGCCTACAGCTCCTCTGGGAGGAAATAAAATAAGACAACAACAACTTGCACCGCTATCCCTGAAGAATCTAGCACCTCTGTCATGCTGTCAAGAATGGGACCTTGTGGCTAGCACAGGAGGTCACTGCCATTGCCAGCCTTCATGTTCATCCAGGGAAGGGAGTCTGTAGTTGCTGGCAGAGGAAGGGCCTTGGTCCCATCAGTGGCTCAGATAAAGCAATGCTGATGCTGTTTTTGTTCCAAGCAGAGGATGCCCCTGAGCAGACCTCATGATGGGTTTGGGCTGGGAACAAATCATCCCTTTCAAAGCATATAAAGTCATTTATATGCTGTAAGGCTGGATCCTTAATCCAGTCTCCCAGAGCTATCTGAGACGCTGCTTTGGCTTGGGATACTCCACGCAGGCTGCCTCGACAGCAGTGACCAGCTGAGGGCATGGCTGGACTTCTTGAGCTTTGGAGAGATTAAGGGGTGTCCCCCCAAACCAGCACATAGGTCATAGGCAGAAGGTGGAAAAAGCAGCGTGGGCTGAATTTGGTGATTGAAAAGCATAGAAGAAACAAGAAGCAGGAGGGATGGCTCCATGAGCACCTGGAGGGAAGAGCAGGCAGTCATGAAGGCCTTGTTTTTTCCAGCCGTGGGAAAGAGGCAGGGAACTCTGGCTCCTGCTGCTCCTTCCCTGCATGGTCCGGAGTGGGTTCCCAGCCAGGGATGAAGGAAAGCCAGGAGTGCTTGGTATGCACTGCACATCTCTGCACTAAGCAAAGCTGGAGCTGGCGGCTGGCTTTGTGCGACCCAGGAGGCTGTAAGAAAGCAATATCCTGCCATTGCCATAGCAACGAGCTGGCTGCACCAGGAGAGAGCTGGTCCCATCGGTCAGGAGCCCAGCAACTGTCAGACCCAGCAACGCTGGAGCACAAGGGCCAGAGCCATTCCCAGCTATTGGGCAAGGGCATGACCCGATGAACAGCCCAGAGGAGCTGCCATCAAGGAGGTTTTCCTGGTGCTGATGAGATGTAGGGTGGTGTGCCCCTGCTCCAGGCTTCCTGAATTGGAATGAGCACGGAAAGCAGCATCACAATGGATGGGGAGACCTGGCTGACTTCACAAGCCATTCTGAGCACTGGGATGGAGCTCTTTGCACAGCTGGGAGATGAAGAGCAGGTTATCAGTCAGTTATAAGCTATTACAAATAAGCAGCTTTCTCCTTGCTGGGAATAGGCAAGATTTCTCCCTGTATTGCCTTCAGAGCAGGAATTTTAAGGGCACACAAACCAGCTGGTCTCTCCTTAGCTCTTCCAGATCTAGGTCAGGTTAATTTGCTGCTTGTTCTGGTTGAAAGGAGCAGAGACTGGCTCTGCCAGTGGCGGTGCAGGGGAAAAGCAGCATCTCAATGGCGTGTGCTGGATGGGATGCACCTCTTGCATACAAAGCATTGCCTTGATGCTCCTCGAGGAGTTTGCCTCTGGCCAAAATTGTGGACTGGCCTGGAATGTTGTAGAGCACGGGGGGGTGTTCCCAAATCTGCTACAGACCCCTGCAGAACAAGACTCAACACTCTGCAGTGTAGCTGGGGCTGCAGCAGCAGCTCCTGGGGCACAGATGAGGTCAAGGATATGGACTGAGCTCCTGAAGATGCTGTCCTTACTGGTATTTGTAGCAATGTCTCAGAGGGTGAGGATTCCCTCGGCAATAAAATAGGGCACACAATACCAGGGGCAGGGTTATTCCTGCCAAGAAGATAGGAATTCAGCTGATGGTGCTACCAAGATGGAAACCAAGAAGGTTTAGGGCTGCAGAGCACTTTTTCAAGGGGGATCAACTGCCTTATATCATCAGGGAGGCTGTAGAAAAGCCTACAGCATTACCAGTCCGGCAATGCCACAGGAGTGACCTGGTGGGGACCAGGAGAGGTGAGGATGCTGCTGGGTGCTTTCTGCTGCTCCACCACTCAAATGCAGCTCCTTGCTGTGGCAGTGTGCACTGAGGCTGCCCCAGAGGACTTTACTTGTTTTATATTTCTATTTCCTTCCTCCAAACCCTCCCTCCTGCTTTTAGAAATCCTCCCTAGGAGGCATTTCTTCATGCATTAGAGGGCAGAAAAGGAGGCAGGACAAGGTCCATCCAGTGGGTAGTGCTGCAGGAAGCTGGAACTGCCCTGGAACATCCCTGTGTGCACACTGTGTGGGGCTGGATACCTACAACCCCTTCAAATTCAGCTCTCAGAGAGTCCCAGAGCTAATAATATGTAAGGGGTTTACTTTTATTTGCTACCTGTCTCCATCCAGCATCTTCCTCTGCACCCTGAGAAGCCAGGTACCCAAAGCCAAGCTCACCAAATCTCACATCCTACACCTTCTCCTCTCACACTGAGCCAGCTTCCCAGGCCAGGACTGCCAGTCCTCCACCGCAGGTGGGTTTAGTCTGCTCCATGATTTCACCCAGGAATGCTTCAGGCATCACCTCAAGCCCAGTCTGCACCTTATCGCTAGTGTCTGGATATACATACAAACCGTATATACATACATATAAGCAAGCCATGCAATTACAGTCTGGAACTGGTGCTGAGCCAAGAAGCTCCCTGTAGATCACACTCCCCACAAGAAACTTCCTACTCCTGTATGATGCAGTGCAGAGATTATCTTTCAACCCAATGCCCTTGCAATACCTCAAGTCCTTGGAGAAAGTCTCATTCCACCCTGCTTTAAGACTTCTGCTTATGAGCTGCTTCCATGTATGGCAGGCTGGGCTAACCACATTTTTCCACCATCCAACTGCAATTACATACCTCTCTCTACATCCCATCATTTCAGCCCTAAGCTCACCCTTAGTGTAACTTCTCTTTTCAAAACAAGCAGCCTTTCTGCTTTGGTATCTTATAGCTTTGAGGCCCAACCCAGAGAAGCTTTACCACCAAAAGAAATTAAAATTAAAGCCAGGCACATATACATGAGAGTTCTTCGCAGTCTTTGGTGTACATCCTCGCTTTGCATGGGGTCACAATATTATGGCCATGGTGGATTAGAGCACAGTGGCTCTAAAACCAACAGAACAAAGCTCCAAATCAAACCACGTTAAGATGGCTATTTGCTTTGGCACAAGCTTTTGTTCAGCTTCATTGTACTGGGAATTGGGAGTGGTGGAAGAAGTTTGGCAAGACTTAGTGTGACAGCAGAGCTTAAAAGAGCAGGGAAGAGACCTGGGCTTCAAAACCTTGCAGTGCTGTAGCAGGACACACAGGAGAGGTATAGGAGGTAACAGTACAGAAGAGAGAAGAACATGAGTATTCCAACCTACAGGGGGCTCCTCCTTTCCTAGTTTAATACTGAAAACCCAAGAGAGGGGCAAAATGTTTCAACTTGTTATGGAGAAGTTGGCTTGAAGGTCACACAGATGTTCAAGTCCATCACCACCTCCACAGGCAGTGGTGGCCCAGGCTCAGCTAATCCTTGTGAGGGAAGGGTACCAACTCTTGCAAAGTACTAGGAGCAGACTTCTGAAGGATGCTCTGTGAAAAACCTAGGGAGTTCCAAGCTGATCTAGTGGAAGGTGTCCCTGTGCATGGCAGGGGATTGGAACTAGATGATCTTAAGGTTCTTTCCAATCCACACCATTCTATGATTCTATGATACAGCTGCAAAAAGCAAGCTAAGAAACCATTTAAATCTTCTTCCTGCGTTTAAAGCCTTGACTGGCCACTGCAGAAACAAAGGTAGTTTTTCATGTTAGCAGAACTGAGAAGAAGCTGGAGTCTATCCTGCTTCACAGCAGACACCAGCTCCACCTCACCTGTCATTCCTGCATGGGTCAGACAGAAGTCCCAGCACAACTTCCAACCCCCAGGAAGATTGAGAGGAGCAGATAAGCAAACAGGAACACACACAGCTGTAAAGAAACAACTCCATTTTGGAGCCAGAGAAAGGCAAACAGAGCAAAGGAAGAAACAAGCAGCATCAGTGCTCCATGGTTTTCCCAGAGATGCCCTCACTGCCTGTTGTGTCCACCCGAACTCAGTACCTGGGTCTAGATGGGAAGGCCCAGGGAACTGAACAACTACCTCAGAAGCTGCCTTTGCATGAAGAGCTTGCAGAGGGAGATAACCCAAAAAACAGGTCTTCTTTTCAGCACTGCCTACCGGCAGTTGTGCTTTTAAACTGTGGGTGGAAAGGTCTAACCCACTGCTCCCAAAGAGCGTTTGGGCTTTAACTTTTCACCTTTTCTAACATCCATTCTTCAACCAGGTGTCTGGGCTGTGGGACTCACAACGAAAGGAGCAGCTTGTGCAGAAAAACGCACTCCCAGCCCAATCCTGTTGGTCTTGGAGCTATGAGGAAGTTTTTACCTACATCAAATTTTAACCAGGGCTTTTAAAGACTGCTTTCAAAACGAGGTCTCAAATGCAGGATGGAGCATCTCCCTGCCAGGGAAGCACAAGAACCAGCATGAGGTGATGCAGTGCAAGAGTACAGCATCTGACAACCAGGAATCCTGTATCCGGACTTGCTTACATATCAAAGGGAACCACTTGCTCCAACTTCTCTGAGTGCCTTTGTGAATCTTAACTAGGTCTCCTGACCATTTCTTTACTGGAGCAGGAGAACTGGGTAGTAAGGGGAACAGGAGAGAAAGCAGAGATGACTCAGGATGCCACAGATGCGTTGTTAGATTCTGGCCTCTGCTCAGCATAGTGGAGGTGGTGCAACACCTTGTACTACCTGAATGATAAAAACAGGCATGACAACTTAAAGGGCACGGAACCAGCTCCATCCAGTTCAAGTCTTTCCTTGCTTTGGGCCTGACTGATGGCAAGTACACAGAGAGACTCAAAGCAGCTCAACAAGGCCAGACCTTAAAAATAAGCTGCCTGAGCACAGTCTTTCAGTCTGATGCAAAGCCCTGACTAGCACTGACCCTCCAAAGCCAGATTCTCCTTTGGTGATGAGCTAGTGAGAAACAACTGCTCCAAGACAGCTTCAGAGCACACGAGGAGAGCAACAGCAAGCCTCCAAACTGTGCACAGAGGACAGGAGATCTTCATGCACTGCAAAAGGATGTTGAATTTTGCTGGGAAGAAAGATGGGACTGACACCACTGCCCAGCTGGATTCCCTTTGGGAAGGCAGCACTGCAGGAAGAAGACAGCAAAAAAACCCACTGAAGATGTGTACATACCTTGTGCTACACCATAGAACACATAAAGCCTTACCTAGGAGCTGATGGGTTAGCTTACACAAGATGCCACACCAACCCTGCAATCCCCAGCCTGTTAGTCAAGAGCTCCTGGGGAATCCCAGTCCAGGAATCTACTTCAGGACAACACGAACAGGGATAAAATATTGTACTGAGCAGGGTCTAATGGCTAACAGAGCACCCTGCATCCCCTTTTCTAATAGCCATGAACACTGCAGGTTAGCCACCTCCATCTGTCCTCATGATTTCCCAAAACACTCAGCTCCAACTCCCCTACTCTTCCAGTCATTTCCATTTCCTCTGCAGAGAGCAGCAGATCTGGTTGGGAGCCAGCTGAGCAGTGGTGTTTAATGGATTGATTCGTCTATAGATTTCCTCTAAAAAAATAAAGGAGAGCCAAACATTTCAATAAATAGAAGACAGGATTAAATAAAATCAGCTTAAAATTACTTTTGAGCCATTCCCAGTTATGTCACATGGAGGAAATGCATCACCAGGGTCCCTTCTTCACTGCTTTTTTCAAATATTAATAAGCAGTGTAATTGCAACATGAGTCACTGCGATCTCCTGCCAAGCTGGAGGGACTATCTGCAAGATGCAGGTTTTCTAGAGCCTTGCAAAGGCAGATGTGTGCTTGGGGACTCTTTTGGAAAGGTCTGTATGGTAAGCAGCAGGGTATGGAAAATGGCCAGGCAGTTGCTTGCCTTTGCAAGTCATTCCCTTGCTTGCTCATTCCCTTCCCGCCTCTCTTAATGACCCCCTTGCGCATAGGATTTATTGGGGGGTTGGGCTTTGATGCCCTGAGTGTGTAAGGCAAAGCAGAGAGTGTGTGATTTTTAGTTTGTGAGGAAGGTCACGGCTGAGAAACCAGACATTCACAGGTCTGGGCAAGAAGTATTCAGCTGACAGTAGAAGTGCTACCACTGGCTGTACTGAAGCTGCCAGATTCCAGTCAAACACTAGAAATGCTCCAGAGTGCCATGGAGAAGGGGAAAAGATGCCACAGATGCCAAAATGGAGACGACTGGACCCAGAGAAGAGGGGTGAGGAAGTAAAACAAGGAAATGGGAAAATGGTGCAGCACTTCAAGAAAGGAGCAGCCTTAGAGATGAACAGGAGAAGTTTAGATTGGATATAAGGAGGAAATTCTTTCCTGTTAGGGTGGTGAGGCACTGGAATGGGTTGCCCAGGTAGGGTGTGAATGCCCCATCCCTGGCAGTGTTCAAGGCCAGGCTGGACGAAGCCTTGGGTGAGATGGTTTAGTGTGAGGTGTCCCTGTCCATGGCAAGGGGGTTGGAACTTGATGATCTTAAGGTCCTTTCCAATCCTAACTATTCTACGAAGAACACTGCCTTGGGAGGTTGTGTACCTGCAATGTACCTGCACTGTACCTGCAAGGCACAGGGCAGGACAGCAAAGTCAGAGCAAGCTGGCTCACTCATTGCTGCCTGATTTTCTTCGCGCACTTCGAAACTGAGCCAAAATGATCACAGAATCATGGAATGGTGTAGGAAGGGACCTTAAAGCTCATCCAGCTCCAACACCTCCAGGTGCTCCTAGCAAACCAGGTTGCTTGAAGCTCTGTCGAACCTGGCCTTGAAAACTGACAGTGATGGGGCAGCCACAGCTTCTATGGGCAATCTGTGGCGGGCCCTCACCACCCTCACAGGGAAGAGGTTCTTCCTAATGTCTCATCTCAATCTCCCCTCTGTCAGATTAAAGCCATTCCCCTTTGTCCTGCCCCTTGCAAAAAAGCCCCGCTTCAGATTTCAAAAGAATCCTTTAGGTACTGGAAGGTTGATGTTGATGCTACTGGGCATCTATTGCGGCCCCACCAGGCAATGCTGATGCTGCCCCGCTAGCAGAGGTGCTGCTACCATTTGTGACCTCCTCAAGAGTCTGATTTTGCAGTGCTGACTGGACACAATCTCCCACACGTCTTCTCTACAGAGATGCTGCAAGGTGCCCGAATTCCCACTTAACAAAGATCTGACCACAGTCCAGGGAAAGACACCAGTGCTAGGGACATAAAGCCCCAGATCTCTTCCCAGGCAGGCAAAAAGGCATTTTAAGAGCTGGCTTTGAAGGACCAATTCTCAGAGATGGAGAAGAAGGTTTATACAGGGGGCTCCAAACACACCAGCCTAACCGAGGCTACAGAGCTTTCAGCTGGGCACTACCTGCAGGCTCTGCATTGGGCCAAGAAAGTTAAACTCCCCAGTCCCAACACTAGCCAAGCCTCAAAAAATCCCTCAGTTGAACCCCAAAAACCTAAAGTCCAGCTGGATGTGGAAACGGTAAGCTCTCAGGAGGACTTCAGCAGCTGTTGCACTTACCTCATCTGACTCATCTGAGAGGGTTCGCAGCAAGTTAGGGAGGAGGCTGTCGGTGTGTCGGAACATCTAGAACCAGAAAGACGGATGGCATCAATCCTACAAGCCTGGTCACCCCCTGCCATAGGAGCCCTTACCCTGGGGAGGCTGCTGGGGCTTCACCAGCCATTTTCCATCTGAGCTGGAGAGCTCTTCTTTCTTAAGCTACTGGGTATCCAGCAACCAAAACCTTCTCAGAAAAGGAAGAAGGACACTTGGTTGCAATGCTACCAAGATAATTACAGCCAATTCAAAGGCATGAAGCAGGCTGGGAGTGGATAAGCTCCGTCCCAGGGGGGAAGCAGAAGGCTCACAAGCTGAGTCTCTGACCTACCTTACGAGGAGTCTTGATATACAAGTGGTAGAGCCATTTCAGGACTGCAATTCTGGTCATCATCCCAGTGGACGTGTCATGAAGGTGGCAGTCTAGCACCTGAACTATTCCATCCAGGTTCAGGGTCACCTGGATCCTCTCGCAGCTGCATGGAAAGAAGAGAGGCTGGTTCAGTGCTGTAATGCCCAACTTCTTCCTCCCATGATGGAGGGGTCTACAACACACCAGAGGCTGCACCAAACATCTCAACCCTGAGAAAGCCCAAAACTTTGCCTCTTCCTGCCCCATTCAGCCTGGTCATCCACATTTCTTATTCTGTGTACCCAGATCTGCTCAGGGCAAATCCACAATGTTTTCATGTCTTAAAGAGTTATGACAGCCAGGAAGAAAGCTTCAGGCTTGCAAGCCTGGGGGTCATGGCTGGGACTGGCCAGGTTTGCCCATGTGGCACTATGAGACGGGGAAGCACAAGAGACAGCAACACACCAAAAACTTGCTTTGGAGACAACAGAAGTCTTCCAGACTTCAAGGTTTCCCACTTTCCCAAAGCAGCTGATACCTATACATGGCAAGATGCCACGCTAAATGAATCCATCTAGCACATGGCTGTGCTATTGAAGGCACCAGGTTTGGGGTTCAAAGACTAGAGATCCATGAAATGCACTCAGAATCCAACTCAAGTCTGACCAGCTCAAACATCTCCAGAGAACAATAATCTACATGTCCTCAAAGTCCATGACTTGGGGCCACCCACAAGGTGAGGACACCCAGTTTCTGCTAATCACAGCAGACTGATGCTGCGGACTGCAGAAAGTGCCTTGGGTGGCAATGCTTTTAGGATGCAGCTCTCTGCTACAAGGCTGCCCTGAGAACATCATCATTTCTCAAAAGCCATCCCAAAAAGATGAGGATAACCCTTGGTCATCAACCAGGAATGAAAGCAAACAACTCCTTTTGTTAACCAGGACACTGCCTCTTTTATAACACAATCAAGGCTGTAGACCCTTAATTCTTATTCCCCAGATTTCTCCCCAAATAGCTGGGACCTGCATCGGGCCAGGAGACTCCAATGCAGAGGAGGTCATGTTAAGGCTCTTATTTGTCCTGTTTGTGATCCTGAAGACTACATGATGGTTTCCCACCTCTTCAACAGCAGAGAGAGATGGCTGGACCCAAGATAGGTGGACCTGAAATGGAGCAGACTTCCAAGAGAAAGATGCACTGAAGAGCTAATTCACTCCTGTCCTATCCAATCTACTGAATTATTCGAGGCTGGACCAGACTCTTGATGACTTTTCTAGAGTGCACAGAGATGCTCTGCATCTCCTTTGATAAGAAATCCTAAGGGGTAGATTTCTCAGAGTGTAATTTGCAAGTAGAGCTGTGGCTTAACAGGATTTGATCTTCCACAGGACACACGTTGTAAGGGCGAAAGGAGGAGGCTGCAGCCCCTCACAGCCCTGGAGATATCTGACTCTTAATGTGCCTCATGGAACAGATGCCAGGGTCTGCAAATTGCATTTTGAGTTAGAGTAGGTTTTGCTTTGATGTTGCAAACAACAGCCAAACGCTCAGAACTGAGAGGAAGGAAGGGCTCAGAGCACGGGGAGTTTGGGAGAGATGCACAAGGGAGCAGTGTTCCAGGCTATTAAAGCCAGCCTGATGGAGCTCCGTGTCTGGTCTTCCTGCAAAACCAACTCCTGCTGCAGCAGCACAGCCTGCCACCCACCCCGCATGGGACTCCTGATGGAAGAGGAGCATGAATCCTTGATCAATGCCAAAATACACACTGCTTGTGCAGAATGATGAAAAAACCCTCAGGAGAACATGTGTTTTCAGGAGGAAGTGGTCAAAAGGAAGGCACAGAGAAACAGCGCATGAAGCCAGCTTGTTTAGAGGTGGCCCTGATGCTGTCACATCCATCACGTCCATGCTGCTGTGAGGCAGGTCAACAGCACGCAAGGTGACATGGTCTGCCACAGTGCCGTTAGAGGAGGATGCTGGACTTCTGCCAGCACAGCAACAAGCCATTTCCTAAGTTAATTGTGCCAAAATTGTTTGTGGAAATCCCTTCCCCATGAGCCAGTACCCAGGCAGAGCCAAAGTCCACCTGAGCTGACCCCAGGAAGTAGTTGGCAGTGCTATGCTCACCTTGAGTGAGCCAGACCTCAGCCATGCCATATACCCTCACCCTTCAGCTCCCTGGGCTCAGCTCCTGCTAAAATGGCTGGTGCTGGACAAAGCTCCTGGCTTGCCATCCTTTCCCACATCTGCCAAGATAAACTTTTTGGGGGGGGGTTGCTGCTGGAGAAGTAGCTTGTTTATTCAGCACAAAGCCAGGACTCCCATCTTGAAAGGCAAGAGGTCTCATGAACGTGTGAAATTTGGCTAAAAATCTCCCACCAACCATGCTCCTCTGTCCCTGAGATGGAGCAGCACATGCGCTGCCACCTTTCCAGGGCTGAAGGCAGAGCTGAACACGGGAAGTGCTGCCATGACTGCAGCTCTAAAGAAGGATCAGAGCTTGTACCAGCTCTCCTTAATTCCCACCAGCACAGAGTGGGAGCACCAGTAATGGCATTCCCTTAATGTGATCCTCTGGGCTGCCATGCCAGCTCCCACACCAGCATCTGCATCAGGGCAGATGTCAGACGTAATTGCTTCCATCTAACCCACTACCCCAGATTCTCCTCTGGAGGATGAATGTGGCCCTGGCGCCGCCTCTGTCGTTCATCTGTGACAGCAAGAACATCTTTTTAGAGAGCGCTGAACAATGATGGAGGCTGTACCAGGCTCTGACCTCTGGATACTAGCACCCTTTGCTCAAGCTGAGTGGTGGGGCAGGAGACTCACCACCCAGTACATCCCTCCCATCTCAGAAATAATCTTCAGCATAGGAGCAGAGCTCACTTTTCCACTGCATTCAACCCACGGTGATGTTTTTTACCCCTTATCAATTAATTTTCTTACTTTTCCACTATCAAGGGCTTCTGTGATCTCTCTCCTCAGCAGTTACCTTTTCTCTGCCAATGCCTGAGCTGTCATCTCCCTCCTGGCCTCCTGGCAATCCCAGCTGCTTTCCTGTACCTATTTTCAGACAAGGTTAAGCTCCAGGCCAGGCTCTAGCCTTTAAGCAGGCTCAGTGAAGTGGCCTTGCCAAGGGTGGAAATAGCCAGGTTCTTTCATTGTGGGCCAAGTCACAAGCGCAGCTCCCATACCACCTGGCAGCTGCGCTGCTCAGTGGGCTCAAGCCAGCAGCCAGGAGGTAATGAGCTCTTCTCTGCTATGGGTCCCACAGGCTGTCGCTTTCTCATACTCCATCACTCTCCTTTTGGTGCTCTTGGCTTTCTTCTGCTTACTGTGGTTTCCAAGGACTGGAAATGCCTGCAGTGCCAGCACAAGCCGATCTCCCAGAGAAGCAATGAGGTTAAGGCCTAGGCAGAGGCATCCAGTCTAACGAGCTGTATATCACTATGACAAGCGTGCCTATGGTCCCCTCCAGCTCCATCCAATGGCACAGTGGGAGCAGTGAAGGGAACCCACCTCCTTGCTCCAGTCTGGAGAGGAGGGCCAGGAGAAGCCTCCTCGAGAGGACATCCTCAGCCTGAAGGCTGAAGCACGATGAGCTGCTGGAGAACGGGATTCCAAGGCAGGCTTGGTGCATGAGCTCAAAGCAAGTCATTGTGCTGCCTTTGACCAACCATTCCCTGGGTGCTGTGGGGCACCCAGCACCATCCCTAGCTTCTACCCAAGTGTTCACCACCTTGACAGGCTTTCCATCTTGGTGGCTGAAAGCTGAAGGTGTACCAGGCTCTGTGGATATGGGGCTACAGAAATTTCCGGCACTAGACAAGCAGCAACAATTTTGGCTTTCAACTAAGCCCTAACTACCCAATTTCAAAGTCTGATTTAAACGTGTCCTTGGGCGGTTCAGCCACAATGGCAGCTGTTTGGCCTTTCTGCAGAGCAACAAGCAGCTTTATGTGTCCATTTGCTGCTGAACACCACCTAAAACAAGAAGACTTGCATCAAGAAGGACCACAAAAGGATCCCCCACCTCCTTTATCTAGCTTGGTAAGGTAACCTGGTCCTATCACCCTTGTCCAACTGTCATACATCTAACCCAGGCTGCTGCCTGCCAGCCATGCCTTTGGAACTTGTTTCAAACTGCCCAGATCTTGTACTGAAAACACCAATGCAGCTACAAGAGCCTAAAAGGCACTTTCCAGCTGCTTTGGTCCAGTGACACAGGACAGACATCTGCATCTTCTCCTGCAGCAGTTCAGACTGACAGAAGAAAGCCTGGACTCTGCTCCAGCAGCCATACTTCCCACCTCCCCTTCCTGACCCAGGCTCACAGCAGCCATCGCAGCATCAGCACAGTCAGCTAGGCCACAGAAAAAGTCCACTCCCTCTGAAACACAGTTCTGGTCCACCTCTGGTGAGAGATTTTGCAGACACTGGAAGCAGGGACCTCCACCTGCATGGGGAGCCCCTAATCAACTCCAGCCTCCTGCAGCAGGGCTTTCCCAGGAGCCAGTTTCTGTCTTGGCACACAGTCCTCATTTTCTAGTAACTGCCACCAGGAAGCTCCCTCCAAGTGAAGCTGACAATTACCCTGGAAGCATTTTGGGCTGCCAACAGCACATTTTAGGAGGGGGGGTGGGAGGAAGGGGGCTATGTGTGTCAGTTTGGGGCCACAGAAATGTGCCCAGCATCCATGTATCAAGCACTGAGGCCCTGTCATTTTCTTGGATGACATCTTCATGGAAGACAATCCTCTGCAGATGCTGGGCTGTAGCTCCTCCACCTATGCTGATAGAGATCCTTCTCCTTCACTTCTCTCCACTGCTGCAGTCTATCCCACTGCAGACCTCAGCCGTGCAGGAGGGCAGGAGAAGGGGGTGTGAGAGCTGGATGGCAGGAGCTGGATGTCTGGCACCAGGCCATTCTCCAGCACTCACTGGGGAAGACTGGGGAAAGCAGGGGGGAACCAACAAAAAAAAAAAAAAAAAAAAAACAAGCAAAGAATGAATTCATCTTCAAAGGTAGCTGCAACTTCCTCCTTCTGCAGGCCTTCTACCTTTCCAAAGCAAGGACACGATTTCTTGTGGTCCTGTCATGACACCCAGTGGGCATTCAACATGCAGGCAGCTGCCTGCTCCCTGGTATGAATTACAGCTGCAGCTGGTGCCATCTCTCACCTCCCAGCACCAGGGACAAGCCAGGCAGCCTAAGCAACAGATGGAGCACTGGGCTGATGTCCATGGCTCCTGTCAGCCTCCAACAGACTCCAAACCATGACAATCCCCCCACAGTGGATGCCACAGTGAAAAGGTTTCAGGTCCTGATGCGGGGACAGCAGAGAGGTCCCACAAGATGGCCTGAGACTAGGTAAACCCCAGGATAAAACTTGGAGTCTCCTTTTCAAAAAGGCTTAGAATGGCTCAAGAACAAGTCCTTCTGTAAAACCAGGTCTTCTCTTAGAGAGGCAAAGGATCTTGCCAGCTGTCCTGGATGGTTCTCCCTGTTTTTTCTTTTAGCTTGGGCTCTCAGTGACTCTATGACCAAGTCACTCCAGCTCTCCCTGCTTTTATCCCCCACTGGTCTTCTCTCCCTCTCTCCCCCCCCACAACTTCTTCAGCACAGAGAAGCAGTTATCACTTGCCCTCCTGAACTTAATGCCTTTCCTTTTCCTTCCCCTTCCTAGTTTCAGTCCTATGTACTCCCACTTCAGTACCTGCTAAACTTTAAGGGCTGAGCAGGGCCGGGACAGATGCAGCAATCACAGGAAAGCCAGGGAAAACCATTTAACAGCTATAAAATGAAATCCAAGTGAAAATGAAAAGACCTATACTATCAAGAGAGGAAAAAAATTAAGGGCATCATTAAGACCAGGGAGTAGCTGGGCTTTGCAGGAATGGAAAAAAGGGAACTGAAGATACAGACCATCCAAACTGAAAAGCAGATGCTTGCATTGCTCTAGGATGCATTATGATGGGCATCACGCATCAGCCTCACTGATACGATGCAGCTAGAGTAGCAGATCCTAGTTTGGGAACCACACCAACCAAATACATGCATCATCACAATAACAGTGTTGGAAATCACGACCTCTTAGGAAAAGTACTGCAGGCAGCAGTAGAAAAGTAAATGCGATTTAAAATCAGATATATTTGATTCCAGATTAACTGACAGCTGGATGGGGAAAAAAGGTATTTGCAGGAGAGATTATTCAGATGAGATATTGTGCCCCCAGCAGACCACACACCGCTGTTCCTCTCCCACCACTCCTCTGCAGAGGCAGGAGGGAACCAAACGCCTCCTGTTTTGGCCAAGCGAGAAAATCCGTAACTAAAATGACCATACACCTCCCAATCTTCAGCCTGTCTTCTAGGCAGAGTGACCAACCATGGGGGTTTAAAGATAGGCAAAGTGCAGAATCCTGAGTGCACTGCTGCTTCATCAGACCCACCCCAGGGGGCTTTGCAAAGTCTCCTGAGGGAGCAAACCCCTCAGTTTACGACAAAGTCAAGATATTTTGGTGCAGGTGCATCAGAAAGAAACAGCAACTCCTAAAGCATCCACCCCACTGTGGACCAGAAGACTCCAACTGCTTTCCAGCCCAGACCATCATTCCCCAAAGTTATGTCAGTTGCTGTCTGCACCCTGAGAAACTTCTCCTTCTTTCCAAGCCCCTCTGAAGCAACAAACAGACCCTACCTGGATGCTGTTAAGACATTGTCGCTGAAGCTGGAATCACTGGCTACGTCCAGAAAGCCTGGGGGCAGGTAAATAGGAGACACAGTTAGTGGGATGACAGGGAAGGCAGAGTATGGAGAGCTGCATGACCTTCTGCAAAGCCACCATTTGACAGTCTGGGGACCCTGAGGATCCCTTCTACCTGCACTGAGCCTTTAACACTCCATGCTTGTCAAAGTCTTCTCCACTGCCAGAGGTACTGCACAAAGCTGGCACAGGCCTGCACTTACCTCGCAAAATGCAGGCTGCACAGCTTCAAAACTCTGCCCCAAACTGGGTTTCCTCTGCAACAGAGACCCACAAACATCCTTCTGATGGTTTCAACCACTCCCAAAGAAGGAGCTCAGAATGGTGTCATAGAATCACAAGATAGTTTGGGTTGAAGGGACCTTAAAGTTCATCCAGTTCCAACCCCCTGTCATGGGCAGAGACACCTTCCACTAGAGCAGGTTGCTTCAAGCCCCGTCCAAGCTGACCTTGAACACTGCCAGGGATGGGGCAGCCACAGCTTCTCTGGGCAACCTGTGCCAGGGCCTCACCACCCTCACAGGGAAGAGCTTTCTAATATCTAATCTAAGTAGATAGACACATAGATATTATATATAAATTATTATGTATAACAAATATTAAGTTATCTGACATGACTAGAACTAGTTATTCCAGAAAATTTTGTGTTTCAAAGAGCTTGCAAGATCTCCAGCCACACTTCAACTCACTGGAATTTTAAATTCAGAAGACTCATTAAATTAAAATAGTGCAGAGCTGGCTTCTACTGTACAGATTTCAAGGCCTAGAGATACCACACAAGCACAGAAAAGGCTGAGTCCAACCCAGGACATCTCCACTTGGCCAGCATTGCTATAGCATGACTCCATGTGGAAGCCAAGCAACCCAAATAGCTTTTCAGCCTCTGCTCTGTGCTAAAACTGGGTCTTACAAGAATGGTGAAAACAGGACAGGATGAACTTTACTCTTCATGCCCCTTTGTACCCACGGCCTTTACTCACACATGCAACAGCGCCACCACACCAGCACAAGGGACCAGACCTGCAATAGCATCACAGGTTTATCTGATCCTGGCCACTTCAAGGTACAATCCAACCCAAAAGGGGTAGAGATTGAAGTGGTTGAACTTTCTGTTGATGTTTTAAAGGTCTTCTGCCATAGATTTTAATAAAAGGAGGTATTCTTGGAACAAACAAAGAATAAAACTTTTTGGTGCTGTGCTACAGCCCTGAAAATTTTCCCTTCCAAAAAGCTACTGCATTGGCCGGGAATCGAACCTGAGCCTCCCAGGTGGCAGGTGAGAATTCTACCACTGAACCACCAATGCTTCCCTTTGCAGTATTTTGTGCACATCCATCTGTGGATGCCTGCACAGCTCCTGCCTCTTCGCCTTGCACCCAGCTGCTGCTGAACAAGAAAAATCCTCAGCCTTTCAATTTCCACTTTCCTGCTCCCTCTTGCAGGGAAGTGGGAAACCCTTTGACAAGATTTTCCAAAAGCCACTTGCAGGCATGTTACAGAACTGCACCGGGCTGAAGGTGCAGCCCCAGAATACAGCAGATTAGCTTGTGTGATGTAAATGTTACATGTATTTCACACACCTGGACAAGAAGATGTGCCAGATGCAGCATTTAGTCATGCCAGGACAACAGCATCAAAGGGATGCGGCTGGAAAGCTAAAGCTGCTGCTGTTTCCAGGCATTGAGCCACTGGGAGCTTCTCGGTTTAGTTTCTTCTCACTTGAACACTCTTTCAGGTCTCCCATAACACTTGCAGACTTTACCTTTTCCATTCTGGAAACTTTAGGGCTGGAACAATACTTCTGTGAGGTGATGGCCACAAGAACACCATGAATTCTGGAAAGGACTGAAAATTCTTCTCCTTTCTGTTCCCTACCCTTACCCAACACAGACACCCCCCACAAAGGTGCTGGTGCTGGTGCTCTCCCTAGACTAACACAGCTCCCCAAGCTCTCATTTGAGAGCATCACAGCTCCTTTTAAACCAGTCAGTGCAGGACAGGTGGGCTATTCTCTTCCTGTGTTATGTAGCAAGGCACTAAACATTTTAACTATAAATTATCATTTTCTGGTCAACTTAATGACTTAAGTTGAAGTGCAGCGTGGCAAGGGGATGCTCACCAGGGAGTGCAGCAGTGCCTGCGAACCAGGCCTATCAGTGACTCTGCTACAGCACCAAGGCTCAAAGAAAGCAGAAGGGTCCCATGTGCCCTGAGTTGCCACAGGACACCAAACCAACTCAGAATTTCTCTTGAGGACCTTCCTTTGACCTTCTTCACACTCTAATGGATCAGAATAAGGAGAGACTCACCACTGGATCCTGCCTCTGGCTTGGAGACGAACTCCTCCGAGGTGGGCTCTGCCGATAGGGTTGTCAACTGCCTAGCTTCATCCATTTCATCGTCCTCTGGGATGACAAGCTTCATCAGGCTCTGGTTGCACACATTCGCCACCTGCTTGATATCTGAGTGGAGCCAGTGTAAGGAACACACAGTCCCACACACAGAAGGGGCAACATCCGGCCAGCCACGGAGAAGACATCACAGCCCCACCATGGCTGCCCCAGCCCAGGTACTGCAACTCCCCATAGTTCCAAAGTGCAGATTTCAGCACTTGGTGGGACTTCTGCTAGCCCTGTCCAGCTATGTAGCTGGCCCTGCATCCCAGAGGCAGGGAACAGGCACTTCCCTGTGGGTTGTAGCAGGAATGGGAGCAGCTCCAAGTTACAAGGATACTCTTCTTGCGATCGTCGTAGGAGAGACACGGCAGGACAGCAGTCAGAATTCCTGAGGAGTAAGGCAGCATCACCCGGCCAGCCAGCTGGATGAACTCCCTCATCCAGCACATAGCTGTCAGCTGGATCAGGTCATCTGGAAGACATGTGACAAAGGTAAGGGAAAGGACAGCACTGGTAGCTGAGCAGACTCCACAGCCAAGCACCATCTGCAAGCAGAAATGCCTCAGCTCCATCCAGAGTCACTAGCTCAGAATAACCATAATCTGCGACAGTTTGGTCTCAGAGGAGGTATATAAGACCTAGTCTGCAGTGAGGTTGAGATTAAACACAAACATTAGGTTTCAGAGTTAACCCAGTTCAATCCATGGTGTTTCCTCATTTACAAGTATTCTGTCAAATTTCCGAATGCATAAGGTTATTTCCTCTGTCACACCCGTAGCAGCTGTTGTGTGTGGGTCAAACATCACTTGTGGCTTTAAACTCCCTAAATTCTGGAATAGGGAGCACTGCTGGGGCAGTCACCCAAGGCAAGGCTGAATTTTAGGCTTAAACACTGTAAATTCATGGGGCATCAGTTCAATCAGGAGCAAGCAGTCTGGGTCTATTTCTGCATTTCTGTCTCAGAAGAAACCCACTCCCATTCAGCAATGTTTAAAGAGCAGCTTAAGTTCAATGAACTCAGCTCACGGGTAAGATCCTTCTCAGGAAATACATCCAGCTGCAGCTGTAACCCTCTGCCACTGCCTACAGCAGACCTGTAGGAGCTAGAGCATGGTGTGGCACACCAAACTTAACTGTCTGCCTATGCACCCAGTGCCAGCAGAGGTTAAACCCCTAAGGAGATCCTTAGATGTACTGGATATCCCCAGCCAGATATTTTACTTTCAGGCACTTCCACTTCAGGAGGATGCCAGAGCTGTATTTGAGGCTGGGGATGAGCAGTACAAGAGCAGTAGCTGCCTGTTCCTCCCTTTCAGTAGGATTTGCATGCATGATGACAAAGAAAAGCCAAGTAGGTGAGTGGTGAACAGCCACTGGAAAACTCCTGGCCTATGGTCAAGCACCACAAAGACGGCGGTGGACACTGCTGCTTGGTCCTTACCTGCTGCCTGGCAATGGATCACCAGGATATTGGCCATTTCTGCAAACTTGACGCTGGAGGGATTCTTCTTGATCTCCTTGAGGAACTCCCCTAGAGCCATCTCACACCTGCAGAAAGGCAAAGCAGCTGGTCAGTGCTTGAGGATCTTGCATGAAGAAGTTATGGGGACCATACAGAGAAGTTACAGATATCAGCCTCCTATAGGCATAGCACGCAGGCTCTGGTGAGATCAAGATGTGCCTGGGATGGGGAGCACGGGGGGGGAGGGCAGAAGATACCCAAAGCTTTCAGTGCTTGCTCCTCAACATGTGGACACTGGGAAACAAAGAAGCAGGGATGATCCAGGAGAACTTGGCAGTGGGACAGACCCAGGCCAGCTGTCCTGGGCTTAGTGGTAGCAGTCATTTTTTCCTCTTTCTTAGTAGCTGGTGCAGCACTGTGTTTTTGACTTTTGGCCTGGGAACAGTGCTGATAACACTGATGTTTTTAGTTACTGCTCAAATGTTTACTCTGACCAAGGACTTTGTGAGCCTCATGCTCTGCCAGGGAGAAGGGGAAAGCCAGGAGGAAGCAGAGACAGGACACCTGACCCATACCACAGCACATCATGCCCAGGATGTAACTGAGAGACCCGGAAGGGCTAGTTCACTGCAGGGTTGGGCTAGGTATCGGTCAGTGCTCGGTTGGGCGGGGTGGGGCGAGGTGGTGAGGTGTTGTATTCTCTTCCCTTATTATTTCCTTTATCATTATTATTGGTAGCAGTAGTGGCTTGTGTTATACCTTAGTTACTAAACTGTTCTTATCTCAACCCATGGGAGTTGCATTCTTTTGATTCTCCTCCCCATCCCTCCGGGAGCAGGGGGAGGGCAAAAAGTGGGGGGAGTGAGAGAACGACTGCGTGATTTATGGCTGACTGTGTTCAAACCACGATACCAGTCTCCAGGTGCTCAGGCACTACAAAACAGGTCCAGTTACCCTCTCACAATGCAAGAAGCCAAGATCCTCTGATCTCCCTGAGAACGTGCAGCCACTCCTCCACTTCACAATGCCTCTGTCTTGAGACTAGCAATGGACCTGAGGAGCAAGCTCCCAATGATTGCTTCTTTTCTCCACCCAGGAGATGCTGGGTTGGTGCTCTATCTTGCTGACAGAGACTCACATGCTGCAAGCTTGTTCAGAGAGCTCATACTCCATCTGTGAACCACAAATGAGCCTCTGCAGCTCCAATACTGGGTGCAAGGGCTGGGAAGGCAATGGCTAAACTGAGCCAGAACAATTTCTCCACCAGCACAGACCACAGTGCCCTGCACAGCCACTCCAGCCACAATTCAGGGAAGGGATGTCCTTGCCAAGGACACTTTGATCCACTGACCAAGCCAGTCAGATCACTGTCTCCCACCACATGCATGGGATTTTGCTGCAGTTACACAGAAGAGCAGAAAACAAGTCACAGGATCACAAAACCACAGAACAGTTTGAGCTGGAAGGAATCTTCAAAGCTCATCCAGTCCAACCCCCCCTGCAGGTTCCCTGAAGGAACACCTTCAACTAGATCAAGTTGCCCAGAAACACATCCAGCCTGGCCTTCAGTGTCTCCAGGGACGGTGCATCCACCACCTCTTTGGACAACCTGGACCAGTGTTTCACTCCCTCATTGTAAATAATTTCTTCCTCACATCTACCCTGAATCTCCCTTTTTCAGTTTAAAACCATCACCCCATATCCTGTCACAATAGGCCCTGCTAAAATGTCTTTTCCCATCTTTCCTATAAATGAAGAGGGTGATGGACAGACAGGAAGCAAGGGACAGCCCCTGCACCCAGCCAGCTTCCACACTCACATTTTCCGTATCTCCTTGTTGTTGTCTCCCAGGATCTGGAAAAGCCCGTCCAAGATTTCCGGGAGGTAATCCAAGAGGTTGATGTCAGGCACAGATTCCAAGACCAGGATCTAGTTCAGGGGAAGAATAAGAAACTAGAGGTGAATTTTGGAGAAGCTACCTAAGATCTCCAGCACAAATCTGGCGCAATACTGAGGAATTCAGAGCTGAGCTGTGTGGGATGGTGGGGAAGGACAAAGGGACAGTGTGGACTTGTCTGTCTTGGAAAGAAGCTGGGTTAGCACTGGAAGTAAGCCATCAGCCTGCAGCTACCTTTCCAACCACAGCTCTGTAAACCAGAGCAGGGATCAGGAATGATTTCCAAGAGGCATGCAGGTAGACAGGAGCCAGCAAACAGTACACCTGAAAGAGAGAGCGCAGCAGAGGCACGCATCCCTCCACAGACCGAAGCCAAGCACAGAGAGCTTCTGCCTTGCACAAAAAAAGAGAAAATAAGTAGATTCCTTGCCTCCTGGAGAGCAATAATCCTGTCACTGTTGGGTGACAGAAGCACTGTCCCTTGGGAGACTGTAACCTCCACACCACAGTGTGCCTATTTATACAAGCAATGCTTCGACTTTGTTTTCTAACTTGGTGTGCAACATCCTGCACCAGCATAACATCCCTACAACCGCAGCACTGTCGTGACAGGGAGATGGGATTTTAAAGAAGCAGGTGAAAAATTCTGCTGGCTTAAACCCCCCTGTCCAAGTAAATTCAGGTGCCTGAGCCCACACATCACTGTGGGTATCTGCTGTCTGCCCAGACATGGGATGCTGATGGATCACAGGATTTTGCAGTTCAGACTGGCAGCGTGCACCTACCCAGGATATGATGAACTGGCGGGCATACTGGTTGTTGGAGTAAATCCTCTCACGCAGCAGTGGGATGAAGCTTACCAAGTCAAATTGGTTGTTCTCTGTCACAATGTCCTGCAGAGCCCAAGCAGAAGATGTTAGGAGGGATGGTCACCACCTCACGCAGCCACTCCTATCCAGCCTTTTTTAAGGCATATGACAGGAAATAGCATGACAAGCAGTTGACACATGTGTCTGTGGGTCAGGAGACCTGGGGAGAAGAAATCACACGGTTTATTCAGACCATGACCTAGTAATCTCCCTTGGGCAGGGATTAATGTGGTGTTAATCCCTGCTGTGTGCCAGCTGTGTGCCAGCCCTGCTGGACAGGAGGAGGATAGGAGCTTCCCCAATTCATGCCTCAGTGGTGTTTTGCACACATGAGCAAGCATCTTTGATACAACCATGCACATAAGGGGTGGCAGAGTGCCCTGGCTTTTCTTTAAAGCTCTTCCTACACACTTGATGGATTCTGCCATGTGGCCAAGCCTCTTGCACCAGTGGTGGAGCAGAACTCCCATCAGGAAGGTTTGCAGCAGGCGATGCACATCCTGCATTAACTGCTGTGATAATAAGGAGTGAGGGCAGAATCTGGCAGGGAAATACTCACCTCTGAACAGCAGAAAAAGAACTGGGAGCTCTGTGAGAGTAAAAGCCCATCAGCAGACAGAACGGGAACTGAATCACCCAGCCTGAAGCAGCAGCAGAGTAGCTCTGCTCACATCATTACTCACTCAGGCAAGGGAAGAAAAGCAGAGGAAGAGCCCTTCTGCTGCCTGGGATGGAGCTGCAACCCTGATCAGATTAAAACCTTGCTCCCCCAAACACCGGGCTGCCAAGATGTGAACACTCATGTGGCACTGTGATAACCTACCAGCCCCTCAACCCAGCTGCCCAGGATCATCACCAGGCCCTCAATCTGAGAGGCTATGGCCAGTGAGAGAAAAAAATGTTTTGACAGTAGCCACAGGCTTGAGAGACCAACACATCCCAGCCAGGACATGCCTGCAGCCTGCACCAAGGATTCTCAGGTGGGGAGGAAAAATACCTTGAGAAGGCGATCAAGGAGCTCAGAACCGCTTTTGACATTCGGGTCAGGATCAGCAGCCAGCTGTGAATGACAGACAAGAACCATTGCAACAGTGGGTCCCAGGGCTGCTGCCTGCTCCACAGTGGAACTCCCATCAGGCTCACAGGACTGTTTCTATCATTTGGCATCACAGCGACAGACACAGAGAAGCTCCTTTATCTTCAGCTCTGCATTAGGCTCAACAAATTCTCCTGAGAAACTTCCTAAGGGGGTATCAAGCACCCATCAGCTCCTGCAGCTACACAGGTTTTCATGGGCCAGCAGCCACGCTCTCAAGAGGCAGAGAAATGCAAGCTGACAGTGAAAAGCTGCAGACAGGCATGTGTAGACCTGGTTTTGACCCCACAAAGCTTTAGTGCTGCAGAGCCACCTCACCTGCAGCAGTTCTGTCAGCCTCATTTTCTAATATCACTCAAAAGAGAGCAGGAAAATGCATCCTGGAGGTGATGACAGAGAATAAGGTATCTTACAGTGAACTCCAGCACCCACAAAATCAGTGGCTACTGTACTGCTGCAAGAACTACTCATGTGGTCCTTCAGACCTGGCTGAGTCAAAGCAAACAAGTTTACTTGGAAAGAAGACCTCGGACAACTTGGTTTGCTTGATCCAGAGAAGAAAATGACTAGGGGACAAGCCTTAGTTCTCCACTGTGGGAAAGAAAAGCAGATGGGGGTTGTGAAGAAGCTTCTTACCCTGCTGAGGCCATCAAAGAGCACGTCGAAGTGTGGGAGGACAGATCCCCTGGCCACCTTCACAATGTTATAGAGAGCCTCACAGGCGTAGTACCGCAGTCGACTGTCGGCATCGTTGAAACACGTCAGCACTGGCTCAATCAGCTCCTTCAGGTAAAGCCCAGAGTCCTAGTGGGCAGGAGGAGACTGGTTAGTTGAAGACTATGCCAGAAGGAGATGGAAGAGATGCTGCTGCCCTGTAACATAATGCAAAAACTTCAGGCCCATAATGGCTTAGGGCATCCTATGCTGCATAGGATTTATTAATGAGTTTTGGATTTTATTAGTGAAATTATTGTATTTTGTTGTTCAGGTACAGTTGAATTACTCAGCCAGCTGAGTAAGTGTTTCAAGGGAGTCTATGCCAGCAACTGAAATGCTACCTGCAACTTGCCTGGTTTTGATTCCCAGAGATATGGAAGAAGTTTGGGCAGCTGTTCAAGGGCTTGAGTACCCTTCTCTGTGAGTCAATCCCTCCTCTGCTGAAGGCTGATCCACAGAGAAGTCCATCCCTGCCTCTCTGTGTCCTGCATACAGGCCTTGAAGCAGACCCCAGCAAAATCAGCTGTTACCAGCCCTTGTAGCAGTCAGCCAGGATTCATCCCACTTTGCCAGCTGATTTTGTCTCAAACCCACCAAGCTTTCCAGTGCCCAAACAGTGACAGACCAAGCCCACCTGCACCTTCACTTAGGCAAAGAAAGTCTGTTGGGCTACTGTTTGTAACATCAGGAGATGAGCAGCACAGAGGAGCTGGTGACATAGGCTTCACAAAAACACAACCGCTGGTACCCAAAGCACCTACCTGCCCTGTTATCTCCAGAAACACCAACACAGCCGTGGTCCCAGCTACCAGGAGAGAAGCAACTCCAGCCAGTGCAGCTGCTTGTGGACAAGGAGCTACAAGAGCTAGTGAAGTCAAGCTGGACACATCTGTTGGCTGAAGTCACTGTAGGGGCTCTGATTCCCCAGCAAGATTCATTTTATGTGCTGAGCTTTGTCTTCCTGGACCACGGAAGAGCTATGTCAGGTTGATCCTGGTTCTGCCCACAAGTGAATATGTTTGATAAGGTCTCCTCTCCACCCCAAGATTTTTTATTTAAGGATTTAAGATTTTTGCTTAAGGAATCATTGGCACAGCAGGAGTTTCAGGCAGACTTAGAACTGGAGGCAGAATCACCTTCCTTGACCTGCTGGTCACGCTCCTTTGGATGCAGCCCAAATCCAACAGGCACAGGCTGCTCTTCCTGCACTGCTTTCTTTGCTGTATACCTCTCTACAGATCAAGACGACTCCTTTCCTTGGAGGTGCTGTCAAAAACCAGCTGCATGGTTTGACTCAAAAAACTGACATAGCCATTAGCCTTCAGAGTCTGTGCTCCCCTTCACTTGGATCCAGCTGCTCTGGCAGGCACCTTAGAGGCTTAGACCTGGAGGCACCTTACTGAGCTTGTTCTTGTTAATGAGAGAAATGTTACAACGACCTTAACTGGGACAGGAATTACCCAACATCCCCATGCAGAGGGACATCAATATAACACCTCCAGAATCAGACTGAGTGATCCACACGTTGAGCAAGTGGAACTTCTACCAAACCCAATAGAAAGCTGCTAGCTCAGACTAATGCATCCTGACACGTGATGCTGCTCCCTCACTTTGACCATGACTCTGCCACTGCTGGGCCCATTCTTCAGCGCTGCTTCCCAAAGGCCCTGTCTGCTGCTGGAGCTGACTGAGCTGGGGTGGGAGTTGGAAGGGTTTCAGTTTTTCTCAGCTCCATTAACACAAATTAGTACCCAACCTGCTGAGTCAACTGCTCAATGCCAGCTGCTGGAGACTGAGGATGGACAGATGCACTTCAATCATTCCTAGGGAGCTGCCAAGATGCCACCCAGGCCAGCAAATGTTCTTATGCCCAAAGGATGTGGCTGGGTGTGCTGGAGATACTCCAAAACAGCCCAGCTGTACGCTGCAATCAGGGAGGGAGCTAAGGAGCTACAAGGCCACCAGCCTGAGTCTCCCCGTTACACTCACAGAGGAAGAGCCACTGCTCTCCCACTACAGCTCACACAAGCCACAAAAACCCACCTGCACTTACCTTGCCCAGGGCAATGGAGCAGGCTGCCAGGCCAATGAGTCCTCCCTTCCGGCTGTGGGGGTGCAGGGAGAGCGCAAACTCCTGTGACAGGATCTGGATCACGTGCTTGATTTGAGACGTCTTGGCCTGAGCTACAAACTCTCGCACCAGCCTGGGAAGAGAAGAGGAAAGCACCCAGGGGGCTTTAGGTCCTGCCAGACACAAACGTTTGGGGGGCCTCAGCTCCCCATGGCTGTCAGAAACAGGGAATTTTCCCACAACAAATACCAAAGAACGTGATACCAAAAAGGGAACCCTGAAGGAACCCACAAGTGAAACTAGAGGTCCTTCCTCCTCCCCACTCACATCCAACAGCTCCTCACTGTCCTCCTGCTGCTCCCAACATGCAGCCTCCTTTACCATTTGTGAACTCCAAGCCTAAGGTAGACTCTCAAGGGCAAATCACTGCAGCTGTGTGCTTACAAAGAAGTCACCAGGTCTTCAGACTCCCTCTCCAACACCCACATCATGGCACAAGAAAGCAGCAGAGACCTGCTCAGCATGCAAAAGGATCGTGACTAGCAGGTCAAAGGAGGTGATCCTGCCCCTCTGCTCTGCTCTCATGAGACCTCATTTGGAGTACTGTGCATGATTCTGGTGTCCTCAACATAAAAAGGACATGGAACTGTTGGAGCCAGTCCAGAGGAGGGCTACGAGGACGATCAGGGGACTGGAGCACCTCCTGTATGAAGACAGGCTGAGAAAGTTGGGGCTGTTCAGCCTGGAGAAGAGAAGGCTGCGTGGAGACTTCATAGCAGCCTTCCAGTACCTGAAGAGGGCCTACAAGGATGCTGGGGAAGGACTCTTCATTAGGGACTGTAGTGACAGGACAAGGGGTAACAGGTTAAAACTTAAACAGGGGAAGTTTAGATTGGGTATAAGGAAGAAGTTCTTTACTGTAAGGGTGGTGAGGCACTGGAATGGTTTGCCCACAGAAGTTGTGAATGCTCCATCCCTGGTGGTGTTCAAGGCCAGGTTGGACAGAGCCTTGGGTGACACGGTTTAGTGCCAGGTGTCCCTGCCCACAGCAGGGGTGTTGGAACTAGATGATCTTAAGGTCCTTTCCAACCCCAACTATTCTATGGTTCTATGCACTGGGAGTGCTGGTGGCTGTGTGGGGAATTGTGGCCCACCAGACCCACACCACTGCCAAGATTTTGGACCTTTCCAGCCACACACACATCGCTTCAGCCCATATTCCATACATTTAAATATTTAAATAGACTCTCAAACAAACAAACCTCAGCAAAAAGCAAACAGGGTTTCCACAGGCCATACCTGCTCCTCCAGAGAGGCGGAGGCAACTGTGCAGGCAGTCATACAGGGAGCTGGAGCATTGGTGGTTCAGCAGTAGAATTCTTGCCTGCCAAGTGGGAGGCCTGGGTTCGATTCCTGGCCAATGCAGCACTGCTTTTTCCCCCTTTTTCTTTGGACTTCTATTCATACCCTCGAGGCAAGCATCTCAAAATCTAAGCCTAAAGGATCTTTATGTTCATCTTCAATAAAGGCACACTGCCCAACTCCATAGAGGTGTGTTTTTGACACTATATTGAATCTCACACCAGCCTCTCCCAGATGGGTGCCAAAGGCTAGACACTCACTTTAAAATTCAGGAAAATCATTATAGGAAGATGTTAATGAACTTTTTTCTCCAAAACCAGTTCATGGCAGCTCTGTTCTCAGCCTGCTCCGAGCAAAGCACCTGCTCCCTTTCTCCCTAAGGGCATCAGAGTCCCTTCTCACTCTCCCCACTCCAAAGCTGAGGTCTCCAACAGTTACAGCATGACCCCCTCTCACAAACTGCTGCTTTAGGGCAAATGGCTCCATCTCCAGTCCCGCTCCAGCAAGAACGCACCGAGCTCCAGCATCATGGGACGTTGGGATGATCCTTTTGCTGCCTAGATTTAGTAGACAGAACTTTGTTTGAACAGGAACAACATAACTAGCTTCCTTCAAGAGTTTTAAAGGCTCAGAATTTAACTAATGAGGCAAATGGTAGCAAAAAGCATTGTGCAGTATCAGAGAATCTGCAAGCAGCAGAAGCTGCTCCACGAGGAGGTACCTGAGCTGAGAGGCAGCGAGTACCTCCTTGCTTGATGCCACAGACATGGAAGACACGCTGCTGGTGATGTTCTGTGATGGGTTTTAGCTGATCTAAACCCATGTATTTTCAGAAAGGGTTGGCTCCCCCTCACACTCTTACCAAACTGTGTTTGGGAAAATAAGGGAAAGGAAAACACCCAGAAGAGAAGAGGCTGGCTGTGTTGGGTTAGTACCTGGTGTGTATGCTTGCCCTGTCCCAAGAGCCATTTTCCCCTCCTGCCCATGCACAGCTTCCCCCACAGAATCCTCTGTGTTGAGGCAAGCAGTTCCCACCCCTCATCCTCCCACATCTCCCAGTGACTGCTATGCAGAGCAGCTTCATCCCCATGGCACAGGCTGCTCCCCTCACAGGCTCACCATAGCCACAGCTCCCACCTGAAACTCACTGTCCTGCCTGGGTCAGCCCTGTGCTGGGCTGTCCTGAGGGGATGCTTCAGCTCTGCCCTCTGAGCTGAGCTCCCAGGCAGTGCCCTGGGAGAACACAGTCCTTCCCAGGCAAAGCTGTGGGCCGGAGCAGCACAAAGCACCCTACCCAGCACAGGAGCAAGAAGACACAGCACAGGGCACACATATGGGCAACACTAGACAGGAATGGCCATGCCTGGGAGAAAACCCCAGCTCTGCCCAGATAGCAGCAATGCAGGAAGAGCTCCAGGTACACCCAGTGGCCATGGCTGAGGCAGGAGCTTCCCATCTGCACCGGCAGAACCGAGTACGGAATAAGCTTGGGAGACCCCGGTGCAGAGATGGGATGGCCCCAGGAGGAGACAAGTCCACCCTGACGAGAGATAAGGCGACACACGATGGGCACCGCTGCCCAGCGCCAGACTGCTGCGGCTCCTGCCTCTGCCCAGTGAGCCCCCGGTGTCCCCCAACCCCGGGAAGAAACCGGGCACCTCTGGGAGCACCGCAGCAGCACCGGGCCCCCAGGTCCAGATCGTTCCTCCAGCTCCGCTCCTCGCTGGACGCGCCATCAGACCAGGGACGGTGAATGGAGCCCAGTCAGGTTCACGGTGTCACCCGAGCCGTTCCAGGCGCTCCAGCCCGCTGCTGCCCCGGGGAAACCCTGTCCCCGAACTTCCCGGGGAGCCGGTGCCATCACGTGGGCAGCTCCATGGGTAGGGCGGGACCACCGTGAGCACCAGGGGCCGGGACTAACCCCGAGTACCGCGGCCCGAAACCCCGAAGCACCACAGGCCGGAATCCCATAGGCACCACGGGCAGGAGTCGTCCCCTCACCACGCTTCCTGCCCCGCGGGCGGCCACAGGCCGGCCTTCACCGCTCACGCGGGCTCCCCCCCCAGGCCCGGTCCTTCCCCGCTCTCACTTCTCGATCTCGAGTGCCGCCACCTTCCTCTTCTCGTACAACTTGTCGTTCAGCGCCCGCACCACGCCGGGCGCCAGGGGCGACAAGTCCCGCTCGGCGCTCATCCTTACAACGCCGCCGTCACCGGCACCCGCCGGCGCCGCACACGTGACCGCGGACCCACGTAGTAAGACACCCCCTGGCGGACCGGAGGGCTGCCCGCAACCGCCTCATCAGCTCTTGCAGCTCCAGAGTAACAGAATCCCAGGCTGGTTTGGGTTGGAAGGGGCCTCAAAGCTCACCCAGTTCCAACCCCTGCCATGGGCAGGGACACTTTCCGCTAGACCAGGTTGCTCCACGCCCCGTCAAAGCTGGCCTTGAGCATTGCCAGGGATGGGGCAGCCACAGCTTCTCTGGGTAACCTGTGCCAGGGCTTCACCACCCTGACAGGGAAGAATTTCTTCCTTCTAGCTAACCTGAACTTCCTCTGTTTCACTTTAAGCCCATCACCCCTTGTCCTGTCGCTACCGTCCCTGATCAAGAGTCCCTCCCCAGCACCCTTGTAGGCCCCCTTCAGATACTGGAAGGCTGCTATGAGCTCGCCACGCAGCCTTCCCTTCTCCAGGCTGAACAGCCCCAACTTTCTCAGCCTGTCTTTGTACAGGAGCTGCTCCATCCCCCTTAGCATCCTCGTGGCCCTCCTCTGGATTTGCTCCAACAGCTCTATGTCCTTCTGTTGAGGACACCAGAACTGTACACAGTGCTCCGAGTAGGGGTCTCATGAGAGCAGAGTAGAGGAGCAGGATCACCTCCCTTGACCTGCTGCTCATGCTGTTGGTGATACAGCCCAGGACACAGGTGGTTTCTGGGCTCAAGCGCACGCTGAAGCCGGCTCATGTTCCCACTCCCAGGTCCTTCTCTTCAGGCTGCTCTGAATCACTTCTCTGCGCAGCCTGCAGCTGTGCCTGGCATTGCCCTGACCCAGGGGCAGGAGCCTGCACTCGGCCTTGTTGAACTTCATGAGGTTGGCCACCTCTCCAGCATGTCCAGGTCCCTCTGGATGCCATCCCTTCCCTCCAGCGCATCGACTGCGCCACACCGCTCGCTGTCGTCAGCAAACTTGCTGAGGGTGCTCGATCCCACTGTCTGTGTCACCGACAAAGATGTTGAACAGGGTCTGCCCCAACACCGACCCCTGAGGGACACCATTCATCACAGGTCTCCAGCTGGACATTCAGCCATTGACCGCGACTCTCTGCACGCAGTCATCCAGCCAATTCCTTGTCCACCGTATGCGTGTCCACCCAGCAAATTCATCTCTCCCGTTTAGAGACAAGGACGTTGTGTGGGAGGATGTTAAATGAAATTTATTTGCTCCAGAGAGCACGAATGCGGCGGGAAGGGCCGCGGGCAGCTGGTCACTTGCAGGTGGAGGGCAGGCCCCGGAGGTGGTAGATCCAGGAGCCCCCAGGGCAAGAGACCACCAGCCTGCTGCTGACAGGAGCCTGGCCCCCCGTGAAAGAGACGATGATGGTGGTGCTGCTCTTGGCGCGCAGCATCTCGGGGGCCCTGACGGTGAAGGCCGGGTGCTTTACTGCATACCAGAACGCCGTGGCCTTTGGGAAGATGTTCCTGAAGGAGACGGAGGTGGTGCCACCGGATGAGGAAGGGGCCCTGGGGTGCAGGGGGCAGCGCAAGGCTGATGACTGGGATGCAGTACTGCCCACCCAATGCGGAGCTGAGCTGCAGCGTGGCCTTGGCTTCTCCCAGGTGGCAGGGCTCAAAGGTCACTTCCACGTTCAGGTCTGAGCCCCCAGTGCCGGCAGGTGCCGCACTGATGGATTTTGCCATCTGGAAGTTGGCACGGTCGGTCTGCGCAGGGGAGACAAGAGACCATGGAGGGTGGGTCACAACAGCAGAGCCAGCACCTCGGGAAGAACACGATGGTCCCCTGGCCCTGGCCTCTCCCACCCACACCACACCCCTGGTGAGTGCCTGCCCTGAATGGGCACGAGAACTGTGCAAACGTGCCCAGCAGGGACAACCCTGCACCCAAGCCCCAAGACGCCTGACTGCCAGACCTGGGCTGCAAGGGGGAAACAAGCCCAGCCACCACAAAACCCAGCTTCCAACAGAGAGCACAGGACACCTTCAGCTTGGACAGGACCTCTGAAGGTCATCTCGTCCAACCTCCTGCCCAAAGCAGGGGGAGCTACGAGGGTCATGCCACGAGGGTCAGCACGCTGGCCCAGCTCACGTACCTGATGCTTCTTGCTCTCAGAGCTCATGCTTAGGGGTCTGTAGGTGACCTGGTAGGCCTTTTCTTTTTGCCTGGCCTCCAGACGGATAAATTCAGGCCCTTTCCAGTATTTCCCCTCAATGATGGGCTGCAGGGTCCAGGCCTCGCTGCTCAGGTTGGACAGGAGGATGGTCTGGCTCTGCCTCTCACGCACATTGCAGCTGAAAGTCAGGGTCTGGAGCAGAAGAGCACAGAGGCTGCTGGCTCACACCCACAACCCTTCCCACTCTTCTCACGCTGGCTCTACATCAGCACCTGGAGCACAGGGAGCAGCCTTCCCTTGTCACGTGCAAAAATTACACTTTGGCCATAGCTTTTGGAGTAAATCGAGCTGCTTGTTGTTGAAGAAGGGAGCAGAACAAGCCTTTTGCATGCTGGCTGAAAGGAAACGGGGAGTCCTGAAAGGAAACTCCAGTGCAAGGACAAGATCTGCAGCCACACAGCCCCTTCCTTCATGGGCAGGATGAAGAGGAGCTCCACGCTCTCTTTGGGAGCAAGAGCCAACAGCTGCCCAGTTGCCCGCTCCCAGGGGTTGGATGCAGATGCCTTGCCCCTTCCTACTGCTGAATGCCCTCCCCTGGCCCGGCAGGGGGGAGAAGTGTGGCTGCGGGTGCAGTGCTGGCATCCAGCGGGGTGGCTCTGTGGGGAGGGTCTCAGAAGAGCCCGGCAGGGTGTTCCCATGGCACGAGTGCTGCAGTGCAGAGCCACGACAGCCCAGCTGCTCACTGGAGGAGCGGCACCTTGAACAGGGGAGAAAGGCAACGACAGGGCTCAGGAATTCTGGCAATCCTGCCCAGCACTTTCTCTCTGGGATACCCCGGCACGAGCGAGTCTGTGCTCACAAGTGTCCTTCAGTTCCTGCCCTGGGAGAGATGTGGTGCAAATGCTGGCTCCAGGGGCCCATCCTGTCCCTGCTGCGTTACCTCTTTGGGGCTGGGGGCCTCCACGCAGGATCCTGACAGCGTAAGCCGCAGCGCCTCACTGCCCTGGATGAAGCACCGCAGCCCCTCGCACTGGACAGCCTGGCTCAGCTTCGAGGGGCGGAAGGTTACAATGAATGGGACATCCATCCCTGGGCTGATGTAACCCTTCGTGGGGCTGATGGAAAAGTCCGGCTTGAAGCTCTCCACGTCCCACGTAAACCTTGCCCAGGAAAGCACAAGCACAGGAAAGAAGGATTAGCCACGGGGAGCTCTGAAGCAGGGTAAGTCTCAGTGTGAGGCTCTAAGTCTCTTGCGGGCTTTCCCACCACATGTCAGGCCTGATGCTGAGCCACCTGGCAATAAGGCTTCAGGCTGGGCAGGACCCACTGCACCCATCCCTAAAGAAGCTTTGGCGTGTACCCCCTTGCTAACTGCTAGGGCCTGACTGCACGGCCACGGCTGCACGACTCTCCACCGGGATGGAGAAGCAGAGAGGAACTATCTGGGCACACTACGGCCCCACACAACCCTCATCCAAGCTCTCAGCCCTCAGAGGGGGCGGGCTTCTGCTTTACCTGACTCCTGTGTCGCCCACATTCCGCATGGCCACGCGCCGGCACGTGTAGCTCTGCTGCACCACGGCTCCAAAGCTGAGCTGCTCCTGGTCCAAGCTCACGAGGCTGCCCTGGCAGGAGCCCCGCACCACAAAGAGCCAGCCCGCGGCACTCCAGCAGCACTTCCCCGCTGGACGGCTGGATGCGGCGCTTCGGGGAGAAGGTCACCTGCATTTTGCAGCTGTCTCCTCTGGGCTTCAGCTTTAGCTCCTTGCTGGGCTTCAAGCACAGAACCTATCCCAAGAAATGAGGGGAGACTATTTCATTCTGTCCCCACCAACACTGCCCCAGTCCCACTCATTCCATCCCAAGCATTCCTAGCTAATACCAAAGGTGTTTTCTGCCATGTGTCCACCCGGTCACGCTGAGCTCAACTCTGTCTTCTAAAGCTTTCATGGAAGTTCCAACAGAGCTGTAAATCTCCCTCTTGCAAGATTCACCTCCCTCACCTTCCCACACCTAAAAATACATGGCTGCATCCTGATGTATGTGTCTAAAACAGCTTAGAGGAATTGTGCCGCCTTCTCCCTTGTGGCTCTCCGGGACTCCTGGCACACAGCTCAGCTGAAGCATTCACACTGCAAGCAGCTGCTGGCAGAGCAGCGCCAGCAGGGAAGCCAGGGCAGGCACGGGCAGCCAGGGCAGCCCCCAGCTCTCATTAGCTACTAGCTCCCACCCACAGCTCCTCACCGCCCCCTGCAGGCACACCGAAGTGCTCTGCGGAGAAGGAACGGGCCTTACCCCAGCCTCCTGCAACTCTGGCACGGTGGATGTGACTCTGAGCTGAAAGGCCAGAGGGGCTGCACTCTTGCTGGCTATGGTGACGATCTTCTTCACCGTCTGCCCAATGCAGACGTTTCCTAGCTTCACCACCTTTCCTGGTGGATCCACAACGTCAACCTGAGGCGGTAGGGACTGGTATCAAGCAAAAGGAAAGAAGGAGAAAAGGTTTTCTGCCACTCTCCTGGCAGAAACCCAAACCATGGTAGGCTGGGGAAGAGATGAGGAAATGAGAAAAACATGCTGCTTGCCACCTGGAGTTTTAGCGTTTAGATTTCATCTCACCTTCACTTTTAAGCCTCTTCCTTGGGCCTCACCAGTCAGCTTCTCAGCCGGGGCACACGGGGGCAGCAACAAGCTGTTGTGGCTGTTGTCATCTTTCGGTGTCCGTAGGAGCTGTGCGCAGAGGAAAGAGAAACCATAGACAGGATGAGTTTCTTGACCCTCACCACGTGAACAGACTCCCCAGCCAAGCCATTCCCTCCCACATTCTTTCCCCGCAATGGCAGCGATTATCCAAGTCCCTCGGCAGCCTGCCAGCAGAGCTGGCTAACCCTGCAATGCCACCAGGCTATGCCCTGTGCACTGCCCTCGTCTCCCTGGCACAAGCCTGGGAATGCTGGAGCGCTGGGAATCTACAGGAGTGTGCACAGACCTTCCCTCTCACCTGCTCCTCAGCAAGGCGCTGCTGGTCAAACTCCAGCGAGTAAACCTCACAGGGGGTCTTCACCGCCACTGTCCCCTCTTCCCCATGGCTCTGTGGCAGCAGCGGTCCCAGCTCGAGCTCTGCGGGGCTGAACTCCAGCCGTGGCTCCAGACCACGTCCCAAGACCCGCACCCGGAGGCGTTGGCTGCTCTGGCAGATCTGGATCTGCAGCTCGCCCCGGTAGCGCTTCTGCAAACAAGCAGCACAGAAAGGTCCTCCGTGAAGCCCCAGGTCACAGCGCCTCCAAGTCAACAATCGCCCCAGGGTCATCAGGGGTCTTGTCAGCACCTCTAAGCTGAACCCAGAACAGGTATTAGAGCAGGGGCTACAGCATCTGCATGGCTCGGAGTAACTGCGGTGAGTCCTGCTGTGGAGTGCAACTGGAGAGTTGGCTACCAGGTGGATCTAAAATGCGCCGTCAGAGGTTTTCACCTAGTCACGGGGGAGTGCAACGCTCATGAGAAAGGTCTGCTTTCTCAGACACAGTCCTGGCACTGCAGCACCAGGCAAACATCAGCTGTGTGAAAGAGGCAGCTGAGCTCTCACTGGACACAAATAAGGATCGTCTTCTCTGCTCAGTGCTCGGCTCTGGTCAAAGGCAGACACGAGACGGTGAAATCTCCACGAGCAATTGAAAGATCCCTGGGACTGTCCCCTGGCATGGAAGCACTTGCGTCCATCCTGTCACACGCTGCCAGTTTCCAAGTCACGGTGGCCACATGCAAACTGCCTTTGGCAATGCTCCATCATTTAAGCTGACTCCCGAACTGCGTGGGAACGTGCAGGGGAAACTGAGGCACGGTGGGCACAGGGCTGGCAGAAAGCTCCACGCGGAGGCAGAGCTCAACCCCCGCTCCCTCTGCTGGCCTCCCCTTACCACACTGCCCTGCCAGAACTCCTGGGGGTGACACCCTCCAATCTCACCTCTTCCGTGGGTGAAAAACGGACTTGGACATGGCACTGCTGTCCTGGGGCGAGCGTTCCAGCTGACGGCAGCACCTCGAAGCCACAGGGCACGGACTTCATCTCCTCGAGCAGCTTCTGATGCTCGCTCGCTGGCAGATGTTTGTCCACCTGCGCACAGAAACCAGTCGCGTGAGGTCTCCTTGGTCTGGGAGGACAGAGCCTCGGCTCCTGCAGTGCTCCGAGATGCTGGCACGGTGCAGGGAGCACCCTCATCCCACCCAGACGTGGCCACCACTGCCTAGAACTGGAGGGCAAACATGTTGGCAGGGCAGGCAGATGGGGAGGCAGTGTCCTCAGAGGAGGAGGAATGGGTGAAGATGGCAGGCAAGTGAAGCATCAGCTAGTGAACAGGCCCAGGTGAACCAGCCTTGCTCTGTACCCTCAAAAGCTTCCTCAAGCCAGCTGCAGCCCAAGTGCTCAGGCAGCCAGAGGGGCAGGAAAGGCAAGAGAGGCAAAGACAACCCACCCGAGAAGCTGCGTGTTACACCTTGTCCGTGCTTTACCTCCTTAACAGGCTCATTCACGCTGATGGACCATTGACAGGGGACCTGGAACGTGTTGTGGAGCTGGACGGTTTCTTCCTGGCACTGCCCACACTGGACAGCGGAGAACTCCAGCCTGTCCCTGGAGAGGCTGAGGGACGGCTCAGCCACGATGGCACGGAGGCGGACCTGCAATGAGTCTCTCTCCAGTCATGGAAAACCAGCCTTCTCATTGAGCAGATCACATAAGCCATAAACGTACTGCTGACGTGTACATCCCTTGGTGCAAAGGCAACGGAGACCTCAAGGCTTGCAGCTAAACTCCAAGGTGGGTCATTTCCCTTAAATTTGCTAGAGATGACAGAGCACAAGATCTTCAGTCTGAAAGCTGCTCTCAGCCACTGAAGCAGCCTAAGGTGCCTGAATCCTGGCTCAAATTTTGGATGAGGTCTCACTGCCATCCCATTCTACTCTGCACACAAGCGAGGAGAGAGCCACTCAACAAAGACTCATCTTGGAGGCAAATGGTCTACAGGGGCCTGGTGCTCCTTCACTAAAGCTGTGTTGCAAGTGCTGGCAAAGCCAGGGCAGGAAAGCTTATTCCTTCACTGCTTTGTCTCTTCCAGGATCAGGAAGCCAGAGCCCTGGTCTCGGACAGGAGGCCACCAGGAACCGCAGGGACAGCGGCATGTGCCAGCACTGCCCTCTTGAGCCCTCCAGAACTACATGAGATCCGAGCGGGCTGGAAGAGTGTTTGTACCTCCTCTGCGGGAACAGGAGCAGGAGGAAGGAGCTGTACCTGAGATGTCACAGTAGACTGTCTCTTGGTAGACTCTGGCTTCTTTGGGCTTAAAGATCACATTGATTTCAAGCGAAGAATTTGGCAAGATATCTCCCTCCTGAAACAGAAGTGACAGCAAACCTTTTTATCTTCAAACATCACATTCTTGTTTGCGCTACAGCCCTGTAAGCCTTTCTTTAGAGCATCAGCAAAGAGCGAGGAGCAAGCAACACTTGTCAACAGAATTTATAGGAGAGCTTGGAAGCAGCTGCAGAAACACCTTCCAAGTCCCTCGCCTTTACTGGCACCCGCAAGGAGCATTTTGCTACCCTCAGAAGAGATGGAGCTCTTGCTCAGGGATTTAAGTCTGGGCCACGCTACCAGTTTCTGCAACTGTCTGCTGCTTCCTCTGGGTCTTCTCTCTCTGCTGCTCTCCCAGAGGATCCTGGCACTGGTGCTCAGTCCCAGGAAGCCTTGTCGCACATTTCAGGAGGCATCCCTGGTTTCTATAGGCTCTCACTTCCTGCAACTGGTTTAAGCAAAGGCACCTCTTACAGCCCTTCAGCCCCTAGCATTACAAATACAGTTGACGTAAGTAGCTACACCTCTGGCAACTGTAAGAAGGCTCTACAGGAATTAAATATTTAGCTTACGGAAGCAGATGAAAAGAGCAGAGTCATTTTTCTATCAGCACAGCCAGGCTTTGATTCCGCTCTGCTGCTGGGTATTCTCAGGAATTTGTCCAGAACAGCCTCGAACTGCGTGGAGCCTCCAGCACTCGTGCAGCATAAATATTCTCTAGCTACGGTTCTTCCCACTGACATAGCACTTACAGCTTAGAGGACAGCCCCCACAAAAATTAAGGAACTAGAACACGGGAAGTTATTGGCCTGCAGCTGCAAGGAATTCCCTAATGCACAACCTGCTCTGAGTCAGGAGAACACAGGGAAGGACAGGTATGTAAGCGGCGAGGAGAAGCAGACAGGCCAACCCAATATGGGTGATAAGCAACTTCTACTTTATTTGTGATGCAGTTCACATATATAGAGGAGTGGTATTCAGCCACTCCTCCTTGGCACAACAGTATTGGTTAGCCCCACACAGCTTCCTCCACGTTCTCCTCCCATGTCCTGTCTCCGGTTACCTGTGGGGGCCACCCCCTGGCCTTGCCCGCACAGTCCTCCAGGGCTCTATGGTCCTGCTCTTAGAGTCATTCTGCAACAATTCCCCCCTTTTTCTTTGTGCGAGCAAGGGATTGTGGGTTATTCCGTTCACCTGTTGTATCACACAACTATAAGCAAGTCTAATAGCTACGATGATTAACCTAACAATGATACAAAAGTGCAATACTTTAAACAGCAGTGTTTGACTCAACCTGTAATGCCCGGTGAAGACAACCATCTAGTTATTCTTAGGATATTGCTCATTTACTATTGCCGGGTAAGCTGAGCCAGGGTTCTCAGCTGTGCGTGCATCGAATTAGCATAATCAGAGAGACTCATACAGCACATTCCATCAAATTCTTCACATCCATGTCCCTGTTCCAACAACAAAAGGTTCTGCAGTGTTGCATGTCTTACAGAGTCAACATTAAAACAAATCAGAAATTGCCTTTGATGTAGAATTGTCTGCTTAGCAACTCAGCAACCCAGTCTGCTTAGTTGAGCCAAGGCCCCGGCTGAAGCACTTACAGTGATTTGGCATATTATGATTGGATACATGTTTTGAAGACCCTTAGTGACTAACATATAATTGGTTAAACACAGGTGTGAGAACTCAACCTTGAAAGCTTGCCAACAGTCCAGAGTTCTCATTAACTTGGGGAATTCCAGTCTCTTATCTTGCTTGCTTAAGCTTCTTCGGGCCTCTCATGGCCTTGCTGTATCTTTCAGGACTATTCAGAGTTCATGTACCAATTATGCGTTCTCCCGTGAGAACACTGTCTCCACATCTTCCCCCTTTATGTTTTATATATGGTTTGGGTGTCCCTGCTGGAGCAGGGGATCTGGGCTAGATTATATCTCCAACATATGCCAACTAGAGGCTGCCTGGGCCTGCCCCTTTTTTCTGCTGTATGGCTCTCTGATAACAGGCTGTATAGCTCTCTGATCCTTCCCATCAAGGTCTGGCATGGCATGTGTCCCCACCGCTCCACGCCTGCTGGGTTGCAGCCAGCAGCGGAGCTAAAGGTTCTTCTTGGTGGCAAACACAGAAGCCAACCCAGTCTTGCCCTTGATTGTGGTAGCAGGCATTTGGTCAGCCTCAGTCCTTGCACCTTGTTGTCAATGCACAGTTTCACCTGCTTCATCCAGTAACAAGTCGCTACTACAGCAAGGCACGCACAAATTTACATTAGCAGAGTAACTATTACAGGGTGCAGCGGCATGTTGAAGATGCTGATGGCAGTGAAGGACTAGCCAAAGAAATTTCTTACCAGTGGAATTCTCCCCCCCTCTTAATTTGTTCCATCACCTGCTTTATAGCACTACCATTGTATTAAAATCTTTCTAGCTTTTGCCTTAGCATTTTCTAGCAGCTACTGCAAATTTCCATACTCTAACATCTCTTTTACAAGTGACAAATCTATACAATACAAGGTGCAATTTCTTATTAACAACTAGCTAGTAAATACAGGTGGTTTTATACACAAAATCACAGCCTCTAATAATAGCTACTTTACAAGCACACATATTCAGGATGTTACTTTTCAGTTGCCCCCAAGTGATGTTTTGCAGTTATTTGTTCTTTCTCTTCCTCTATCTCATTCTGCTTGGGGTAATCACGGTCAGCTCCTGTAGCTGAGGCATCAGGTTTATCCATTCGTCCGTCAAGCTCATGGCAGGGCTTCACAAACTTTGCAGGCAGTCGCCATGGACCTGTAGGCAGGAGGACACAAATGTACCCCCTCCCCCAGGTTATCAGTTCTTCAGTTCTTGAGAAGTAGACAGGTTAGGTGCAGCATCATTACTCTCTCTCCCCCCCTTTTTTTTTTTTTTAGTCCCTGCAAAAGCCATCATTACTCCCACTACAGTGGCCCTGTGGAGACTAACAGCAAACCAGCTCCGAGAAGCATCACTGCAGCGCGAGGTGGCAGGCTCAACCTTAGCGGGCGTCCCCGCAGAGGCTCTGCCTCCCCCACATCGTATGAGGCTTGGGCTTTTATACTGACCAAAATGCACACTCATTCCAACACAGGTGGCCAGCCTGTGCTGGAAGAAGTGGCCAGCAGTATCTACAAAGGTCTCCAAGGGTTGATAGAAACCTGGACATACTTATATTTACCAACTTCTAGTACATGAGTATCACAGAGAAACTGTATGGGCTCCCCCTGTCACTTGCAAGAAAAAATCATAACATATACAGCTTGAGTGTAAGAGGATTTTAACGCATACGCGGTCACTGTTTGTCAGGCCTCCTTAACTATTTTGAGATCAAGAGCTTCCCACTCTTTAGCCCCCTGCTGTGTGGTAAACACAGGATATGCAAAGATGCCCATTGCAGAAAATTCCCCAGTAATGATCGCATCCTTGGTTACCCATTGTTACAACTGAGCGTCTCCAGGGCCAGTGAGTCTGAGCAGACCGACCCGGGAGACGAAGAGTCAGGGTCTGGAAGCAGAAGATATAAATCTGGCTCGGATTCAGGGGATTCGGGGGCTGATCCTGCGCCGAACTCAGGGTCTCCGTTGCTCGCAGCTGTGTGTTTCTCATCAGATGTCTCTCGTTCGGTATGTAGCCATCTGCAGACCTGGCTCCTCCGTGACTGAGTTAAAATTTTTTTTCATTCTAGGGCGTAGTGGGTTGGAGAGGTTCGCAGTTCCTTTAAATCTCCCGCTAGCGCATGATCCCTATTTTCTACTGCGTGCTTCAAAATGGCGCCGCAATCGATCCGGCGCCGAGGCACCGCCCTCTTTCTTTCGGATTCCTCGACATTTATCATGCGTATACCTTCTAATGTACTTTCTCTGTCCTTTTCAAAGTCCCTACTTTCGGAACTGGGGTGGTGGGGGAGCAGGGGGTTACACTTCCTCCGCGGCACCTTCTGATGGAGGGGGAGAAAAGGAAGGGTGGGAAACCCTGTGCTCCCGCGAGTTGGGGGGAACGAGTTGTAATCTTCCCCCGGTTTCAACCGACCGGAGACGTCTGTTCCTAGTTTCTCCGTTGCTACCGCGGCAGGTTTCTTTTCCGCCTTGTAACTTTTTATGCAATTTATCACTTCTCTCCAAGGTTTACCGAGTTTCTTTGCCGTTCTATCATCATTAAGCATTGAGTCAAATAACTCATCGCCAAACTTTCGCCACTCACTCTCCTCAAATACTGTATTAGGATCTGCAAAAAATCCGTTAGCCTCCCCTACAGCCACCAGACCCGCTAGCTGCTTTAGAGTTTCAGGCTTAATTCCCCACTTTTCTAAAAAGCGCTGTAATAAGTCCAGGGCTACCTCTCGGTCCATTTTCATGGCGGCTTTTTCCGGATCGTCTTCTCCTGGATCGTCCTGTAACCTCGGTCTCCGGATGGGCCTCCCGACGCAGCAGTGTCTGGTTCGCCCCAGCGGCGGATTCCTTTTGGTTAGTCCAAGCACCCAGGTCCGTCACGCCACCGCAGCAGCATTGCCCGCGCTTCCCGGCCGCTGCCGCCGGCGCCGCTCACTCGCCGTTCCGGGTCCCTGTTAGCCGGGGCCCTGTATCCGGGTCCCCGTTAAACCGGTGCCCTGTATCCGGGTCCCCGCTAGTCGGGGCCCCGTATTCCGGGTCCCCGCTAGTCGGGGCCCTGTATTCCGGGTCCCCGCTAGTCGGGGCCCTGTATTCCGGGTCCCCGCTAGTCGGGGCCCTGTAATCCGGGTCCCCAGTGACTGGGGCCCTGTATCCGGGTCCCCGCTAGTTGGGGCCCTGTAGTCCGCGTCCCTGTTCGGGCGCCATTTGTAAGCGGCGAGGAGAAGCAGACAGGCCAATCCAATATGGGTGATAAGCAACTTCTACTTTATTTGTGACGGAGTTCACATATATAGAGGAGTGGTATTCAGCCACTCCTCCTTGGCACAACAGTATTGGTTAGCCCCACACAGCTTCCTCCAGGTTCTCCTCCCATGTCTGGTCTCCGGTTACCTGTGGGGGCCACCCCCTGCCTTGCTCACACAGTCCTCCAGGGCTCTATGGTCCTGCTCTTAGAGTCATTCTGCAACACAGGTAGAGAAGAACCCTTTCAAACACCAACCGACCAGGAACTGGAAAAGTCTGAAAGAATGAAGTCACTTGGATTCGTCTCAAAACCTAGAGAAACTCTCCATGTGGGACAGGAGACACTGCCCATGACACAAAGCCCTTGCTCTCCCGGCCTCCTCCCATTCCTGCATCCCCATTCCTCTTGCCAGGGCAGCTGGAGCTGGCTCAGTGCCTCAAGGCATCTGACTCTGCGTTTGATCCCGGCCCCACATAACCCAAACTTAACATCACAACGGTGAGCTGCCACTGCACCAAAAAGTACAGCTTCAGCAAGAACCCGCAGAACACTGCAAAGGTGCATCTCAAACAGTGAGGAGTGCAAAGGAGTCCTGGCAGGGTTACTCAGAGTGGCCAGGTCCCTGGGGGCATACCATGCTCCGTACCAAGACCACACTGATTGCTGGGATCGTTCTGTACACACTCTTTAACTAGTGCAGGAGGGAGCTTAGAGCTTTGGGCACGTGCCATTTCTTCCTTTACAAGCTAATCAGAGGAGGGCGCAGCACACAAACCCCCTTGCCAGGGATGATGTCTTGCCATCCACCAAGCCCCAGGAAGCCATCCAGTGATGCATCACGATCCTCACAAGGCACACATCTCCATACATCCAAGGTGCTGCTGGGTCCCAAGGCACAGCAAATGAAACTCCTCTAAGGCACCTGAGGAACAAGCTTATGGACTAGCACTAAAGCCTCTCCTTTTCCAGGGATCAGCACAGCTCTCAGGAACAATCCTAATACAGCACCCCTACTGGAGCCTTGCATTCATATCCTCGCTCCCAAGAGAACCGACCCAGCAGTTAACAGGCTCAGGTCTCTTGAGCTCCTGACAGGAAATCACCATCCGGCGGGATTCAGTGTTTTGGGGTGGAAATTTCTGGCAGTCCATCCACAGAGACCTTCCGTGCATTGGCAGTGAAGCTGTAAGCCAGAGCGTTTGACTCTGATGGCGGAAGGCCAGGAGAAATCATCACTTTATCCTACTATTATTATTATCCTATTTATCCTACTATTCCATGGCCAAACCACAGTCTTTAAAGACAGAACTATACTGGGAAACCCTTCGTCACTTCTCTCTTCATTACTGCGCTATGTCAGACTATAAAAGCAGAACGTTATTGCTCTTGGGAAATTCAAATAGGCTGTTGAAGAGGTTCTTCACATGCCTGCTACTCCCCAGGAAAAAGAACTGCTGGATAAAAGGATGTGCTTCATCACCCACCCTTGCACACTGCTGATACATGCGGATGAGCCTCGGGACACCTCAGGAGCCAGCGCTCTGCCCCCGACAGCGGGTTCTCTATAGGATGGCAGCTGAGGCAGAGTACAGAAAACTACCATGGATGCTACCCAGGGCAGCAATAAAGCTCTGCAGTGCTCTCAACGTGACACTGCAACACTCCAGGCTTCGCGTCAGGCTCAGGCTGCAACCGGCAGGGGGCCTAAAACACAGACGGTGGCTGCATGCTGATACAGCACAAACCCCTCAGCTCTTGTACCCCGGCTTTGCTGCAGCATAAAGCAACGTCACACAGGAGGGGCTGGCACACCACGACTCACAGCTACAGAAGTGATCCCTGTGCAAGAGCCAACGCTAAATACACACAGATCCTATTGCTCCTTCCTCAGCCCCTAAATGGTGAGAATCTGCGAGACTCCCACCAGGCTGCGTAAGAAGAAGCTGGCCTTGAAAAGCTGCCCACCACCAGCTGGGGTTGGCCAAGTCACTTGCTTTGCTTTGCAGAGGTGGAAGGTGAGCCACGGAAACCAAGCCAGTGCTCACAGCAGACAAAACCCAAAGACAGTGCTGGCAAAGGCAGTACCGAAATGACATCCAGAGCTCATCCTGTTAGCTCAGGGCACTCACGAGAAAGGCAGTGCCAAAGCCAACATCTGCCTCTTTCCATAAATGACTGAACTCTCAGCTCCCACTGAAAATGGGGCCTTTGCCAAAACCTGAAGGGCTCTGCAGGATCCTCTCGTTTGGATGGGGACCGGCTGGGCTCCTAGCTGAGGTGGAGATCTGCAGGAGCCAACAACGCCGCTACCTCCTGGCCCAGCCTCTGGATCAACAACAGCACCAGTTTCGCAACCTGGACGTCTGGAAGACCACCTCCACCAGCTCAAAGTTAGCACATGGCACTGGGGAGTCACTGACAGGCAATCCCAGGGCATGGTGTCTTGCCAAGGTCAGTGCCATGGTAATAAATCCTTGTCCTCCCTTTCCTCCGGTTTCCATTTCCAAGGAGTCAGCTCCCACGTGTCGCAATGTGACTACTCACAGCTAAGCTGTGGTGGGGAGGATGCAGCACAAAGCAAGGACTTTGTCCTGTGGTAGCCACCTGAGCTTCCACCACAGCTGCTTCTGCTGACATCTCGTGGGTATTTGCAGAAAGAAATTAAATACAACGTGAGATGTGCTCGGAAAGTCAGAGCTGCACACCAGCTCCTTCCCCACGGGCCTGGAAGCTGCTCCAAATGTTCCTGGTCACATGGCAAGTCCTAAGGCACTGCCTCCTCTCTCCTGTTCTGATCTGCAGCCGGGACTTAACACTAGATACGCTGAAGTGACCTGCTGCAGCTCCTGCAGATAGCAACACCTGAAATACAGGCAGCTGATGCTACACTTAGCAAAGCTTCTGCACAAGCCCTGCAAAGCCATCCTGCCCAGAACGCACTTTCAACACCACTATCCCTCCGCCAGTTTCCTAACCTCTGCAAGCAATCACTTCCTCCAGTCCCTTGTCACCAGGGTTTGATGATTTCTAGAGGGTGCTCCCAGAAACCATGGGCAATAGGTGCCAACCAGAGAGCAGCCGCTTCTGGCCAGGAGGTCCGAGGCAGCAAGGTCCCACCTCTGGGGGGCCCTCCCCAGCAGATTCAAGGGCAGTGCAAGAAGGGTACTGGTCCAAGCTCAAAGTTACAGGGCCATCGACAGACAACACGCTGTGGAAGTCAGTGGCAGGGGATTTTCAGATTCTACGTGTGTAAAAGAGGAGAAACTACTGTCAATTGGAGTAAAGACACTCACATGCCAGGGGGAAGGCAGACACCAGCGAGACTCTCAATGGGGAAAGGACTGTTCCATAAATAATGGAATTCATGGAAATCAAGAGACTGATAACACTGCACAAGACAGCAGGGGAGAGACCCGTGTAGGAGCCTGCTTTGATTCAGCCCTAGAGCAACTGTGTAACAGGAACACGGCCATTTAGGACAGGTTTCCACTCACAGCTTGGGGCCAAGCTACGCTTCATGTCTCTACAGCATCACATCTTGATGTGGACAGGAGTCAGCCAGAATTCCAGACCTCCCCTTAATGCACCTCAGGGGCTCAAGAGCAGGTTAAGCTCATTGTGGAGACACAGTGACTGTAATGAAGCAGGAGCCCTGGGGCACACTCCAGAACCGGAACCAGCTCTGACACACCACAGGACGCTCTGAATGCTCAGCTGAGCAGCTCCCACTCTCCCCAATATCCCTGCTGCTCTGACATAGTCTCTTGGTCACATTGTGCTGCTGCCAGCTACAGTGGTGGGAAACCACACTTGTGCTGCCACTGGTGGCTCTCAGCCTTACACGGCCTGCAGGAACAACCAAGAAGAGAACAGCAGCCCCTTCCTCGGAAAACAAAACAAATAAACTAGTTTCACCCACTGTAAAAGAAAGAAGCGGTTGGGATTATTCCAGGCTTTACTCCGAGATGAGAAGGGATGTTGCACTGCTCAGACAGCAGGCATTCTTCATCTCAGACCATGCAAACACTCAGAACGACGGCTCTGGCTGATTGAAGGACATGGGGGTTTTGCTTGCATCACCAGGAAAGGGAGCACTTTTCTCTACCTATCTGCAGTAGAACTCAAAAAGCCTGTTTAAACCTGCCAGCCTCGTGTCCAGGCTCACAGACGACACTGGAAGGGAGACTCAGATGTGGAATACATCCAGGTTTTAGGAAGGGATTGCTGTTCCCATGATTAAACCTGGGCTCAATTTGGCCTCCTTTCCACAGGGGACCATTTCGTTCTGCAGGTCAGTGTGTGAACTAACAGTGCACCAGTGTCCTTTCTTCACCCCCATGCGTGAAGTGGAAATGCGTCCTTACAGAGAATAACTGATACCTCTAAACGCTGTGAGGACACTCACAAAGTGCCCTTAATTCACAGCCCTTGCAGTAGAGCCCAGCCTGGGGTCGGCTCTTGCTGCTGTTCAGAAATGCTTTTGCAACAAGCGCCCCCAGCCTCACCAGAAACCTGATGTCTCCTCTCCTGGCACATCAAGCAGCTGACGTGGGATCTGCCAAGGGACCTCATTCAGAGATGAGAAGGAGGAGGAGCAGGAAGGGAGGTTCTCAGCCATCACTTACCATGGGCACAATGGTGAAAGTATCATTGCAGAAAGGCATGGAGCCTCCCTGCACCTCTGTCCCCTGGTTCTGGGAGGTGCAGATGGGAAGGGAAGGCTGTTCTCCGAGAGGGGGGACTACCCCGTGCTCCTTAGGAACACCAACCAGCTTGTCCTCTTCCTGCCTCTGCAGCCTGTGCCATGGGAGAGACGAACCAAGCAGATAAGTGAATAAGCAGCAGATTTGCAGAGCCTGTCGTGTCAGTGCACGAGCAGCAAAGCACTTGGGGAGGAAGAGCAGCAGCTCAGCACGGGGCTGACCCTGAGACACGGGCTCCCACATGGATCCCATTATTCCCCTCGTTCCCAGCACAGCAGGGAGTTTTACTCCTCACTGACAAGCTAACACGAGGTTTCTTAAAGCTGGCAGCCCTCCAGAAAAAGCCTCCTGCACTGGGAGGGGAGAAGCAACTGGGTTTCAGCTGCACGTTACCAGCATCACACTTTCCCCCTTCCATTTTGCAGCCACAGGGATGAGGAGACAGTATCTGCACTGCCTTCCACCAGAGGATCCCGGTGCACTTCCAAAGCAAATCAATGGATTTGGGAACCCCATCACTTCAGTGACATGAATGGGTTTCTGTGCATGAAAACAGAGGTGCCAAGAGAGGAAGGGTCTTTGCCCAGCATCACCCAGTAAAGAAGTCAGGACCAGCATATCTGAATGCAAACCCTATGTTGAGCCTTGAACCACCTCATCTTTTCCCTCATTTCGGCCTCCTCTGCAGAGCTGCGATGCAGTTAACCTCTCCCTCTCCCTTTATTGGTGCTTGCAGCAGAGATCACTTTAGTGTTTAAAGAGCACAAGCGGGAGATGTAGAGGGGAGCACTGCTGCAGAGCGGTTGCTCCTTGCTGGCACACTGCTGTCCCCCCTTCACGCTCCAGTCCCCTGGCCGTGAAGAACCAGCGGGTGACAGCACTGGGGGCCCAGGGGAAGGCTCCATGTGCAGCAAATCGAGGCAACGCCGTATGAACGATCATCACCCAGCTAAATCCAAACACAAAGAGAAAGGGAACAGGCAAGGACGTTACTTGCTGCGCACACACAGAGCCTCGCGCACATGCTGTGCATGACGAGGGCTTCCGCACCCTGGGATGAGCAGCCCTCAACTCAAGCTCCATCAGCAGGCTATAATTACATCCCCAAAAGTGCTGCAGGAGGGACACCTTCTAATGAGCCATGTCTTTTGGGGTCACATCCCAACACAGGCTCCTGCACCGCCTCCTCTCAGGAAAAGGTCCTCTCTCCTCTGAGATCTCAAAAGCTTCTCTGACAGCAGGACAGTGGCCTTGGAGCTACGACCATCCCCAAGACTGCCAGGAAGGAAGAACAAAGCGTCGTGGTCAAAGTCTAGGACAGAGACCGGCACGAGAGCAGATCTCATGTAAAAAATCAGGTTGAAGTGAACTGTGGGGAAAGCTGGTGGCTTCCGAGGGGGCAGAGGATCGCCCAGGGTCCAGTCCGAGACAGGCAGGTGGGGAGAGATGCTAAAGAAATCGTCCAGGGAAGTATCAAGGGAAGGTCATGAGATTTTCTTTTAACTCAGTGCGTTTGCACAGAACTCGCACACTCTCTCATTGAAAACAGACAACTGTGGAAAACTGGTTCTGGCCTTCAGGGCATTTCTGACCTAACTACGCTGAACTTGATGTGCTCAAAGCCCTTGAAAAGTGCTGCAGTTCAAGGCAGTTTCCTGATCAGCTCTGGGTTCAGACTAACTCCTCTATGCCTGCACCCATCCGAGCCTGAAAGGTCGCGCAGGGATTCCCCAAGTCACATAAGCTTTTAAGTGTCATTTCCAATTCATCCCCCCAGGCTGTGAGTGTTTCTCTGCTGCCTGAAATGGGAATTTCAAAGCTTCACCAGATACACTCTTGGAAGAACGTGCCCCATCTCTCACCACCAGGACGACACAGGTTGCTGAAGCCCAAAAGCACTTCCAAGTCCTGGCTGCCCTCCCTTCCCTGCAGAGCCCTCCCCCTCCACATCTGCCCAGCCTATGAGGAAGGGGAGAAACATCTCGTTGGGCCAGAAACCAGGACACTGAAAGGCAATTCTCCAGCCTACAGCAGGACGGCCTCCACCTTCTGGGCCAACCAAGCACTCTACCCTGCGTGTGACTGGAAAAGGAGCCTGCAAGCTTATCAAAGAAGAAACTGCTTGACTATCACAATAGTTGTGCCACCTGCAGCTCTTCAGTGCTACTGCTCAGTGCAGTCCCAGGTCCCGAGCGCTGACCCCTTCCTCAGCCTCACGGACCCTCCGTAGTGCACGGATCTCTGAATTTGCGGCTCCCAAATGTGAATTTGCCCTCTGAGGCAGCCCAGTGATTGCAACCAACCTTCTCTCCCCAAAACATCATCCTCAGCTGTAGCACGGGTGGGACTGGAATGGCAAGGGTTAAGCTCCACACTGTGCGTGGGTTCATGTGCCCTAATCCGTTCAAAAGCCCCAACAGCCCTCTGAGGCCATGTGTTAGTTTTCCCCTGGGGCATCTATCTTTCTGAGATGAATCTCTCGAACAAACCTCAGCTTCTGCCGCTCCTCCTCTTCCTGATCAACAAAACGCTTCCACTGGAAGTGGGCCGTGATGGCACTCTGATTGCGGATCACCAGGGATCTTTGGTTTGACAGCGTGAGGGAAGTCTTCTCAACTGTCAAGGAGCTCTTGTCAAGCCTGATGTTGACATTTACAGCCGTTCCACAAAGGCTTTTGTGAACATCTTCACCTGGAACAAAGCAAAGGCAAGTCTCGGCTCATCTCACTTGCTGATGGAAGTACAAGGAACAGAGCAATCTGCAGGCAACAGAAGGAAGAGCCGCAGCTTTGAACTGCATCAGCAGTTCCCCGGATCAGGACATTTATCATAACCTGACAGCTGCACGCGGTACAGCATGAGGATGTCCTGGCACCGCCTTAGGCACCTTATTTTGGGGGGATGTTTGTGGAGATTTATCCCCAAGGTGACAGCATTTACAGTGAGACTTTTCAGATGTGCCCGGGTGCCTTTGGGCTGCCATCCCACTCAGGTCACAGGGAATTCTACATCCAAGTCACTCAGTGACGCTGAGGAGCCTCACCTCAGTCAACCCTTGCCCCGGGTCTCCTGCAGGCAGGAGATGCCCCCAGTGTCGTGTCATCCTCGTCTCCTGGTCCTGAAATATTGGGCATAGCTCTGATCTCAGAACCCAAGCGGGAGCATTTGAAATGAAATGGAGAAGGGCAGAAAGAACAACGGAAAGTACAGAGCAGCTTCTGTGCTGAGCATCCGAGGGTGCTACTGGGCCCTCGGATCCATCTGCCAACTCCTTCTTTTGCTCCTGCTACTATCACAGCCAAGTGCCTCACCACTGCCAGCCCATTCTTCCTTGTCAAACGTGCTGCTGTTACCACTTCACCACTGGAGAAGTGAGTCCCTTCGCTAGGGTAAGTGTCCTCTGGAAAGCTGGAGACTTCCGGCACCAGAGCAACATGCACAGCAGCACAGCCATTTCAAAGCGTTTCCCCAAGGTGGTGTTCGCAACCTACCTTCAGACATCATTACAACCGCACATGACTGACTCCAGCCCTAGCAGCAGCTCGTTCATAAACCTCACCATTAAATAACTGCTGCTAACAAGAGGGTTTCTACAGAATCATTCCCAGGCTACAGCAAAGCTCAGAGCACCCTAATGGCTACCGCTGCCACAGTTACTGCTCCTCATGGTCGCAAGTCCTCAGCATGGCCCAGCTCTCAGCAGAGCACCCATTGTACCCATGCAGCACATCACAAGAAGAGGGTCTCTACCTCAAAGGCCTTGCCAGGAACTGTAACACAACAGATCGGGATGAAAAGCAATGACAGGTCAGGAGAGCTCTATGGGACAGGCTGCAGGCTCTTCAGACAGCTCTCTTGCACGTTAAAAGCCATCTCCTTTTCAATCAGGCTCCTTGCTATGCGTCCTTCTGCAATGGAGCACGCAGAATATTCGCCATCGCCCCCTGTGCACCGTGCTTAAGAAGATCTGCCTGCCTTGTTACAGGCTGAAATATTCCAGCACGGGAATATCTGGCAGCCAGCATGGAAGCTTTGCTCTACCCGGCGTGAAGGAGCCTTGCAGAAGGGATTCAACGGGACAATGAAGCCATCAGATGATGGCAGACAGCGCAGACCCCGCTCTGTTTGGAAAGACACACAGAGGGTGCACCACGCACTCACCTGTGTCATAGTGAACAATCATGGGACTGGAATAAACACCGGTCTTTGGCGGGTGAAATTCCACTGTGACTTGCATCGCTTCTCCAACGCCAAGAGTCCCAATGGAAGGATCCACAGAGAACGGGCTGCAAGGCAAAGAGAGAGATCGGGACTGTACGGGAGATCTGGGCCCTCCGTTAATTTTGCAGGCTGTTTCACTTCAGCTCACTTGTGCAAGCAAGGAGCAAGCAAACCACAGTCGGTACAAGAAAACCAGAACATCCGGGATCAGAAACAGAGCGGGTGACTCTCCCTGCTGAAGAGAACCAGACTTCAGAAGATCCCGTGGTATAACATGACCTCAGCCCCCCATACTCTGCACCCAGTTCTCAGCTCTTCACCTCTGCACACGTGCAATCCAGTTACTCAGAATTCTACTTTTTTGTGTAGTTCACTTAAAACTGTTGCAATGCTTCCCATTTCTTTATTGCAAATCGGGACTGAAATAGTTCATTGCTGAAGTTCGGGAACTCTTAAAACCCTTGTCAAGGAGCTCTCAACACACGCTCTATCACCCAATAGAGCAGCTGGCAAGTGCATTGCAAATAGATGCTACACTTCACTGGGTATTTATTGAGGTGGTGACAACTAGGCCTGGAAATCCCAGAAGGAAACTGTACAGTGATTTACAAGTTCCTGCCCATGTAGCTCCCTCCACAGGGAAAAGCAGCAGCCTGCTTAAATAGCATCCTAGAAGCCTGCTTAAACAGCCTTGCCAGCCTTTGGCAGAAGCTCCTCTCAGACCCTCGTGCTTCACTGGAGACAAGTTTAAAGTCTTCTCCTGAATCCCGTTTCCTGGAGAAGAAACTGAAGTAGCTCAGGTGCACCAAGTCAGACACAGCAGGTCTTTGCTGCGTTCTTAACCTCAGCCCATGTCCAGCACCTCAGATGCTCTGCCTCCTTTTTCTCACTGTTTACAACTCCATGACCACGCAACAGTGTCTGCACAAGAGATGAGCTCCTTTACCTCAGAGTGGTGATGCTGTAGCAAGCCTCCCGCTTCCCCACGTTGCGCACCAGCAGAGTTTTCTGGGTCCTGAACCTGACTGGACAGTCGGAGAAGTTCAGCTGATCAGGGAAGTCCAGGGTGGCTCGGGCACCTACGGCTCGGATAGGCACAAAGAACTTCTCCCTCTCTGTGATGATGGTAAGCTCGTCAAAGTAATCCTGCAGGGAAAGAAACAATCTCAGCACAGTGCGTTCAGCACCATGCCCATGGCAGAAGAAGAACTGCTGCTTTCTGTGACTCTCACAGTAGCACTCGCACTTTTTACCTTCATGGCCTTTCATTACAGATTATTTCACAAGCAGGGGCAGCCAGGGACCATGGGGCAGATCTTCTTTAGTTTTCTATAGGCATGCTGCTTGAGGATAGGTCAGAGCATTCAACTACATTTAAGCAGCAGACAGAAGGTGAGTAAAAGGCCATGCACAGGTAGCAGACTCTCAGTCCTGAAGCCAACAGACATTACGCTAAATATTCCACCACCGAAGGAGAAAACAGCCTGAAACAGGCAAGAGCCTCCTGCCTACGGAAGCACAACCTTCACCACCGGGAAAGAGTCTCCCTCAGGTCTAGATCCAGTGCAACCCCACTGAACCCAGGCCAGTTCTTCAAAACCCACACCAGATGCCTGGTTTGGAATCCAGCCCTGCACGTTCACCTTCCCCTCAAGGCGCCATCTCTCAGGACCTCCAGTCTCACCTTGTTCTCATCAGGTCTGAAAAGGATGCGGTAGGTTGAAGACATGCCCGGTGCTACCTTATAGTCCTCATCACTCGGGCAGATCAACTCGAAGTACGGAGAGTTCCCCAGGATGACGTTCAGCAGACGAGGAACCTGCAGGAAAAACACAGAACTATGATTTTGTCGCTTGTGGAAACATGAGAAGGGACCCGGACAGGCCACGTGACTTCCTTCCTTACCACCTTTCCAAAACACTTTTAGCTCTGAAGGTACACGCACGTAACACACAAGGGAGGACTTGAATCCCTTCTGCTGAGCTACATGGCTGCAGGACAGAGGCTGTAGGAACAACATGCCCTGCTGTGAAGGAAGCAGGAAGGAGATGCACTACCTCAAGTCATCTGCGTATTCAACAAGCCCAAAGAACATGCTTGCTTCTGCCTGCACACATCCATGCAATCATGCCTCTGGAGGGGGAATGTATTATCTGAAGGCAAACCAGCGTGTGTTATGTGCAGGGGGAAGAAAGTCACTTCTGACACACCAGGGTGGAGTGGGGTGGTCAAGCTGCGGTGCTAGTCGTGAGGGTGGACCAGCAAGAGAAGGAGACCACGAACACTCTGCCCTTCCTGAAAATAAAAGCTTACCTCAAGAGCAAAAGGACGAGCACAGGAACACAAAAGAACAACCCCAGGAAGAAGCAGATGGCTAAGAGAATTTAAAGGGGGCTGAAAAGCAGCAAGGGAGATCCATAATACAAGGAAAGGCTGGTGCAGAGATGAGAACACCCAACGTGCTTGTATGATGGAAAGCCAGACAACCCCCCCAGGCTGTGCCTATCAGTTATGGTCCTCAAAGGCACTTTCTGCTTTGAGATACGTGACCAGCACTGCCTCACAGCGTGGCATCATTACTGAAAGCCACCCTGATCTCCCTGGAGGCTCTTGCTGCCTGGTGACTGCAGCCAGGCCTCTGCCAGTGCAGGAGAGCCACATTTCTGGGTATCCCTCCTCATAGCCGGGCCTTCCTGCAGGCATTCTGCTGCAAGTGTCTGTCCTCTGGGATGCCACAGGCACGGAGACAGCAAACAGGCATGCTCTAGCACACAGGCAGCAACCCCGCAGCACCCAATCTCATCTCAGAGAGTATAACAGGGAGAGTTTGAATGACAGGCAGCTCCACTGATGAACACACGAGGCTTGCGCAAAACGGAGGTTCATTCTGCACCCCGGCCCAAGCGTGATAACCCATGGCCAAGGCAGCCCTGAATGCTCTAAACACCCTTTGCTCCCAGCAATGCCCTAGGGCAGCAAGCTCCAGGAGCCCATTTCCCACTGCAGCCACACGTTCTGGTCACCGAGTCCCTTGGTACGTGAGCCCAGGTGGCAAAGATCTTCAGCAAGAGCCACCCAGGACACCTCTGAGGGTGGGGAGGAGCAGCCTGAAGACAGGAAAGCAATTCGACAGCAAGTAGGCAAGAGCAGTAAGCATAGAGTGAAGCACTTCCATATCGGAGTGCTTACAGAGCACCTACTGGGCTCGATTACACTTTGCCTTTGTTACACTTTGCTGCTAGCTGCAGTTTTAGGGAGCAGACAACTTCAGCGACCATGCAGGATACATCAGTAGGATTCAGAGGAGTCTGGGAAACTCGCGAGACAGAGCACAATGTTCCTTTTCTCCAGGACATGACCAAAACCCAGCAAAATTAGAACATTATAAGCTCTCTTGGGATTATCATCTCTATCTTTGTGCATTGAAATATGCCAAGGGCTTTCCTTAGAGCTGAGCTTCCTTTTACACCAGGGCTGTCCAGTGCCTGAGGTCGTACTAGCTTGACAACTAATTCATTTTGGGTAAAATCAACAGTTCACACACTGCCTCCCCTTCACAGGGCATAGAAATCCCAAGCTGCAGCTGTACCAGCCTATTACGTTTTATTGGGAATGGCACCAACATCCATGCGGATGTTGTTGTCCACTTGGGAAGCACGAATAGAGCAAATTCACCGTTTGCCTCTTTGCTGGTACTTGGCAAAGGCAAACATTCTGAGGTGCTGCATGGATGAGGGAGCAGCTGAAGCCAAAAGACACACTGGGAATGAAGCAGAGCAGTAGGAAAAGAGAAACCGAGGCCCATTTTAATAAGCAAAGGGCACACCTACAGCAAAGATTGCCCAAAGTCACTGTGAACCACACCAGTGGTGTCCCTTGGGCACAGGTATCCGCACTGCAACTTCCCACTATTCCCAAGCTACACCAGGAATGACACACAACTCTCTGGGAGTAACTGAGGGACCGTACCTTCATCCTTCCTTGCCAAAGGGTCTTCCATGCTCTACCATGTCCCTGTAAAACCTGTTATCTCAGGAGATACTTTTGACTTCTCTTGCTCTTCTTCCCCCTACATTAAGGCCTGACAGTGTCACTCCTTTTGTCCCCTTCTTTCTTTCTCCCAACAGGGAGATTTGAGGAGGGGGTTAATTCACCCGCACACTTCCACCTCCCCCCCCGTGCCCTCTTCTCACGCACACATCTTGCTCTTTCTTACACAACAGGATCTTGAATTACGCCTGTTTCTGACCTTTCTCTGCTTCCCGCACACTTCCTGTTACGTACCAAGAGAATCCCTGTGCGGAAGAAAGTGCTCCGGGACAGGACATTGAACTCAGCCCCTTTTCCTCCCTCCTGTCTTTTCCCACCAGCTTGCTCTTGGCACATGCCTCACTGGAGCAAATGTTTCCCCAGCTGAAATTAAGAAGGTCTCCATTTCCCCCTTTACAGCAGAGCAGAACAAAATTGCTGACATTTCTCAACTTCTCCCTGATCAAGTTTCTCAAGAAATCTCCAAAGGATCACAATCTTTCCAGTTCAAGTTGGAGACCTTCAGGAGCACATTACCCTGCCCGTGCTGGGATTCTCCAAAGGGAAAGCACAGCCACGCTGGCTTAGAAGCGCCTGAGCAGAACTGAGCTAAGCTTAGCAGGAGCCTCAAGTGTCACCTCAAGTCCTCCCCTTTAACTGCTCCTGCTAAGCCAGCCTCTTTCCACTGCTCTTCCAAAACACCCAGCCTGGAGTGCTAATGCCAGCAGTTACAACTTACTCCAGCACAAAGCGGAGATGACTCAGCCCCTGTGCTTTGACAGGGAGCTGCACACAGGTGGCTGAACAGGCTGAGAGAGGGAAACATGCCCTGCCAGAAACCAAGATTAACCAAGGAGCCACCGGGACATGGTGCACACTCGAGGTAAAGCATGACAGCAGGCAAGAAGTGCACAGCCCCTGACATTCCCATCAGTCCAGGGCTTTCAAGGGGAAGCATGCCGGCTCAAAAAGCTCCTTTGGCTTAGATACCACCACTGCACGGCCAAAACCAGCAGGAGAATCCCCAGCACGGGAACATTTCCCCATCTTGCAGAATAACGCTGGTGAGACATTGGATTCTGCATGCGCTGTGCTGCAGCGGGTAACTTGCTCTGCTGCACACCATGTGAATTCCACTGCTCTTCTCCTCCAGCCCAGCGCTCAACCTCCACAGCCCAGCACTTACCCTGTCCACGTTCCTCAGAGCTAGCGCCGCTATGTAGAACTGGTGGGGAACGTAGTTCTCAAACACCACCTCGGATGGGAAAGGCTGGAACAACCTCTGGTCCAGGTCAACTGCTGAGAACTGCAGATGCAAGACAGAGCAGAGAGAGCTTCAGCTGCTGGCAGAAAGATTAACGAATGAAGATCCCACACTGATCTCCAGTAAATACAGTCTCTTGGAGAGTACATCTGCCCAGCTCACACTAGGAGATGGGAGCTCACCCACCTCTGCTCTCAGCTGAGCAAAGGTTTCTGGACCATGTTGAGCAGCCTCAAGCTAAGAAGCTCTTTTGGAGGCTGTTTCTCCAGGTTGCCTTCTCCAAAAGGCAAAGCAGCGCTCACCTCCAGCAGAGCCCTCTGCTAAGGTGCTCACTCAGCTCCAGACACTTGCTGGAACAGCCACGAGCACTCAGGGAGCAAGCAAAACCCACGAGTTTCCATGAGCCTCCACAGGAAACAATTTGCGGGTGAACTTCCCTCTGAGACAGCGAGACTGAGCCCCACACAGCCCAAATGTCTTTTTTTTTGACGTAGAGCCCAGAAACCAGTTGGAAGACACCAGTACCAGGAAGGAAAGGCCAACAAGAAAGTAACAGGGCAGCTGGGAAACAGACAAATGAGGTGAATGCTGGATGGGGATGAAGTTCAGCTCTTTCCCCTGCGTTACTGGGCAACTGGAGCTAGACTGCAATTCGTATCCCCTTTCCCCATGAGCTTTCAGCTTCACTGTATTCTATTACTGCTGGTTTATTTAATACCACTGCAGAAGCGGCTCTGAAAAATACACACAAAGACCAAACGCTGACCCAGCAGAGGCATTACTCGGACATAATTCCTCCCTGCTTGGTCTCCCCTCTCCCAGCTGCACTGCTGCCACTCGAGAGACACAGGCAGGTCTCCTGCTTCTCCACAAAAGCCACGGTCAGGCTGAGGCCAGTAGCTGTAGCACTGCCAGTTATTTGGGCGCCCGTCTTACGTGTTCCCACCTCGTGTGCTGTCTGGGGCAACCCTTAACTGATGTGCTACAGGTCTCTTGCTGGCAGCTTTCTGCTCAACAGCCTACCTCAGTCATGCACCCACCTGCACTGTGTGTTAGACTGAGCACTCCTGCAAGAAAAGCAGCTTTAAACATCCATCTAAGAGAACACTGATCCAGGTAAAGCGCATCCACTCTCCTCTGCCCAGGGCGATTCCCCTGGGTAGCCAGCAGCCTGAAAACTCAAACACCCTGGAAGGGTCCCACGCCTTCTTCCCACCCAAGGCATTAACGCAATTGGGTTTGTTACAGCTTAAGTAATTGCCACAGGCCCTCAGCCTCCAAAGGCCAGCACTGCCACCACTGAGGGAGTCCTGTGACCCCAAGCACGGGGCAGTTGACTACACCAAAGCAAGAGGTGGCTGTTTGAAGAGCAGGGTGAGGAACAGCAGCTCCTGCCCTTGTGTCCTGCCCCAGCCCTCCCCCAGTAGCGTGATTTAGCGACGGTAGCTCAACTCCAGCAAAACCCACCAACTGCAGCAGAGCTTCCATTGGCTTCGTGCAGATCAGGACTTCAATGGCTCACTGGAGAAACATGGTTTGCCTTTCCCCCAGCAGAAAGAAGTCCACCACCACCAGTTGGAAATGACAACAGGACCTAATCACCAAGCTGCTTGGGTGAGCTGGAGGCAAGCCTGCCCCGAGCACGTGCCCTCTTCAAATGTCACATCAAACAGCAAGGAAAAGGGCAGGGAACGGCTACCTTTTGATGGGAGACTTCACCCATGCCCCGAAGCTGGGTAGTCCGGGGCCGCCTCATCTCCCGAGGGCTGGCCAGCCTCTGCTTGGTGGTGAGAGACTCTTCTGCCTCTCTGACCACCTTCGGATTACGAGATGCTACCACTCTGCTCTGGAATCCATCCGCCCTTCTGGAGGACCTCGTGGGCCGGGGGGTCTTGCCACTGGCCATGGCGCAGAGGTCACCTGGAAGAAGCAACAGTTGGACAATCCACAACCCCAGAAGCTTAAAAACCTAGACCCATGGAACCCTGGAACCCCACAACCTTAGGCCCTTAAAACTCACCCAGTTCCAACCCCCTGCCACGGGCAGGGACACCTTCCACTAGACCAGCTTGCTCCAAGCCCCTGTGTCCAACCTGGCCTTGAACACTGCCAGGGATGGGGCAGCCCCAGCTTCTCTGGGCAACCTGTGCCAGGGCCTCGCCATTCCTGGCACAGCCAAAGGACACAGCTGTGTCTCCAGCCTCTGGCATCCTTCCTAAGCAGAGAACACCGGGCCTCCCCACCCTCACTCATCATTAGACCATATTTGGGCTCCATTCATAGACGTAAAACCCCACAGCAAACAGCCCCTGAGCCAGAAGAGCCTTTTGCTGTGGGTGCAGTCCCATGAGCCACAGAGACACTCCAGGGGCTGCTAGCACTTCTCACCCTTTCTGCAAGGAGCCTGCTGATTAAGAACTAGAGTTTCTCAAGGCTACTTTGCCTGCTTGAAGGTACGAAGATTATCTGGCAAAAACGGCTCCTTCCAGGCATGGAATCACCCCACTGCCCAAGAGCATTTCTCCATGCAGAAGGACGCCCTAATTTTCACTTGTTAACACCCAAACTCGAGGCTCCCTACAGGCATTCCAGGCTGCCACAGCAGGAAAAAAAGCAGGAAACCATCAAAGGCACATGAGCAATTAGCTCAAATCTAAGTAAAATCCAGGATGATATTCCCTCCTGCTTCCCTGTGTTCCACATCACCTCTGTTGCGTGCACTTGCTGTACACAGCAAGACAGCATCTAGGCAAAGATGGCCATTCCCTGCCCCTCGACTGTTCCCCACACCCGGCGAGGAAGGCAGTCACTACATTCCTTTACTCCCAAGGCAGCTACAGCACTGCACGTGTTTGTGGTGCTGGGCCCTTCCCAGCTTCAGGAAACAAGGCTACCGTTTCCTTTTGTTCTTGCAAGAAACACCAGAGCTCTGCACTGCCCTATGGACAGGAGGACCTGCTGCAGCAAGAGCTGGGATTTAAAGCTGGAAATAAGTACTTTTCAGGGGAGAAACCTAATGGGGACGATCCAACATTAATCTGGATTTCAGTGGTTTATTACCGGGTCTTAAGAACAACTGGCTTATTCGCTCCAATTCTCCAAGCTGTGATTTCACTTCACTTGAAACGAATCCTGTCGTCACCCCCATCAACGCTTATTTCCAGAGGGCTTCCAACCTCCACACCCCAGCCAGCCCAGCAGCTTCCCCCCGAGCCCTGGAGCAAGGCTCTTCCACAGCCCCAGAGCCCGCAGGGACCAGCCTCCCCGAGGAGCAGGAAAGGAGCACAACGGAGCAATCGGGCACATCTCCCTGCAGGGGCAGGACAAAGCAGCAAGCAGGACACAGCACCCCTCCAGCCCACCACCCCGTGGCTCCCTGCTCCCCACCTCAGACAGCCAAGGCTCCCTTTGCTGCAGGACCTACGGCCTAGCTCCAAGTCTCTACCAACACTGCAAGTTGCACGGCAATTGCAGAGCCCCTTCAAGCCCTTCTACCTGCCCAGCCCTGCTCTTAGGCCAGGGATGTTTAAATCCTGCCGGCTGTCACACAACTGCCCCATTCCTGCTGCCAACGGAGCTGCCTCCTCCCTGCTGCCCAGGGCCAGACGCTACCTGAGGACGGGTGATTCACGCTTCTCCTGGAGGATTCCTCCGTGCAGGGCCCAGCCTTGGCTCCTGAATGCCCTCACGCTGCTCGGCAGCCGTGGGCAGCTGGAGGGACACGAGCTGCCCAGGGACGCCTCGGTGTGGCTGTTGCCCACCAGCACAGCAGGTAACTGCTGCTGGGCTGCCAACAGCCAGGGGAACGCGGGCAGCAAAGGACAGGGCTGGCACCTGGGCTGCCCAGCCCCTCTGCTCAACGCTCTGGCTTTGCCAGGTAGGGCAGGGTTTCACCCGCGCCTCGAGGAAGCAGAGCTCTAAGCCTGACAGTAGCTCAAGCCTGCTCCTGTCTCAGCGGCTGAGCAACTCCTGCTCTGACTGGGCCACGGCTGCTGCTGGCACTTAACAGCAGCAGCTCCCCTCTACGTCACAATAGGCGAGCTCCACACGCGCCATAAAGAAGGTGCTCACCCCCCTGGCACCACTTCCACACCAAGTCCGCCACCACTTGTGCCTCTGGGATTTCTCCAGCTCCAGGCTGGGGTGGAGACTGTGCTTCCTGCCTTGAGCTCTCCCGGTATCACTGTTGGCCGCCTTGTCTCTCCTCTGGTGGGCTCCACGGCCACTGCAGGGCCTTGCTAAAGTTACAGCCTTGCAGATCCCTGCAGCCCCCCTACGCCTTCAATGTCTCCCCCGCAGCGAAGGGCTGCAGCAGGATTAAAGTGCACCTTACAGCAGCACTTGTTCACGCTCCGTGAGCGTCAGGTAACTTGGTTTATACACTGCAGATGAGCCAATAATTACTCTGCTTCAGGAGTACAGAAAAAAGACTCCCCACTGACTACGAAGCAACGATTTAATTCCTACTTCGCTGGCCCCGGAGGAGCCCAGTCACACCAGGACCAAGGCCAGGCTGCCGTTGGGGTGAACCCTGCTGCTGTCCCTGGTGAGCACCCATCGATGAGTTTGCACCCAGTAAGCCTGCGCACACGGGCACACGCACCAGCCAAGGCCACCCAACTTCCCGGGGCATCTCAGCTGCCAGGAGCTTCACACATTTTCAGCACAGCATTTGCCAGAAACCAAAGCTTCCTGTGAGACTCTCGGCCACAGGCAAAGGAAATCCTCACATCTGCTTGGCGGGGAACGTGGAGCCCTCGGTTTGAAACCAACACTCATCATCTGGGGGTTTACAACCCACTCAGGCAGGATATGAGCCCCGAGCGCTAACCGGCCCTCCAGGCAGCCAGCCTGTGGAAAGACTCCGAAACATGCCCCGCATGATGTCCAGCCACGAATCCAGGTGGAAACTGGGGAGCTCAGGCAAAGACACCTCAGGTGTGACACCCTTGTGTGCTGAAGGCACCAAGACAGAAGCTCTGGAAGTAAAGGAAACCTGTTACAAAAGCCCTACCACAGCTGAGATAACTAATAGGAGCCCAGTATTAGAGCTTCCTGCTATTTCTTTGATAACCTTCAACTGCCAGCCGACGCTGAGACAGCCCAAGCTCCCTTCAAGGGTCTGCTGGAGGCTCCCCAGCTCCACATGGCATCATTCACAACTGTGCCTCCTGCCTTCAGTCCTTACACTACTACTGTCCCTTTCCCACCTGCCTCTCCCAGCATCTGCTCTCTGGATCCTGACTTCGCAGCTCCCTTTTAACCTCTTGTTTTCTGGCATCTGGATGTCGTTTCAGAGACTCAAAGAGGGAAAAGACCCTTACGACCAAGTCTCACCCAGTGTTGTGGTTTAAGGACAGACGGTAAGTCAGACCCATGCAGCCGCTCACTCACTGACCCCCATCCCAGCTCAGGCTCTCCTGGGCCCCAGCTCCTTCGCACCCAGCACTGCCAAGTCCACCACTAAACCCTGGAGCACCGCATCTAGAGGTCTTTTGAATGCCCCCAGGGATGGTGACTCCACCACAGCCTTGGGCAGCCTGTTTAGGCCTTGACAGCCCTTTCTGGGAAGAAATTTCCCCTCATAGCCAATCCAAGGTTTTCTTTTCCCTTCACACTATGAAACCATTTAACCCAGCAGCTGCAACCCTTCGTGTAAATTTCAGAACATTCAAGAAGTTACTCACAGTTTGGGGGGAATCTCTGACACGAGCAGGGCAGCAACCGAGGCTGTGACTGCCAGGAGACAATGCACACAAAGATGGGTGCATTCAGGACGGAGGTTCGGGCCCAATTCAGCAAGGTACTGGCACCACGTCTCAGTTTAAACAAGAAAGGGGACAGATGTCAGGGGCACTGAGAACTCTGTGCTTACAAAATGGTTCAACAGTCGTTCCTGGGGCTGACACTGCCTTCATCCTAACTGCCTTGGCCTCGTGTCTCCACTGGCAGCTAAAAACCATCTAAGTCACCACGATACTGAGGACAGAAACATCCTACAGTACCCCTAACACTGCAGGACCAGGGCTTAGTCAAAGTCACGCAGGCAGAGCAGGGCTCAGTCTCTCTTCCCTCACACCCAGCTCTTCTCCCCCTCCTGCCAGGGCCTTCTCCATGCCACCCAGCACCACGGGACACCACAGGCTAGGGAGTACAGGGTCCTCCTCTCCTCCTCCCGACATACAGAGCTTCCTTCAGAGCTTGAGCACATGGCAGCTCTTTACTTCCTGCCATCACACACATTTGAAACCATGGTTACACCCCAGCCAGCACCCACAGCCCAGCAAAATCCTCCCATGGTCAGCTCCAAGGACCACACAAAGTGCCACAAGCGCTCCTTTCCCCCACCTTCTCCTGACCAAGACAAAAAACAGCCCTCACGTGCTTTACCTGGTCCACGACAGCTTGGTTGGCATTTGCAGCTTCAGACATCCCGTGGCAGCTCCATTTGCAGCAGGACTGCTCTCCTTGGCTCCTGCCTTCGCAGCAAGCTGCTCATCCACAGCAGGGCTACTACTTGTGCTGCGGGGCACCTTCAAACACCAGCATGTGCTTCTGTGATTGGAAGCAAGAGAGAGAAAGATCAGACCAGGAGACACAGGGAAGGGACAAGCCCAGCCCGGGACGTGCCTTTCAACCTGAGCCCACAGGAGCACCGGGCACAAGCCCAGCAGCTACCAAGCCCCACAGGCTCTTCAGAAGCTGTGAAAGGAGCAGCTTGGCTTATTTCTCACTTGTGAAGCACTGCAGGGACAGGCCCATCTCTTGCTGCTGCCAGGCAGCTGGGGCAGCTCCCTGCAGCACACACGCTGTGCTGAGAGCTGCTGGGCAGGCTGCAGGCACCAGCCCTGCTGTGCAAGGAGCTTCCAAACTGAAGCAGGCACCAAGAAATAAAAGCAAAGCTGAATGTGGCTTTACCTGCTGAGGGCAGGTGCCTTCACAGGCCCATTACAACCACGCGACAGCCACAACCCTCTCAACTCAAGCAAAACCCCAAAGCAATCGCTGCTCTGCTGAAGAAGGGACCACTGCACTGCCTTTTGCTTAGCCAGCTCTTTGACTGCATTTGTACCTGAAAGTCTTTTGCCAAAAGGACTGGGAGTTTTGTCAAAGAACAGCCCTGCAGAGGCTCTCCTGGGCTGGAACCCGAGCCAGGGCTTGGATTTTTAAACAGGGCAGCCAGTGCATCCCTTACAAGAGCGCTGGGAGTTGGCAGCACTGGGATCTGAACCCCCACCATCCCTTCAGAAGAGGTGTCCCCCGCTGGCACTACAACTGTCAGTCCCTATGCACTAATGCTCCGAGAAAGAGACAGCTCATTTCCTCTGCCCTTGCTTGGCACATCAATACTTAAGCGACAGATGCCTCTAAGACAGGCAGTTAAGATGACACCGCTCCCTTGAGGAGAAACAAGGAGAAAGAGAGAAAATGTAGGGCAATATACCTTCCAAAGAGTAAAAGAATAAAGGCTTCACAAAACCCATCTGTGTTGTAGACATTTGTACAGATGTGACTGTACTTGGAATGGCAGAACAGGCAAATCCATGGCACATGGAGAACAGAGAAGCTTTGGAGCAAACTCTTTAGGGCCAGCAGAGCACACCTCCTCCCGGGGGTGGACAGCTCTAATTGCCACATTGCTTCCCGGGAATGACAGGGGGAGAGAGTCAGCACAGCTGCAAAAAGTCAGTGAGACGTCTCCAAGGGGGAAAAAAGGAAAGGGAAGATAACCAAGAGCTTTTTACCATGTTATTTGTGACAAGAGCCATCAAAACATGAGTCGGTGATGGACAGCTGGGGAGAACAGTCAGGATTCCACAAAACAGTTCAGACAGCTGGAAACCAGGCTGAAAATTAACATCTGCCAAAAGAAAAATGTAGCGTTTCGCTCTGCCCTAGAGCTACCTCTAGGCAAACATATCATCCTGCTGCCCAGACCCAGACCAAGAGCATTCCTTCCCCAAAGGAGACTGTCTGGCCCCTGAGGCAGGGTGAGGATGGGACACCACCGTCCCTTTTCCAGCTCACACTTGTGTATGCTGGGATGGCAGTAGCTCATGGGCTTGGCAGAGCCACAGCAGAAGGGAAATCCGAAACTCAGTCACACCCACCTTCCTCTCCTGCTCTGCTGTTACAGAGGTATTCCGAGCTCTGAAAATAACTCCACACGACTCCACCTCTGTGCCACTGATCCCGTTCTCAGTGGGGTTTGCTCCTTCCTTAAGGAGCAAGGAAAGGGCAGGGGGCAGACTGAGCCAACTGTTTCCCTTCTGTGGGGAGCATTTGCTCAGCCCTCCAGCACTGGGAGGCAAATTATCCTCTGGTGCAAGGGCACAGAGCTCAGCACGGTTCTGCCAGCAGACAGCTCGACCCAGGGCTCCCTCTTGATTCCTGCTTTCTAACAAGCATCCCATTGCTGAGCCAGGAGTCCAATGAGGGGCACCCGCCAGGTGAGGAGACCAATGCTCCCACTCCCTCCTCCTGCAGACCTAACACCTAGGAGAAAGAAGATCTGGGAGTCACCAGCCATAACATCTCATGTACTCCTTACAGGTGCCACTCTTCTTTCCCCCATGTCATTATGGTCCAGGAACACAACAATTACAGCCCCCGCTGTGGGTACATTCTCCACAAGGTTTGCAGTGAGCTCTGAGGCAGACCTCCATCTCAACAGAGCCAGCTTTGAGATCTGCAGCCCAAAGCTCAGCAGGCAGTGGGCACATCAAACCTTGACAAAACGTCTGTTATAAATTCGGACCACAACGGATCATAATCCAATTGAAATTTTATTAATTATAGCAAGTAGAATATGAGCAAAGACAGCGCTGGACGACAGGGGAGTCTGCGCTCCGACAACTGCCGTACTGAACAGTTCTAACAGTCCCTTTTTATCAGTCCTCCAGTTCCGCATTCGTATCTTCAACGGAGTACTCTGCGCATGCCCCAGTTGCTTGAGGCTGAAGGCTTGAAGTCCTCCTCGGTTACCTTTAGATATCCTTTTCCATATATGGTCTTCAACTTGCTGTGCAATAATTTTTAGAATTGTTTTGCAAAAGCCCTTAGTAAGCGTCTTGCGGTTTGTAAATAATTTTGGTGTCAACTTATGCAAGTAAAGCACTTAAGCAAAGCAATAGTTGCCCCCACCCATATGTCTGCCAGTTTTTTTTTTTAGAACATCTTGCAGATATTTCCTCAAAACTTGCAGATGTTTCCTCAAAACTTGCGCAAGCGGTGTCTGGTTTAATCTGCACAAGCGACCACGGTTATCTTTTCTTTTGTTGTCTAATCTTTACATCAGGCTTAGCATAAATCTTAATAAACAATACCATAGTCCCTAGTTTTTCACACGTCCTTCTTCCCTCACAAGCCACCCAGGACACAGGTTTCCAGGCCCTCTGCCCTGGGCCCAGAAATTCGGTTTGCCTCAGAGGTCTGAGATACCTGATGGTGTCAGTTAACAAACTGCTCCCTCTCCTGGCTTCACAGCGCTCCTGTTGTCTGAGTATTGCCTCCAAAGGTTCCCAGTTCCCCGACACAGCAAGGCCACCCCAGCCTTTAAACATCAGGCAACATGATTAGACATTAGGAGGAAGTTCTTCCCTGTGAGGGTGCTGAGGCCCTGGCACAGGGTGCCCAGAGAAGCTGTGCCTGCCCCATCCCTGGCAGTGTTCAAGGCCAGCTTGGACAGGGCTTGGAGCAACCTGCTCTAGTGGAAGGTGTCCCTGCCCGTGGTGGAGGTTGGAACTGGATGAGCTTTGAGGTCCCTTCCAACCCAAACCAGTCTGGGACTCCATGATTCTATGTTTACCTGACGCTAAGGTACAGATCAAACCCTGCAGTTTGTGGTGCTGCTGGAAGCTGGGGGCTCCAGATCAGGTAGGTGTGCATTTAGACAAATCCCTTCTCCAGCACAGCCTCATCCCACCTGCCACAGCTCCCCACACACGGACCACTGAGCCTGAAGGCACATTCTTCACTGCACTCCAAGCCCCAAGCTCCAGAAGTTCCATTCTCCCCTTTCTCCAAGCATCCATGTGCCCAGGCACTTGGCGGCCCCCAGCACCTGAAACTGTCATTATCCACTCTAACTAACTGTTGGGCACTGGGCTCACATCTGGTTTAGAGCCTTCTCCTTTCCCCCAGCTTGCTACAGCCACTCTTCTAGCTTCCCTACAGAACAAAGTTCAGGCAAAAGCACACAGCTTTGACCATTTTCTTCTGCAGGGAAGCTGCACCTCAGATCCAGGCGTGACCCCACATCTTTACAAGACCAGCTGTGCTGTGACAGTCCAGAACTAGGCGTCTGTACCACACTAACCCACTGCGTGTCTAGGCCCCAGTCAGTACCCCCAACACACGGTAAGAACAGACAACTCTTCAATAAGCACATTTCCCATTTCTTCTTAGCAAGGAGCAGTGTGCTTTACACAGCGTTTTCCAGACAGCTCACTACAGCAGACCAGGGGCCTACACTTCCCTCACTTCCCAGTCCTTGCTGCCAAATCATGCTGGGAACAGATTTCCTGGGTCAGAAACACCAGAGCCAGGTAAGATCCACTTGCTTCTCATGTCCTGCCTCGTAACTCCTTGTGCAAGGACTGCACAGTTAAAACCAGGTTTGTGGCATGGGATGTCCCACCTGGGCACATAGGCAGGTGAGCAGCAGAGGCTATTCCCTGTTTCCAGAGCTGAGCAGGTATCAGGCAAAAAGCATCATAGTAGCATAAAAGAGACAATTCCATGCCCCAGCATGAGCTCAGATGAAGACATCATCAACCATGTTACCATGAAGGAGCACGAAAGTTGAGCAGACCAACTTCAGACAAAAGGCCAAGATTAGAAAGGAGCACTCTAGGGAGTGACCCTGGCTGTAGTGAGGGAAGAAAAAAATAGTCAACAGCATAACACCTCTTCCATTAAGTTTCCAGAAATCCTCAACAGCGGATAAATATTCCACTAACTAAAAGCTTTTCTACACAATTACCTCTGCAGCTTGCGGCAATGCAGCTGCACACAGGAGTATCTGCACACTCCGTGTGGCCACACTTGTAGCTGAAAGCCTTGCATCCCTCTCTCTTCAATGCTGCTCAAACATTTTGACTGCCCAGCCCTAAACTCTGCTCCTGCAATAACCGCCCACAGTGTCAAACTGCAGTTTCAGGCATATCCCATTACCTGCTGAGGGTGCCATCCTAAAAGTTCGACTTTTCACACTTTAGCTTTGCCCGCTAAGAAACAACAGGATGGAGAGGAACGTGTGCAGGCCCTTCAGAAACACACACAACCCAAATGCACAAGGATAGCACAGCGTGGACACATGGCAGATGGAGAGACAGAAGCTGTCTCTGGGCTTGCCAGCTGCCAATTCAACACCTGGGAATGACAAAGTAAAGGCAATTCTGCCTACTTTTAAAATACCAAGAAATGCCCGCTCACGTGCCTGAAGTTCAGAGTGGGAAATCCCTTCATAACGCAAAATTCACCTTCATGACCTCGCGGTGGCCCTGTCTGACCCACCTGCAAACAGATCACCATGATTCTGAGAGACCTCAGCTGCTTTACCCACGAGACTCAACACCTGATAAATCCTTCACTGCCAGTGCTCCTGCTGCCTCCTCCAATCCATTACATTGTCATCATCACCTTCAGATGCCTGCTGCTCACCAAGCTCAACTAAGGATGAAGGAAAACAGGACAGTGACAACAGCAACCAGAGCAGGGTATTAAACAGCTGACAGCAGAGCTCTGGAACACAAGTGACAGACAGCGAGGCATTACTGTGCACAAGCTTTCATACTGCAAATGCACTGCATACAGGGCAACAATCTGCTTCCAGCTCTGGGAAGCCCAATCCCCTCTGCAGGCGCAGCGCTGCTCACACTGCAAGCTTCCTTCCCTAAGTTTTAAGGACAGAGGAGCTCCACCTTGATCCAGCCCCAGCCCATCCAGGAGCTGTACTGCCCTGTTCAGCTGTTCTCTCTGCTACGGAGCAGTCTCAGTATCGAGGCACAAAAACCAAGATCACACCTATGCACGCAAGCTTGGGTGCAAGGCATCCAGACCTACTATTCCAAGAAAGTCTGTCATTCTCAGAGAGCTTCCAATAAGCATTAAGAACAGGTGTGCTGCCACTTTCCCTGCTTAGAGGAATCCTTCCCATCCCCACTGTCTGGTTCACTCAGAAAATACCTGCCCTGCAACAACCCCTCCTTATTACCTTCCTTCTCCAGCACTGCCAGGTCCAGGTTGGACATCATTTCTCTCCAGTCAGGACTTGTTGTTTTCTTTCACTTTTTACATTCTCTACTTGCTGTGGTACTCTCTGCTTTTAGGCTGGTGTTTTCAAATTCTTCCCAGCACTTATGGGCACTAAGTAAAAGAAAAACCAAACCAAACGGGTCCTTTAATTGTAACACAAACAGCCAGGAAAAGTCCAGTGCTGAAAACAAGTGAGGAAGATTTCAAAGGCTGCTTTTCTGCAATGCAGGCAGATTCCTCAAAAATAGCACAGCACAGCCATGGAGGGTCCCAATGAAACGTGCAAAACTCTAATTCACGCCTTGCTTCTTTTTAACCCTCAGCTTCACAGGAAGATCAGAATTCGTCTCCATGCCCACCACACCTCCTCAACAGAAGCTTTCAGATACATGTACCTCTTCCACTTGGTTTGCCAGCAAGACCATAGGCAAGCAGCGCCACTGCATGCTACTCTGCTACACTGGGTCAGACGTTACCAAACTCATCTGTCCATGTTTCTAAGCCCATTCTATACCGCAAGGACCTGGGAAGATTTCCTGGTACAGACAGAGCTCCTCTGCAATTAATCCATCTTGCATCAACACAGGCTAGGCCTTAACATTTCAGTACAACCAAGACTTCACATGTTGGCCCCAATCCAGAACCTTCTGCTTCCTACCTCACGTGCGCCGGAATCCAACAAAGCAGTATGGTTCAGTTCATTTTTTCTGCTCCATACACCTCCTCAGGCAAAAGAAACAGGCTCCTGAAGTTGAAATGGAGCCTCTGAAGTTTCTGCAGCGCTTCACTTCCCAAAAAGACAATATTTATATCCACTAGCACTTGCTGCCTCTTTTCTCCTCCATTTCATCACCAGATGCGTTTTGGTACATCTGCTCTATTAGTGAAAACTGATTTACACAAGACAAAAAAGAATCCTTAATACAACACTGCAGTGGAAACCAGTGACATCTAAAATTGCACCAACACCTCCCAAAATTCTCGTATCCCATTTTCTTACCTTTGCTGCTTGAAAAGTGTTTTGCTCTGTTCAGATCCGCAGGGCATGTCTATAGCTGAAAACAAGACAGCCCAGCCTGACTCTCCTAACTCGCTCCTGGCTCCTGCCATCCATGAGGAACACGGTGGGGCTGAGAGGAAGGCAGATGCTCTTTGGTTGTTTGTTTTCATGATCTGACCATCTCTCAGGCTCTTCTTCACGAGACCAAGGAGTGGTGATGGAGTTTGGCTTCTGACCTCAGCTGCCCTTCCAGCGCTCAGCAAGGCATCAACCAGCAAGTGACTGGTAAAGCGAAGCACCACAACAGGTCTGGGGACAAAGCAGCTTCGCCACTGTGCACCACCACCACCACCACCACAGGCATCCTCTTCCAGCAGAGAGTTACTGGCCTCTGGCTCTGGGGTTTGCCTGCTGCTGGTAACCCAGTGGTAACTTCAGCTCAGAGAGTTACTCAGCAATCCTTGCCTTCCATTCTCCCAGTATTGGGAAGAACTTGGCATCTTTCAGACACAGCCCAGAAGGGCTTGGGGTGGGAAGGGGAGGGAAGAGAAGATAATACAGAGAGAACAGCCTCAATCTGTACTACCTCTGGAAACAAGACAAAACCCTCCTGCAAACTACAGAGGAGGTTCTGTCCATGTTTTTCCCAGTTCCTCCCAGATCCCAACACCTCTCTGAGACCTTGCTGCCTGTTGTGCCCAAACCTTGCCCTCCCAATCCTCTGCAGGATACACCTGCCACAAAGGTTGTCTCAGTCCCCATATCTTAATTCCAGCTTCAGTTTAATCTCTGTGGTGAAAAGCCACAGAAGCAGACTCCTTAAAACCCCATCTGCCTCCAGGGAGGGAAAATAGGTGTACAAGTTGCTCTAAGAGCAGATGGTGTCTAAAGAAAATGACGGTAAGTAAGCTTCAGGGTTGCAGCTTCCCAAGGGACTGCTTCACCCCAGTAGCAGACCTCTAGGCCAATGCACCAGTTAGTAAAATTCTAAGTCCCACCACCTTTCATTAGTTGCTATTTACCAAATCACTACTTCCACTCATGCTCCCGAGACTGTATTTTACTACAGACCTTCCACAAAACTAGTCACAGAATCACCAGCCAAAACACTTATACAAATATATACTTACGGGCCTCTAACCCCCTCTTGTGGAATGGAAACGGAGCCTATTTGGGGTTTATTCAGTGCCAGTGCTATTAACTGTGGCTCTTAGGCATAACTGGACCTCTCTATAAATCTAAATTTCATTAATTGCCCCAAATCCATTCCTTAGCTTTATAGTTAAGGCCACAGCACTGACAGTTGCTAACACCCAGCCTATCTTGGTATTTCAGTGCAAAGTGCAAGCTCAGCCTAGTTGAGGACCGGCCTCCCCAGTGCTCCCACACAGCAAAGGTTAAGTTTTTGAACCAGCTCCCCTCTGGCTCCCAATGAGTCAGCTGGCTCCAGTCCCATCCAGTCTGTGCTAACACCCAAAGCCAGGGCTCTTTCCACATGCAACAGCAAGCCTCTGCTGCTGAACATCACCATTTCCACCAGCCAGGATCCTACAGCCCTGCCAGTCCCAGCTGCGCCAGTCCCAGACACCTCCCGTGCCACTGATGGATGCCACACAGGGCTCTCCACGCTGTCTACGCAGCTTGCAGCCTCGTTTCCTCAGCCTACATAGCTGGGTACCACCAGTGCTGGGGCAGTAACACACGCCGGGAGCCCCGGCTGCTCAGAAGGCTCCTGTGGTTCAGATGTCCTCAGCAGTCCTGCCCCATACCCGCACTCCTCAATTGAAAACTCATCTCCCAGGCAGCATCATTATCTGAGGGAACGTGTAGCTACTCAGCAGCCACCTTGGGGTTCAGTTGAATTGTGACCCCAAGACAGATTTCATTACATTTCCACTCAAGGGCGTCGAGTTGTGCTCTGTCATCAACCTGGGGCACTCAACTCATTCTAAAGCAAGGATTTAATCACCTTAACTCTCTAGAGACCTACATTAAGGCACTTCACCACAGTCCCTTTGTTCCTTAGTCTTAACTGAGCTTTCATTACCAACTGGCTACTGGGTCATAGTTTTGATGCACAGGTATCTGACAGCTTAAGACCTTGGGGTACCTCCGTATGAGCTTTCATGGGTATGGGGCAGCATTTGTCCAGTCACCTCTTCACTACACAGACCATGACCTCTAGCTGCAGCAACAACTAAGATTTGAATATCGAGTCTCTTTCTCCCTGCTGTCCCCCACTCTAGACAAATCAACTCACCAACAAGTAACAGTCCTTCTCCCTGCTCTCCCTCGCTTGAGGCAAATCAGTTCTTTACCAAGCGACAGTCACCCTCATTTAGTAAAGCCCTACGAAGAGGCACTTTCATAAACAAGTTCAAGCTGCCATATGGCAGAAAAACAGCGTTTCAATAAACAGTTTCATACGATCGCTGTAATAATGACCTAGTTCAAGTGGGACTTGCATTACGGGTTAAACTTCACCTCCCCAGTCTTGCTGGGGGACACTGAGGATGTGACACAACCCAGAACAAAAGAATTTGCCAAATATCTGTTCAGGCAGGGAGAGCTGGTTTGCTTTGCGCTCAGGGACTTGGCTTAGCTTTCAACACCAGCTACTTCAACTCAGAAACTGGCAGCCACGCCAGCATATTAAGCTCTATCCAAATTCAGGTACGACACACAAGCAACATCATGCCACGTCTAAATTGACTTTAAGGCCTGAAAAAGCTACATACGCAGTTTTCTAAAGTCTGTAGCAGCAAAAGGAAGACACCCATGTTTCCTCTTTACTTTTTCATCTGCCGTATCATGTTTTCAGATAAACTCTTCTGATACTGTTATACTGGAAATACAACTATGTCATAGACCTTTTTATGAGTCTGAATACAATCCCAAGCATTTACATTTCCCTGTAATTCAGTAAAACCACATTAAATAATAATTTCCACCAAAATCAACCTGACAATTCTTCTAACAGGCTCGTCCATCCCTGCCCCCCATTCCAAAGACCATTCGCTTCCAAAGCCCTCATGTCCCCTAAAGTACGTTTGGACATTAACAACCAAAGCTTAGTCTAGAGCTCCACTAAAAGCAAGTGAGACAACACCGTCCCACATTTCATCCCACATTCCACACCACTTATAGTTTAAACATGTCCCCACCAAACATCCACTGCTATAAGGGTCAGTAAGGAGCGTTTCTTGTGTCGTTGCTTACCTCTCAGACACAGAATGATCTTCCCCAGCTCTTTAATTTGGAGTTCACTTCCAAAAACAAAGGCAATGAAAAAAACACCAACCATTAGCATTAATAATTGCAATCAAAATCATTTAGCAGTCTCAACACAAATGGGAGAGCCAAGCCAAAGACAACCAGCTGGAACCCATGTCAGTATAGCAGAGCCAACCCTGAGGAATAAGGCTCACTTATTCTCGTCTTAAAGCTTATTTTCAGCTTTTTCTTAATTGCACCATTCAGTGAAGGCAAGCACTTAGTATAGAAAAACATTTGGATAAGGATTAAGAACAGACTCAGTGACAAAAAGACAGTGTATAACAGCCGTGTCCTACCAGAGTGCCTGTCACAGCCAGGAGAAACTGAAGATCCTTAGGACAAAAATCTTCGCTGGTCAAGAAGGCCACAGCAACCATGCAAGGGGACACAGACTGCAAGGCTCGGTGGCAAGGCCAAGGGCACTGTGTGCAGGCTTCCAACACACTGCTGTGACGATGTTTGCAACTGGAGTCTCTCTGTGAGCTGGTAAACTGCAAAGGGAAAGAAAGTTAAAGCAAGTGAGAATCAAACACCACCCCCACTGAGCAGGCTGCTCCTGTGCCCCTCTATCCTTCCCTCGGTAAGGATGGAGCAAAATGGAAAGATGATGAAACCCTGGCACAAAAATACAACAACGACAAAAATTAAACCTCCCCAGATTTCTCTCTGCTGTGTTTCATTGTCTTGTTCCATATTTGGTAAAGAAACGTGTAAATGGCAACATTTAAAACTTTAAAGACTTTATTTCTTCCAAATATTTATTTCCTTTTCTTTTTAAAAAAATGATCTTCCATTACTCACTTGCAGGATAAATGAAAATAAGCAATAGCCACATATATCCAGCATCCTTCATCTCCTTAGAAAAACATCTCCATCTTTCAAAACAAAAGCACGCAAGGATTAGCTACGGAGCAAAAGCTTCAGTGCTCTACAATGAGGGGATTCCATGCTGGAAACATGAATATACCCATCTATACAGGAAAAGCAGCATACAACTGGTGAGCTCTCTGTTCAGGTGCTTATGCCTCAAAGCCTTTTTTTAAGGAATTTTTAGCAAGGAAGGGCTGGCAAATCCCATCAACTGCATGTTACATGAGCCTCTCCAGGCTGGTGGAAAAGCTTCCTGCATTTAAATGTCTCCTACAGGTTCTGCTTGTTCTGAGCGTCTACAGGCAATGGCTAATTCTTTGAGCAAATGTCCTTCTGAAGACTTCGGAGCCACAAGGAGTCACAAGAGAGGGGTCGATGGCAATCCGAACCATGGCCTAAGGAGGAACAGCACCAGGCTGAGCATTCTTCTGGCATCAACAGCTCCACCTGCTCTGTCTGTCAAGCGACTGAAGTGCACGAAGAGCTGCAACTGAGGAGATCAGCACGGAATTCATGAAAACAGTTGCAAGAAGGAGATGGAGCAACAAGTACCACATTTTGGCAAGAAGTTTCCATCTCAGTCCCCACTCATCAAAGTGCTAAAAAAAGAGACTGAGATTCAAAGGCTACTAGGTGAAATTCAGAGGCGCTTGTTTAAAAATGAGGAATGGGGACAAGTACTGATAAACACCGTTTCATACCACCCAAAAGGGTTAAGACCAATTGCACAGGATTCCCTCAGCTTCACCATTAAGAAGTAAAACTACTGTAAATTAAAGGGATGTCAAAAGGCAGCTTTGAGAGATGGTAACAGGAGGCTCTGAGGCTTCAGCCTACTGATCAACCCTTCCTTCCAGTGAATCAAGGATTCAATGCTCTTCTGTATCCTAAAGCACCCAGTTTAGCGGTCAGAAATCAAGGCGGGGTTTTCTTTTCTGCTGCCTTCTCCGTGGGCAATACTAATCCCTTCCCATTAAGTCCCAAGTTGGTTTCCCAACAGAATACAATTCTGCTACATATTCTACATTTACAACTAGTAGTTTGATAGATCCATCTTAAATCAAGACAAAGAGACACCAGTTAGTGCCGTCTTAACAGACGACCGGACTTCATAGGACGAATCTCTGTTTTGTAGAAATTCAACTGGAAAGCCAGTGGCAAGATCACAAACAATCTGCGCACAGCCAAATGAATCTAAATACGACACAAAATCAGTGAAAATAAGCAGCACATCTCTTAGCTTTAATGGAACTCAGAAAAAAATCCCCACAGCATTTTCACTCAGAGGAGCACCCAATTCATCCAAGCCTCAGGCAACTGATTTCAAAATGTTACGCTGGCTCCAAAAAAGTTTCAGAAATATCATGCACCTCACAGCTGATCACCAGGCCTACATATCTGTCCTTCACTGGAAACCTGCAACAGCAGGGCTGCAAAACTAAACTGACCTCAAGTTGCATGACTCTCGGGAACATCATAACCAACTTATTCCCTCCACCCCCTTTATTTCCCACAGTGTGCAACCTGAAAGCTCCCAGTTATGAAAACCAATACCCAGTTCATCTTCCAACAGGTCAAAAAAATCAACTAAAAACAGGCAGGATATTGAGACATTTCATTGGGTTCCACCCAAATCAAATTGGTCAAAACCTGACAGCCTCAATGAAGGCAGGAATCATCAGATGCTCTCCACTAAGTTTAATATGCTCTTCCCGCTCTTTCTTACATATCCCAAAAGTCACAACAGAAATTAAGTGTCACTTCCCTCCAAAACCTGTAGTCAAAAGACAGACAGGACAAGGAAGGATTCTCACCATTAAATGGACAAGTGTCATTCCTAACTTTGAAACTCCTGCCATTAAGTCAGCAATAATAATAAGACTCTCCAAATCACATCCTTTATTATTAACAGAAGGAGCAGCTGCTATCAAAGCATTTCTCTCATCATCTCACTGTGTCTGCCAACAAAAAAGCTCCAGCATGTATCAGGCATCAGGACCCAATAGGACATGGATTTCCTTCAGTTTAGAGACCTGCCTTTGCAGAAGGGCTCGCACACATTTTTGGGGGGATACCTCCAAACAGCTGGATTACAGTTCCCCACTAACTCAGTCCATGGGATCTTGAAGTACACAATCCTAACTCACCCCAAAGTTCTGTGACCATCTAAAAGCTTTTCTCCTAAAAAGATTATGAAGACAGGGGGACTGATACCAAGGCAAACAACGGGACAGAAGGAACCTCAAGGAAGTCTACAGAGTTTGTCAGATGTACAGAACAGATCAAGGAAAGTCTGAAACAATAAATGCATTTTCTCTCTCACGGTCCACCAGTCACCTCAGGGTTTTACTTCACCTATAAAATAACTTTTAAAAAATATTAACCTTAGTGAGGAAAAAAAAAACAAGGTAAGTACCTGCTAGAGGAGACGCTTCTGCCCACTCACAGCTCCGTGGAGGAATACCACAGTGTAACCACAGCCAATGCACTCAAAACACCTCATCTCCCCAGCTTTAAGAAACGGCTTTCCAAATGCCAAAGCTCAGTGGGACTCCCAGAAGTGTTAATCGCCTCCGAACAATGGCAGAGACATAGAGGTGCCTGTGGTAGACAATCCCCTTACCATACTTTCTGTTTCAGATAACGCAGGCTTTTACAGGCGATCTTTGACACTCTCTCATCATCTATTCTTCTGCAGTTTCTTCCCCCTTAGTTTGTTTTTTAGCCTTTCTTTTTTATTCTTCAGTGAAATGCACCTGCGGCACTGCTTGCATTCTTCCATTTACAGGTTCAAAAACTGATTCACAGGAAAAGCTCTCACTGCATGTATCTCCCAGCCTGCAACCTCTGTTTCTCACCTGCCTGGTCAGACAGAGAAAGCACAACTCAGCTCACAGCAAAAAAAGCAAAGTAATTTTAATTAATTAAAATGGACCATGGCCAACCCCAGAAGCTTTTGTGTAGGGCAGCTTCTACTTACAGGCAAACATAAAAAGCAAGATTTTCAGACAATGTTATGAATGAATCAGACCTGAGACACCAACTCATTCACCTCTCAAGTTCTTCAATGAAAAATGAACTGTTAAAGGCATTAAACTCTGCCCCAACCAAAGCGGCAGGAAAGGCAATTCAATGGGCACCACCTCCAGACAAAGCATGTTTTCAGCAGTGCCTTTAATCCCTTACCAGAGATCAACTATCCTTCAAGCTGCCACATTCTATAATGACAAGTGCTTCCAGAAGGTGGCTGGTAACTCATCAGGAGACTACATTTTCATTCTTTTGACGGTTCTCTACAGGATCATGCACATAATGACAGCAAATCCATGTCTCCTTTAAACATCATTTCTCCCCAAGCAGGTTTTTCCATATATGCTACAAACTCAAAACTGTTAAGATACACAACTTAGGCCTCAAAACTTAGCTCTCAAAGGAGCAATGTCGAAAATAAAACTGCAACAGTCAGTTACCAATTTCATCATTTTTATCTTTAAGGGGAACCTACTGCCGGCAACATGGACAGTGGGATCGAGCATGCCCTTTGCAAGTTTGCTGACAACGCCAAGCTGTGTGGTCTGGTTGGCAGACTGGAGGGAAGGGATGGCATCCAGAGGGACCTTGAGAGCTGGGCCAATGCCAGCCTCACAAAGTTCAACAAAGCCAAGCACAAGGTCCTACACCTGGGTCAGGGCAATCACAGACAGAGATACAGGTTGGGCAGAGAAGTGATTCGGAGCAGCCTGAGAAGAAGGACCTGGGGGTGTTAGTCAAATATAAATGGAACACGAGCTGGCTTCAGTGTGCACTCGCAGCCCAGAAACCGAACCACATCCCGGGCTGCAGCAATAGAAGCGTGACCAGCAGGCTGCAGGAGGTGATTCTGACCCCCTGCTCTCATGAGACCCCACTTGGCGTACTGCATACAGTTCTGGTGTCCTCAGCATAAGGACATAGAGCTTTTGGAGCCAGTCCAGAGGAGGACCATGAGGACGCTACGGGGGATAAAGTACTTCCTGTATGAAGACAGGCTGAGACAGCTGGGGCTGTTCAGCTTGGAAAAGAGAAGGCTGTGTGAAGACCTCATAGCAGCCTTCCAGTATCTGAAGGGGGCCTACAAGGATGCTGGAGAGGGACTCTTCATCAGGGACTGCAGCGATAGAACAAGGGGTAATGGGTTTAAATAGAAACAGAGGAACTTTAGGTTAGATAAAAGGAAGAAGTTCTCTACTGTGAGGGTGGTGAGGCACTGAAACAGGTTGCCTAAAGGGTGGTAAATGCTCCATCCCTGGCATTGTTCAAGGCCAGGCTGGATAGAAGTCTGCTCTGAGGTGTCCCTGCCCATGGAACTAGATGATATTAAGGTCCTTTCCAACCCTAACTATTCTATGATTCTACGATTCTATGATTCTATGAAGTCTTCACCATACTTTCCCAAAGACAGTTATCACAAACTCCTTCAGCTTATTGTTCCTCCAATGGTACCCAAAGCATTTCTTGATACACAGAAACACGCATGATCACATTTTCAGCCTGAAAAACATTTGCAGCTTCTTGTTAATAGACAGATGGAAGTCTTCTTTGCTCAGGCATCTCAAACTATTCTAAGGAGTCTGAAATTATTAGAATAATTATTCTAAAAAGCCACACAAAACCACACCACTCAGCGTTCTGGCCCAAACCTCATGTTTCAGATCCTACAAACCCTGGAAAAGTACCTATGTGTCAAAACCCCCACGGTTTGCTGGATCAATAGAAGAGGGCTAACGTCACAAAACAGGGTCCCCCATCATCTGGCCTGATGTTACAGGTATAATGCACCACCACACCTACCATCACAGAATCACAGAATCACAGAATTATAAAATTATAGAATGGTTAGGGTTGGAAAGGACCTTAAGATCATCCAGTTCCAACCCCACTGACATGGACAGGGATGCCTGACACTAGACCATGTCACCAAAGGCTCTGTCCGACCTGGCCTTGAACAATGCCAGGGATGGAGCATTTACTGTTTCTCTGGGCAACCTGTTTTAGTGTATCACCACGCTCACAGGAAAGAACCACTTCCTTGTATCTTACCTGAACTTCTGTTTTAGTTTGAACCCATTACTCCTTGTCCTGTCACTACAGTCAATTCTGAATTAGATGGCACACAAAGAAACTTGCTCAGAGAGAGCCGGGACAGAAAAGAAACAGTTTCTCCACTTTATTCATTGTCCCTCCCATGTCCCCTACATTTGAGATTAAGCCTCAGGTTTCTGTACAACAGGCAAATGTGGTGCAAGTGGGACTGATAGCTCAAAACATCCCCCCAGCACTAACATCACACCAGGGGTTTTTGCAGTAACATCACCTTCACATTCACAATGTTTTTAACACCTTCTACCTGCCTGTGAAAGAAGGTCTAGCAGCAGCAACTTGCTCAATTCTAGAGCTATTTTAAAGTGAAACATCACTAGTCATTTGCTGCTGCTTAGCTTCCACAATCAAGTGAAGCTGTCTCTTGGCAATGGCTGTGTTTAAATCCCACAAGAACTCCAACAGCTTGCCCTGGAGGAGAACCTCCATGGGCACAAACTGCAAAACTTGCTGGGGAGAGTCTGTGTCAAGCAAAGAGCTCATTAGCTCCTTCAGATGCTGCAGGTATAGGACAACGGGATTTGGGAGGCCTCGGTAACCAATGCACAGCAAAGCAGCGCTGCTCCTCAAGGGCTCAGGGCAGGCTGGACAAGTGAATGTGATGCGTCTGAAGCAGCAGTGCAATATAAATACCAGGCCAGCTGTGAAGCGTGTAAAACAAGAAAGAATAGGCAAAATCAATGCATCTCCCACTGTCAGCTGATCCAACGAATGCAGAACACAGTCCAAAAGCTGCTGCTGGTACTTTGGTTCTCCATCATAAAGCAAAGAGAGGCTGAATGTCAGCAGTGTGGATGAGTCCAGGAGCTTTGTTTCTATGTTGGGCGGGCTCTCAATATCACAGAGGGATGAGAAGTCTACCACAAGGCACGTGAACTGGTCACCACATCTTCCCTTTAGGACTTCCTGGCGACATCTGGAGAGATCAGACACTTCTGCCAGTATCAGTTCCCCAGGAAGCACTTCACACGACTGACACGTCTGCAGTATCTTTCTGCTCTTCATACTCCCCCCCATCAATGTGTTCAGCGCTTCATTCAGATTTTCCAAGACTTGACTATCACAGAATGGGGAACATTTTATCACTGGTAATCTTTTTCCTTCCAAAACATACCACAAGCTACACTCGAGGTCAGAAGACAATCCTTCCAAGACACACATTTTCCCAGCAGTATTTAAACTATGCTCTTCAGCCCAGTGATTAAAATAGCCCTTTGCCACTTTATCATTCCACGTGAGGGTTTCCAGCATCCTCCTTTCATTGTACGTACTAAAATATTTGCTTCTTTGCCCAAACCATTTTGTATTCATGCTGCAACCAGTCCGAGATTTCCTGACAAGCCAGTTCTTTCTGGAAATGGGTTTCAGACAAAGTCTCTGCATGAAGAACTCCACTGCACAATCTCTTAACTTGTTCAGTTTTGTCTGCTCCGCTTCTCCCATGCACTCAAAGAGACGGATGTTCTGAGAGATAGTTTCTACCTGGCACTTGTGGAAGAACATGCAACACTCTTCATGTAGTTTAAGAAAAGACTCTGGCAGCACATGCTGGGGGAAAAGTGCTTTGTTGACCATTTCTGTTCCAAAGTTCTGTATCATCTTAGAAAGCAGCGGATGGATGCTCTCTCTGCCCATGTAACGAAGACAAATCACATAGGCCTCCGAGTTGCCAGCTTTGCTAGTGGCTGGCTTAAAGACATGGACCTCCTCAAAAGAGCAGTTCAGCAGAAAGAGCAGATTGATAGAACAGTGTTCAAACAGCGTGAACATTTTCAAAACAAAGGACCCTCCAGTGCCCAGGATCATTAAAGCACTGACTGTTTCACAGTAATGAAGGGGTGAGACAAGAGCCTCCTGTTCTCCCGGATTCCCCTGGCAATCAAAGCTGCCATCAGCAGTCACCAAGTGAACTATGGCCATGTTACTTATAAAGTTCTGAAGTCCTGTTAGGTGTTTCAGTGTCATCACGTCACCAGTGTTATCTGGGCCAAAGTACCACCAAGGCAAGGTATTTGCTATGAGACGGTCGTCCATTATCATCATAAGAGTGTCATTGGCTTCATGATATGGGTTTAGAGTGTTCGCTACCCAATTCCAGTCACATTGGACATGGTGGGATTTCAAGTAGTGGTTGAGGCTGGCTATGAAAGCTCCAGGTGCTTCACAGAGGTGGACAGTATTCAGTTCTCTGTCCTGAAGAGCTTCTTCAGGGAGAAGAGGAAAACTGCACAGGATCTCATGGAACTTGCACCACGCCTGGGTACACAGCTCAGCATTCACCCATTTCTTCACATGAGGAATTATTTTCCCTGCTTTATTGGTAAACGAGGTGTGCTGATGCCATTCATCCAGGTTCTTATCACTGAGTTGATTCTTCACGTCATTCATGGAGATCTTCAGAGCCAGAAGTGAGTCGAATTCCTTGTGATCACTTGTAAAAGCATTGCTGGGATCTGGAAGCTGCCACTCATTATTCACTGGCTTAGTGTAAGTAAACTTCTTTGCAAAGAGCTTCTCAATTTCAGACAGAATTTCAGGACTGAACTTGTCAAGGTTTGTAGTCCGGTTAACATAAGACTTCTTACATTTGTTCATTCTTGGATCGATTCAAGACCTGGAGAACAGCACAGAAGAATAAACACTGTCATGCCAGTCACATATGTATGTAAATAGGCAAAGCTCTTCTTAAACAATAAAGATCTCTCCTGCTTAACCTCTGTATTGCAGAACATGAGAAACTCTTCACAGAATCGTGTATGGGTGAAGAAAGTAAATGAGGGTTCTCCTGAATGAGGCTATCTGGAGATCAGGAGATTCACGGGTTCAATCACCCTTCATGCTATTTACATAACAAGTGAAGAAGAGTTAGCTGCTGCTTTGGCTCTTCACTGATCTCAGAATGCTCTGCTCACTCTGTAGGTCTGAACACTTAAATCCAAGTCTCTTAGTCACAAAAGAAACCATACCACAAGCCATACAAATTAAACAAGTGCCCAAAAAATCTTTTCATCTGATTATGCAAGTATTTATCCAGGAGTTCAAAGTAAGGAGACCAGAGAGCCACAAGGCAAGGGAGCTTGGAAAGGGAGCCCAGCTTCTCCTCCTCTTTACCAACTGCTATCCCTCATACCTCTTCCACAAAACCCAGCGTGATGCAGAGCGAGCCCCTCACCAGCACCCAGGCCCTTTGCTTAGGAGACCCTGGTGAGAGGTTGAAACCCAGCCTGCAAGCAAAACCCTGTTTCTGTGCTCAGCAGTACAGCCTTACTTCCCCTACTGGAAAACAGAAATAAATCCAAAGCAAGAAGAGACTTTGTTGCATCCACAGTCAATCTTAAATCATGCTTTATATTAAAGGAGGAAGTAGTGCGAAGTGTTGTGCTTTGAGTGCATACACGCAGGTATCAGAAGCACACTCTGCACAAAGCTAAGGAGCTCTGTAGCCATCCGCTCCAGCACACAAGCAGAAGTTAGGTTCACTAACCAGAAATCTGCCTGCAATCTATTCAAAACTAAGACGCTCATTTAAGTAAAACAATTTAATCAAAATTACCACAAGAGACGGGGATCACAGAATTGTTTAGGATGAAGACCTTTGAAACCACAGAGTCCAACAGTTACACTGGAATTCTTTGTTTTCTGAGACTTTTATTATGGATTTTTCAAGCAGCTTCAAATGGTCTAGCAGAAAGCAACCACTCAAGCCACACAATAACTGAGCAACTTCTCAACAGACACCAACTTCTCTCACATGTAGTTACAAGGTGCGCAGACACCACCGAAACTCAGGAATCATCCTTGTCACCAGAGACACAATGACAGAGAACTGCCTGTCAGGACTTAACAGTGATTGTGTTTACTTCTACATCATTTTACAACCTACAAAGGTGTAAGCCTCCAACAACAGAAAATACAACCTGCTCCTTTGTGGGGCTGACACTGGAAAATCCCTCAGCATATTATTTTAACCACCCGTCTGCCTCAGAAGCAAATAACAATCTTCAGTGTTACAGTTCAATGTAATAGAATACTGGACTAAAATTGAAACAGTTGAGAAACTTTGGAAGCAAACAGAACAAACAATAGTCAACTGAAACACTTTTCCCCTTGAAACTATGTAGCACCTCAGGCAGCAGCAACAGGGCGACAACAGCTCCTCTCATAAGCACCAGGTCTCCGACGGCTGAAGTTTCACCTCCAATTTCCACAATTCCACTTACTTTCAATGAGCATACTTAGTTTCACTTTCCTTTACAGATATTCTGCAGCTTTAATTTCGTCCTTTCTCACAAGCTGTGCTGAGGGGACGAGGAAAGCTGAGGGAAACACTTAAGACTGCTGTGCCCTAAACCAGTTTTAAGTCGTTTTTAAACACGATCCCAGAGTTCACACCAGCAAACCCCTGAACAAGCCATCACCCAAAGCACGACAAGGAAAAAGCGATAGCCTGTTTTTTCCGGTTTACAGTTATTTCAGCCCCCACCGCCTGACTCGAGCCGCTGAAGGGCGCCTCCGGGCTCTTCCCGCCCCGCAGCTCCTCACACATTCCCGGGGACTGCACACCAGCTCCCGCTCGGAGCTGCCGCGCAGCCAGACCCGGCACACGCGGGGATCGCAGAGCCCCGGAGAAACACGCCCTCCGAGCCAGCCGCAGCGGCCCAGCCGCCTGCCTCCGCCCCAGCCTCTCGCACAGCCGCGGCCTCTCTGCACCGCCCGCTTTCTACGCGAGACCGCGGCTCCCGCGCGGCGCAGATACGCCCCAGCTCTTACCCGGCGGGCTGCGGCGGAAAGCAAGGCAGGCCCCGCCCCCGGACCCTCGCCTCGGTGGGGCGCCGGAGGCAGGTGTCACGTGACAGGATGCGTGCTGCTGAGTTCGTGTAGGACGTAGGGAGAGGGTTCCGCGGGGAAGGCCCAGAGCCTTACCGTGCGAAGAGACGGCTCCTGGGGCCGGGCAGGAAGCACGGCAGCCGTTTCATTCGCAGGAGCAAGGAGGCTGTTTTTCACCAGGAAACCCTGCTCACCTGAGTGGGTTGTGCGAGAAGGGAGCAGAGGAGCTGCCTCCATCGGTAGTGCGGCCCAGTAGGGACGATAAGCATTCGTAGACGTTATTCAGCTAGCACTTACCACATGATCATTCATACATACATACATGATCAGGTTGCTCAGAGAAAAAATAGGAGGAGCACCATCCTGCTCCAACCCTTCGGAGAGGAAGGGCTGGGGCTCAGGGCCTTGCATCCTTTTGCCTGCAGACGTGGGACATGAGCCCTGCAGAGCCAGACACAGCTGACCTAGGAGCGTGGCCAGGGCAAAGCACCATCCTCGCGCAGCACTGCAGATGCCACATCTCACACACACTCCCTAGGCCAGCCTTTGTCTCTGGAGGCATCAGTGATGCTCCTCCAGAGTTTGCTTTGGTCTCTCTAACCCACAGGCAGACACTTCAGAAGTCTCTTGCACTTGATAACCCTTTCTAAATCCCCAGGAGACTCATTACACCCACCTTGGCTTGGCAGGAGACAAATACTAGTTGAAATACTAACGGAGCAGTAATGAGTGGAATCAAGTGAGCATTGCAGCATCCCTGGAAACGCACTTTCTAGACAGCAAAACAGTATCTAATCTGCAAGCAGAGGCAGGAAGGTCAAAGCAAATTAATTATTACAGCAGACAGCAGGTGTGAGCTGCTATTGAGATTTTAAACATTGCAGGGATTTTCCTGTGCATAGGTTAGAGAATGAGGCACTTGCCAGCCCTTTTGGAAACAAACAGCCAGCAATATAGCATGAGTTAGCATAAATCCTTTCACTTCAGTGCCAGGCTTTCTGCTATTGACTTCTGTACTGTCACAAATTTCTTCTTGATGATGCTCAATCCAGCCCTAAATCCAGAGTAACCTTAGCATAAAAATTCATTGCCATGAATACAAGGGAGCCCCAAACTGATATAACAAGGGGATTTTTTTCTAGAAGCTCAGTAATTGGCAAAGAAATCTTTTCCATCTTAAGGACATAATAACAGATAGGTAAATAATCTTTTCTTCTGTTGTAGGCAGAGAATTCCTAAGTTAAAGTCTTAACTGAGAATATAAAACTATAAACAGACAAGTTCCCACACATGCACTTTTAAGCTACTTGCTTGTTTTCCAAAATGAAGCAGTAACTGCTACAAAATAGAAAGAGTCTTAAACAGAAAGAAAACTACTTCTATGAATAAGTACAGGACTAAAACTTTTTAAATCCCCTAGGGGGTGATATTTTTAAACTTAAAATTGCCATACTCACCCTATTCAATAACATTACAAAAAGATACTGGCTACCTCACAGCAAAAAGTTTTACCCGTGGAGGGAAGTTTTACATGTAAATCTGCAATGCCTCTTCACCCTTGGATTGGCCTGTTTGAAAATCACCTCCCAGTCAATCAACATCTTTGGCTACTTAGGGATAGGAGGCAGAGTGGGGACAAATTAGTTAAAGCAGCTGAGTAGTCTGTGGGTAGTTGAGGGTTTTCCAGTGCATGATGTGGTTTCTTTGATTGTACTGGGTGTAAAGTAGTTGTATTGCTAAAATGTTTAGCTTAAGAGGATTTGAAGTTAATGTGTATTTCATTCTGTAATGCTTGCTTTTTGTCTTTGTAGTAAAAGCCTGGCCACATCTTTCCTTTACTTCTGGCTCTCTGATATCTCCAGTGATGCTCTGGTGTTTCAATTACTTTTCTTTTCTTATTCCTGCTACACAGCAGTTGCAAAACTTGTACTGAGTCCTGTGGAAAACAGGCTATTTAAATCATTGTGTTTAAGAGATGGATTTTTGTAATCTCCTCTTAAACACGTAACTCACCTTTTTATGTTCTGTTGGGTTCTTAAGTGTTTGATTATTATCAGTAAGGGAGCAACAACAATTAAGCATGTAGGGGAAAGCTATATGTAAGGAATACTCTTACCTTTTAGCATTACCCTGCTAAGCTTTTACTATAGCTTATAGCTTCTCAGTGTCGTAGTCTTCTGCGTTACTGAAGATAAGGCTTCCCCAAAATACAGGGGAGAACAACCCATCACTGGTCACGCAACACTGCAAGATTCCTAGCTAAAAGAAATGTAATCTAATAGCAGGCTTCAGAAAAACATATTTTTTTCCTGAAATTAAACCTTCAACTCAGCTTGTGAGCTTCAGTTTCCTCCTTGATTTTCCTAAATCTTCATGTTAAAGCAGAAGTCCAAGTAGATATGTCAAAATGCTGGTTATTGTCTTTTCTGTCAGTATGAGACACTCAAAATGGGAACACAGCACTTTCTTCCTGGATTAGTCCTGCTTTTGTGGAACTAATCTGTTGGTTGATAGATAGCTGAATTTTTCCCTCGCACATCATGAGATGTGTGCACAGCTGTGGCATTATTATAAGCTTCAAACAGAAGCATCTGTCTTTAAAGGAACATTGTGCAGGTAAACATTGGAAGCTAATTAAGAGCAAAGTAATCTCGTTCAGGCCTCTGACTTTTTTTTTTTTTTTTTGTAATTAAAATAGCAGAATGCATATGCAGTAAAAGCATGCTATGTGATGGAGCTGTGGAGTTGCTGGTGTGTTCAGGAGCTCTTTTCATCATACTGGCTATGCAGGAAGTCTGCTGGGAGGACTATGCTGAGCCCTGGCAGAATTCTGTGTAGAATTCATAGATGCTACAAGGCTACAATCTGTACTTCTCACGCTGCTTCTAAAGATAAACCCCAGAAATGTGTAATTTTGCATCAGATCTCACCATAATTTTTGTTATCATTGTGAAGGATGCAAGAAACATTGGTCTCCTAAAGACAGGCAGGTAACAGCCTTTTTTACTTTTTGTGAAAGTGCAGCTGGAGTGCCAAGGGAAAGGAGACATTTAGAGATTTACAGAGATTCTCTTAGTTTATAGCTTCTCTACAGGGATTTGCAAAGGCCCATCACAAATCCCACCTTGCTTCAGCCTTCTTGAGATGTCTAGAGGGTCTTGCTGCACACTTACCTATCAGGCTGGCTATGCCAGCATGTTTTTAAAGCTCATTAGAGGCAGCTCTAGAAGAATACTCTGGATTAAAACTGAAAGGCCACCAAGGAGCTTCTGTGTTGGGGTTAAATTACGATATGGGTAATCTGAGTCTGTGCCAGCAGGAGGCAGCCATCCAAATGGGACAGTGAAGTTAATGCTGCTGGTTTGCCTAGAACCAGTTGCACAGATAGCTGAGTCCTCTCCTGCAACGGAGAGGGAGTACTATTATGGAGCCATTGCTGTCTCACATCCTTTGACCCCCATCAGGGGCCATGTCTCACATCTTATATACATCTCAGCTGTATCAAGGAACGTGTATGTGGTGCATGACACTGGGAGGGCCAATTGTCCTTAATGCAGTGGCTTCGTGAGACTCTAGGGACTAGTCCATAAGGGCTGTTGTTCTGCGTCTGGCCCACTGTCCAAAGTCAGGCAGGCTTGCCTTTCCCTTTCCTCACTGGAGGAATTGAAGCCAGTCTGTTACAGTGAAAGTGAGTTGTGAGACTTCAGTAAACAATTTCTAATGTAGGCAACTAGTACAATGATCTGCAGGTGTCTAATTGTTGCTTCTCAAAGCAAAAATCACTGAAATGGAAATGAAAAGGAAACCCTATAGACTATTCAGTACTGGAGCATTATTGCACCAGAAATGGGATAATGAGACAGTATTGATCCTATAGGAACAGCATAAATACACCACGATGGACTGTGGCTACAAGTGATAGTTTGTTCACCTCCAGAAGGCAGTGCTTTCCAAAAAGGGGATCTGTGGATATGGGAACATGGTCCTGGAGACAGGTGAAAGGTCTGGCCTCAAGCTCCACTGCGTGAAAGATACCTTAGAATGTCTCTGCTCTTTTCCTAATCACTGTGGTATCATTTGTTCACAGATGTAGTCAGGTTGCTTTCTCTTTCTGCCCAAGTCTTACAAAGGTGGGGAGTTGTTACAGAGATGGCATACAATTTGTGAATGCTAGGTCTACTTCCCTGCCAGTGAACCTGAGGCATCCCTTTACTTGAACTGATCTCCACCCTAAAAGCCTTTTTCCCCACTGCCTTTATGGAAGGGCTTTTCAGGATTGCACATTTTGGGTAGCTAGAAGTTTTTTTATGGTGTCTAGCTTGCATGAGAACCCATCTCCCCAATTCTCTGGTGCCTATCTTAAGTTTCTGTATTTCTCCTGCCTCCATGGCGACATTTTCAGGCTGTCATTGGAGCATTGCTTAGTTTTCATTTTCCTCAGCTAACCATGACAAGTTTTCTGAATATCTTGTTTTCTGTTTCTTGTTCATCCTTTCTCTGCATTCACTATGGCCAGAGGTCTCTTTCCTGCAGCTGTGTTACAAGCAGCACTCACATCACTTCAGGCAGATGTTCCTAAAGATACCCATTAAAGCAATCTCTGGGAAATAACTTCTGGTGTATAATTTTATTTTAGTTACCTAGTAATACTCCTGTGGCTATTAAAGATAAGTTTCCAAATTGCTGTGAAAATCCTGATGTTTCTTTAGAGTGTGTTCAGTAATTAAATCAAACCTTGAACCTGCACTTTAGGCAATCAGCAGAAAAGCAAAACCTTCCTCCAAAACAGAGGCAGAATCTTGGCTTGTCTAAGTACAGAATTCAGGGAGGTGCCCCAGACAGAGATGGTGAGCACTGCACCCATGAGAGCATGGTGATGCCTGTCGAGTATGGGGGCATGCTTTCTCCTGTACTAGGCTGAATTGAGTTTTGTAGACACCCTGTTTATCTCTCTGCAGCTGTTCCCTTTCCCAACAGGGTGATGTGCAGTACATGTGAAAAGACTACAAGATAATTTGATTCTGTGATAATGTGAGCACACAGGGAAGTGGAAGGCTTACCCTAAATCATTAACTGTGTCGATGAAGTGCTTGCAAAATACTTCATAACACTTGAGACAGAAATAACTGTAAGAATGTAAAATGTTGTTATAAAAGTCTTTCAAGTGACTGTATCTGCATCCTGTAGCAGTTGAAGTTCTAGCTGTAGAAACATGATTTGAATGACACCCAAGTCAATAATATCAGGTTTATAGATAAGTTTGCTGCAGACATACAGACAGTAAGAGGTGACTGAGTTTGTTTCAGGATGGAAGACTGTCAGTACTGTTTCTTAAGGACTATGCAATCTATTTGGTAACTTATTTGTTTTGCTGGATCTGCTTTGTGGAGTACTCTCCACAGTATTATTGGCATGAATGCCCTCAGTGCTCAAGTTAATCTTTCTAGTAGGAACCTTTATCTAGTACTTGTTCAGCCAGTGCAGCATTGCAGGTTAAAACTCAAGTAACTTTTGTTGCTGATAAATAACAGACACTGCAGAAAGACTGATAAAATGGCCCCTTTTTGGTAATCCTGTTTTCTGTGTAAATTGAAACTAGGGAGGAGATTGAGATGAGAACAAATTGGGAAGAACTTTCAGGCTGTCTGATCTCTCCTGTCTGCTTTGCAAAAAAAAGAATCAGATTAATGAATGTAATCAGATTAAGGCTAAACAAGGGAGCATATCTGGGGGGCATCAGAACTCTGCTGATACCAAAGAACTGTATGGAAAAATCAGTGTTAAGGGCCTAACATTGCTCTATCATTTAATTTAATGGCTTTCAAAGAAGTCCTGAGTGCTGGCAAGAGGGACATGCTTTTCCAGAGGGCAGAAAACCTTGAGGGAGCTGGGAAGTGGTTCTGAGATCCTGGCTTTAAGCAGGTGTTGTTGGGGTGACAGCAACTTTGGCACATTGGCTCATGTAGAAAGGTAAGAGGTAGGGGTCATCTTTGGACACAGGATTTGATGCAGTTAAATCTACCCTAAACATCTCTCAGCCTGCTGTGTTTTGTATAGAAAAACGATGCTGAAGGAAAAGGAGAATGTTCATGTTGCAGCAGGCAGAGATGGACATGAGTGAGGTTCAGAAAGACAGGAATGAGAGAATGATAAAAAAAGGGTATATCTGAAAAAGAAGGGGAAACGTAGAAACAGAATGAGAGAGAGGGCATAGAAAGGAAAATGATTCATAGAGCAGTAGTAGACCCTCTGATTTTCACTGCCCACAGCAAACTGAAAGCAAAATGCACCGTGCCAGAGTGGCAGTGTACCGCTGGTTCCTGCAGTTTCAGCACTGCTACCTGCTGATCTTTGTGGAAAAGGCATTGTAAGTTTTCCAAGAGAAAGTAAATAAGAAGCAGAAATGCAAACATGAGGGGGAAAAGGAGAAGCTCAACAACTTGATGGGAAAGTGCACTTAAGGTTTCTATTTAAATCCGATTTCTACTTCTTTGGTGCCAGTTGTATCTTTCAGCAAATACCTGTGGTGCGCAGAATTTGGTGTTTAAATCCTGCTGGTTACCACCAGTGCTGGCATTGAGAGGTTCCTCAATGTGTGGATTTTTGTTTTCCAATATGAAGTATATCTCTCAAAATACCCAGGTTTTTCTTGCTGCATTTATTGCCTTGTTTGTATTTTAAGTTCTCTGAGAGAGTTTTCTGGGGCAGCCAAGGGGATGTTTGATGTGGTCTTAAAGACTAACAAGCAAACATGAATGAAAGTAATAAGAAATACTGAGATGTGAAACTGGTGCTGCCTGATTTTGTAATTCTTTTTTTTTAATGTCTGGCTGATTTGCCCTAAGAATTGTCAAGTTCTAATTGAGGTTTTCTTGCTGCTTGGGATGTCTATAAATTCTAGCCACATGTGTCCCTTCTGCATCTAGTAAACTGTGAGTGCAATATGTAGCTGTAGCCTTTTACCTGGGGCATGTAAAGTCTGTTTACTCATCACTGATTTTCTTGAAATTATTTTGGCATTGATTGTCTTGGAAACATCTGTGGCTGTGTAAAATGTGCTTCACATCAGCTGTCAGGATCGGCTGCTGTTGCACAGACAGACCCATATGACAAGGGTGTTTCAAGTTTTGTTTCCATAAGAAATAATGTGAGGACTAGAGAGGCAGATAGTGGGGCCCCTGATATTTTTTTTCCTGTCTTCCATAATGCAGTCAGCTGAACAAAGATTTAGCATATCTCATTACAATATTTTCTTTTGTGATGGGTAAGGCAAATAAATGTGAGGGAGGGGGAACCAAATGGGGGAAGCTAATAGGACATTACCTGTTGTTACCATGTGAGAATGGGAAGATGTGAGCTATGGAAGTGTCTCAGTGCAGTAGTAGCAGGTACAGGTTATCAGGCAGAGCTCTCACCATGCTCCCAGAGGTTTGACTTGCAAAGGAGCAGGTGACTCCTGTTGCAGCCTGGTTCCTAGTTGATGCAAGCATATTCTAATCTATGCAGACCCACTGTCAGCTGCTCTTCTCTGGGTGGCTGCTGGAAAGTTGTGTGTGTGCACATGTGAACTTTCCAGTCTTAATCTACATTATAAAACATGTGCGTGTGTGTAGGCTTTCTGCAGAGCTCTGGAACATATGTGTCATGAGCAGTGAAACCAGAAAAGCAGATGTCCTGAACATGCCCCTCCTACCCGGGGATTAGAGACGATCAGGGTAAAGCAGAGAGAAGCTGGGACACACCTCCCTGCCTCACCACCAGAGACAGCAGCAGTTCGTGCAGGTTCAATGGGCTTCTGCTCTTTGGTCAAATAAACCCCTGCAGCTCTAGCCAGCAACTATCCCCTTCTTTTGGTTAACCAGGAAGGAGGAGGATGGCCTATGCTGAGGAAGACAGGTAAGGTGCTGTGAAACGGGATGCAGAGACATCCAAGCTGGAAGGGGCTGATGAAATTACATCACTTTTTCTTGCCTTGTTTTCCTCTTCTTCCTATTGGGCACTCAATAAATGTCAGACAAGGCTGCTCAGAAGTAAACATCTTATTGCTGAGGAGGAGCCTGGCTGTCTGCCTGTGTCAGGTGCTGGTATTATGCAATACAGCGCAGAGCAGGTGACCCTGGGAGAAGGTTACGGCCCAGAAGAGGTAGATGTGGTGGTGTGGAGAGACATACACTGCACATATGTATGGTGGTGTGCCCCTCTGAAACATAATGCTTGCTTTCTTTGTTTGGATATGTCTGCTTTTTACATGGATTTGCTTTCAGCCATCCTGGAAGCATAATGAGGGTGGGGTTTTATATGCCATAAAAGATCTGTCATTGGTGACAGTCGTGTGTTTTGCAGCAGATGTGTTTCTGCAGTGGATGACAGCAATCACAATAAAGGGGATTGTGTTTTCAGCTCATCCTGTGATTTAATCCAAACTGAGCACTGTTATTAGGTGTGCATTATTGGAAACAGGGGAGCTATAGGGAGCTTTGTGCTACATGTATTAATTCAGTCTGCCAAAAAGCTTGCATAAACTTCAGATTCTTGCAGTTCCAGGCTAAACATTGCATTTGATGTCTCACAGGTCAAACTTTTCCTCTGTTCCTCTAGAGCAGCAGGTATCTTTTCACATTCAGGAATTCTCTGTGCCTGCCAGTTCCTTTGATGCTGTGCATCTGGTAGATTTCTGAAAACTAAACAGTGCAAGCAGGACACTGAAGATGAATTTTGACATCACTGTGCTCTCAGCACTGTTGTACCCAAAGTTTTTGGGATGGAGAGGGCTCTGCAAGGCCCCTGCCTGCCTGCTGAAGCTCCTTTCAGGCAGGGAGGGTGACACAGAGCTGCAGATCTACTGCTTTGGTTAAGAAATATTTTAACATCATCTGTTTAGAAGGGAAAGATATTTCCCTGAAACCTAGCACAGCTCAGTCAATCCCAATGTCTTCAGCAGGCATTGAATGGGATTCATCCCACACTTCTAAAATTTATGGGGATACAGGAATAATATCTCTAATGTTATTTTGCAAAGGTGTATGCACCTTAAAAAATACTGATCAAGAGGAAGAGCAGATCCTGGTGACCTCATTCAGTTCTCATGCCTGCTGCAGGTACATCAAAAGCTCAGATGTTACATTTAAATTCTCTTGGTTCCCTCTAATTTCTAAGTAAGGCTGAAAGTTACTCAGCAGTGAAATTGGTGGGAATCATTCATTCATGTATGTAAAGCTCTTTTAGAGCTTTTATCTGGGAGGAAGGGATAATATAGTCAGTTAAGTGCAGGCTGTACTAATATCACTTCCATAGCTTTTGCTTATTTCAGGAGCTGCTCATACACTTGGCAAACTCAACAGCATGTTATGCTAAATAAACTTCCTCATTTCCAGCCTTTTCTTTTGACAAGTATTTCAGCTAAGTGTGACTCTTCATTTTGTGATGCCTATGGAAGTTATTTCTTCTCACTGGATTGCAGGTTTATGACATACTCAGGTATTTTTGATATTGTAGTTTGTAACAGGGAGCATAAGTTTGATGTATCAGGCATTGGAAAGGCCTAACAGCAGGAGACAGACAGCTAGGAGATGAAAAAACACTTAGCTAGAAGATGCCCGTGCAATAACTACCTGCCTTGTCAGTATAAAGAAATTAAAAAAGTAGAATTGAGGTCCTTTTTTTGAATAGCTGTTATATCAGTCAGAGGAACCAGCAGCACATTGACAGTCAGATCCTCTCCATCAGTGGTCTGAGACCTCCTGGGGTGTGGAGCAGCACTTTGACAGCTTTTCTGTAGGTGCTGTAGACAGCAGAATCGCAACACAACCAAGGTTTGCACCTCTGGAAACAAACTTGATTCCAAAAATAAGAAACATTCATGAAGTGACAGTTTGTCAGCATCTCCAGTCAATTTTACATTACCTTCAGCCTTGAAGTATCCAATTCTCTCACCCCTTAATAAACAGATCAGGTTTTTGTACAGAGAAAATTCTGCCCCTACCTGTGTTGCTTCACTCTGACCATATAGAGTCATGAGTTCTACTCATCAGTGGTAATGATTGAGTCACTAACAAGAAACGCTGTCGCTGCCCTTGCTTTTGAGGAGAGTTTGCAATCAAGCTTGGTGTTGCCTTTTGGAAAGTACCTATGTTTTTCTGTTGGAAACAGGATTATGGGATTATTCTGCTATTGACTGTGTTTCAAAACTGACTAATGCATCTGATGCATACTGGACTGACAGGCCTAAAAATTGAAGTTGTCTCCCTTGGCTGTGCAATGCCAACTTCTATCCTGCTTTCTAGCAGTGTGCCTCAGTGCTGGAAAAGACAATTTTTTTGCCAATGTGTTTGAGCAGTCCCCCTCTTAAATCAGACAGGAGCAGGAGCACAAATTTCTGGTTTTCACTTGTGTTAACGAAAGCTGATCTCATTGATCCTCTTGACCCACTACCCATCCTGTGGGAGAGGATGAATAAAATCTATTCAGCCTTCTGTACTGAAACCACAAGGGTTTGAGAAGGTGAATATTTGACATGTGGTACCAGTCCGGAAAGAAAGCACTATAGAATGAAATTAGTAAAGAGGATTCAAATGCTTGCCTGTGTCCAGGAGTAAAATATGAGATTAAAAGTGAAACCTCTTCAGTGATAGCAATGAAGCCCCTATTATTTTAATCTCAGTGAAACTTCTTTTTCCTTGCATCTTTCTAGGACTCTTACCCTTTGAAGCTTGTTCTTTGGATGGGTTGATAGACTCATTGACCTGTTCTCCTTCTGCAGAAACAGCTATGAGATGTGTAAGGAAACAGCAGATTGGTTGCATGCCCGCACTGCCCACTGCCCAAAGACTGCCATCATCTGTGGATCTGGACTGGGAGGCCTGGCTGATGTGTTGGATAACAAGACAGTCTTTCTGTATGAGGACATCCCTCACTTCCCACAGAGCACAGGTTAGTACATTCCAGGGTATCAGAATCCCATGCATCAGCAGCCTGCAACAGCCCTACAGAAAGATTAGTCAACATGCACCACTTGGCATTGGTCTGCAAACCAGCCTCTGGTGAAATGTGTGTTCACAGTAAAAAAGTAAATTAGAATACGTATTCCTGTGCTATGCTATTTAGTTGACATTCAGCTCTTAGCCCTGCTGTAATGCATAATCATCAACTGACAAATGCTTCTAAAGTCAAAGACCTTGCGACCCGTAACTGAAATGGCAATATTAATTTCCAGTTGCAGGGCATCTTGGCAGATTGGTGTTTGGGGAGCTGAATGGACAGCCCTGTGTCTGTATGCAGGGACGTTTCCACTGTTATGAAGGATACTCTGTCAGCATGGTGAGTTCTCCTTGAAATCACCCACACAGGGGGAGGTGTGCTGTAAAAGATGCAAAAGGGACTGCTTGCTTTGATATCTAGCTGCAGGAGGTTACCTCTTGCAGTGAACTTACATTGCTCTTGTAATTGTGCTTAGATTTGAGATTTCTCCCCCCCCCAAAAAAGAAGTAAAACTGGGAGCTCAAACCAAGAGGTAGGCAGCTTCTGCTAGGTGAAGGTGATGTGCAGCCATGCAGAGTGGCTAGCCCTGCTGTACTTTAGGGGAAAATGGCATATCAGACAAGGCAGATTAATATACACAATAATCTTGTTTTACTGGCTGATAGTTCTGTTTGTTGTTTTATTTTGGTAGCTTTGAGATTTTACTTGTGGCTGAAGTCAGTTTGCATTCAGATCTAAACTGTAATACTTGGCACTGCTCAGCTTCTTGGCAGGGTGGAGAAACTATTTTAAATGCACTTGACACAAATCTAGGTTTACCAAGACACGTTTGTCTATTAAAATTAACTAATTTCTTGAAGAAGGGATGTCCATAGTTAGGAAATATTTCTGCTCACAGCTCCATTAGCATTTCAGAGGTAGCAGATACCCCTGATTTCTTCTTGATTCCTTGAAATCAAGCTTCTCTTTTTTTTTTCCAGTTCCCAATTGTTTCTTAATTTTGGATATGCATTTTATTCACTCATGTGAATAAAATGAAATTAATAAAAACTATATGGTGCTATAAAATGGCATCAGTGCTGTAAAAAGCTGGTTAATCAATTACCTTCAAAGTATTGAGCTGTAGTGTTGAGTTTAACTACTTATGCACAAGTCCATGTGCATAAGTAGTTACTTCAGTCACCACAGTGGATTGATTTCTGCAAGACCTTGGCAGCAAGGAAAAACTATCTGCATATTAGGGTTTTAGTTTGGTTTGGTTTTTTGTGTGATGTTTATTTGACCACAATGAAACTCTAGGAAATATGGGCTTGAATTTTAATGGTTTTCATTTAAAAAACAGGTTTTAGTATGTTTAAAAACACTAAAATTCTTTCTATTAAAATTAGAGGAATATTTAAAATTGCAGAAAGTTTTGTCTTCTTGTAGCCTTATGTAGAGCCTTCTCTGCATTATGAATGCTATCCACAACTTGTGATAATGCTGATGTAGCAGTAGCTGTCTAGTAATTGTGATACTCATGGTATATATGCCTCTGGCTCGTGCAGGTTACTTTTCCCATCAGGGTCTTGTTTCTCCTCGGGGTGGAGATCTTGATTGTCACAAATGCTGCTGGGGGACTGAATCCCAACTTCCAAGTGGGGGATATCATGTTCATTAGAGATCACATCAGCATGTTTGGCTTGGGAGGGCAGAATCCACTGCGTGGGCCAAATGATGAGAGGTAAGAAGGCATCAGCTCTACTACCAACTAATCCTTTCTTCCTCTGGCTGCAGGCTAGGACTGCCAGCTGTGTCTGCTGGCAAGTGTTTACTGAGAGGTAGAGTGTGGCTCCGGGTACACACAAGGGAAAAGTTAAAGCAGAAGCAGTAGGTTTGTGTGCTGTATCACCTCCCCTGTCTTCCACAAGCACCCTTCCTTGCTGTTGCTTACTCTTGCAAGCCTCTAACGAATTTATAAGCAAGCCTCCAGAAGGTTTTGTTTTACAAAAGAAGGCTTGTGATCCCTCTCCTGACATGGCCAGCCATACCATCTGCTGTAGAGACCTGCTTCTTTCTCTTCTTGTCAGTCCCCCTGTGTGCCAATTCCTCATAATTGAGCAGTCTGAACTGCAGTTTCCAGCCTGCATTTATCAACAGCCATTTCTGGTGTGATGGAACTGATACAAGAAAGGCCAGGCAGTAAGCTGACCTCAGAGCAAAGATAAAAATTCTAGACATCCTGATAACCACCTTCGTAGCCAGGTCATTAAACTGGTGTGCCTTTGTTAACATATATTCACTGAAGGCATCGGTCTGAGAGGCGGTTGTCTTGTCAGCTTCGTAAGGGACCTCTAGATCTGAGATTGACCTGCTGCTGGTTCAGCTGGGAAATCAGGTTTCCTATAGTAGCTGTGTAGTAGGATCTTTACCCTGTGGATGGGGCACAGAGGCTCTTTTGGCACATCCTCACCCCTGGACTGGTGTTGCCACCAGAAAAGTTGCTTAGAGCAGAAGGTTGGACTAGATGACCTTGAGGTCTTTGCCAGAATTAATCTGTAATCCTAAAATCTCTTTCAAAGGCACCTTTCAGACTGGCAGGGTGGAAGGCAACCAGTACCCTCAAGGTCATAGCAGTGCTGGGGGACAGATGGACCAGTGTTTACAAAAAAAAGCCCGTTGGCACTTTAATGGGGCTAAAAAGAGCATCAGGACGCATCCACTGGAGACTCAGGCTGAGGAAAGGAGAGCACATCAAATGTCAGGGTTGTCAAAATGTAAGCAGTAAAGAGCCAAGGCTGTCAAGAGCCTTATGGAAGGAAAGAAAGAGGCTGGACTGTGAAAAGTTGGTAAGAATAGCAAGAATTATTTCCTAACAAGCTGGCAGGAGAGAAGCCAGATGGAAGCCAGGTTTGTGAAGTCAGAGGATGGGTGAAGGAGGTGGTAGTTTATGAAAAAAGAGTGAGCTTAAATAACAATATGGTTAAATCTGTTATTGGGTTACTGCCTTCATTTGTAAAAAGAACATATTTACAGGACAGGCATCTGGAACTTCCTGGTTTCTCTCCAAAAACTTCTGTCCAAGAACAAGGTGATCTGCGTAGCTTCCTTTTACAATCAGTTTTCTGGATGTAATGCCAGAGCTGGTTCCTATTTCTGAAGAAATAGGAAAGGTGCTAGCAGCTGCCTCAGAGATAAACACTGTTCTGTGATTCAGATGTCAAGAGAACAGTACCCATCTGAAGAGGATTACCTTTACATCTTCATAGGTATTGGTGTGGTTTGAAGGAAAGAATGATAAAAAGCACAGAGGCCACATGGAGGAGTTTTTAAAGCTGTCTGGACTTGCATAATTGATGTGGAACAGAAGGAGAAATACCAATCAGTTGCACCTGGACAGCATTCAAAGGAAGCGTAGCTGTGGTGTTGCCTCTCCAAAGCAGCTTCCTGGTGAAGACTGCAGTGCTCTGGAAGGTGACTTTCGTCCTGCTGACCAAAATAGGCAAAAGGTCTTTGTGAATCAGCTTTCAAAGTATTGCAGAGCTTTAGCAGAGCAAACTTCTCCTAAAATCCAGTCCAGCTCAGCTACAAGGAAGGGTTTAAGCCCAACAGAGTAAAATCAGACACAGTATGAAGTGGAAAGGGAATGTACCACAAGAATCTGAGGACTGACTTCAATGAGTTGGAGATTGGCTTCTGCATTGCTGGCCTTCCTTCAGGAAAGAGAAGCTATTTTCATGGTTATAAGTAGTCACTGCCTCAGACCAAATGGGAAAGTTTTATTTTGTTTATGTAATACTTAATTCATATAAATATAAAATAAGCCACCTTACTGCTCTAAACATTCAGCTGGAAAAATATGGAAACAGCAGGAGATTTAATAGCCCAGATGAGTGACTGGTCCACTCCTATGGAACTGGGTTGGTGAACATGGCTGGGAGCTTATTTTCTAGATTTCCTCAGGAGCAGCATGTCAGTCTTCTACTCTGGGGCTGGCACGTGCAATGTAAGACCTACAGGATGGATGCATACTCTGGATGGGCATCTCAAATGGGCAATTTAATTGTACTTTCATCCTAAAGAAGCTTCCAAGCTTGTGCTTGGTGTGATTTTGTTATGCCAGTAATCAAATGCAGAAGTGGATGCTCTTTCCTGGGATGTATTTTCTGGCTATGAAACTTGGTTCATCTTCCTAAGAGAATCTTTCCTTGAAGTCCCTTCAAACTGGTCTAATGTAAACAGTAAAGTGGAAAGATCTAAATCTCATCTGATTTATCCAGTGCATCCAATTCTTTGTTTCAAGCATACGGCTGTCAGTGTGGGGACAGGACAGCCCTTGCTGCTATGGTACAGACCATCCCTGCTGTGAGCCTGGTTATGTAGCTGCCTGCTGCCATGAGCCCTAATTGTGGTAACTGATACTCCATCAGGCCCTGCTCAAACCCTCTCACTGGGCTGTTTTTTGTACCTTGGTGCTACAGTGACCCTATCTGCAAGCTCTTGTGCAGGAGAAGCAAAGAGCAGCATCTGTCTGATGAGCAAGGTTTAAAAGCCACCATGGGCAGTTACTGGGGAGACAGAACTAGCTGTCAGTGCTCCCTGGAGATGGAAGTCTCTTGGAAGACTATTCCAGCAGGGTTGGTGCAGTAGGAAAGCAGTGCCAGACCTTCCAACAGTCATAACCTCTGCACATTGAGTGTTTTGAGTTATTAGATCTAGGAGGAATGCCATGATGGCAGAATTACCTGATGGTGAGGCTGGAATGAGAGATTGCATCCATGGCAGGTCTGTCCTTTACATTTCCCACTTCTCTAAAGGATGAGCATCCAGGATCTCTGATGGAGGGAAGGTAGCAGTAGCAATATCTCATGGCTACGCCCTTTCCTGATTTGCAGGTTTGGAGTGAGGTTTCCCTGCATGTCAGATGCTTACGAACAAGACCTGCTTGGCCTGGCAGTAGAGAGTGCTCAGGAGCTGGGCTTTGTGAGCTTCACCCGAGAAGGAGTGTACTGCCAGCTGGCTGGTCCCTCCTATGAAACCATTGCTGAGTGCCGTGTGCTGCAGGCCTTGGGAGCAGATGCTGTAGGTAAGATGCCTGGGCTGGGAAGTTTGGTTGGGCACATGGATTGAACAATTCTGCTCAACACTGAGTTTCTTCAGTCTTTGACTTTCTAAGTCTCCTGGGCCCAGAGAATGAGCTCCGTGTTTCTGCTTAGTTTTGCAGTGTCTTAGTGCAGCTTCTCGGGTGGATCTGCAGAAAGCCCCTATGCTTATGGCTGCCCAGGTCAGGGATCTGAGAATGATGTTTTATTTCCCATGCTCAGATGGCTTAACTTCAGCAGGACTGAGTGGGCCCCATCTGAAATAGTCATATTCTTTTTTTTTTTTTTAATCCTGATACTGAAGATTTTCACTGTCTCCCTTCCCTACAAAGCAACCCTCTGCAGCCTTGGAGAGATCTTGGTTTTGTGGAAATCCTGCCTCATTCTGCTCCTTTTCTCTCCTACCATAGGCATGAGCACAATCCCAGAAGTAATTGTAGCCAGGCACTGCGGCCTCCGTGTTCTTGGGATCTCCCTCATCACAAACAAGGTGGTGATGAGCTACAACAGTCAAGAGAAAGCCAACCATGAGGAAGTGCTGCGCATCTCGGTGGTCCGGGCTGAAGCCTTGAAGAAACTGGTCACGCACCTCCTTGGCAAACTGGGGGAAAGCACAAACCCTTTGTGACCTCCACCCTTTTGTTGCTTGTATCCTAATGTGTGAACACTAACAAATGGTGTTGGTGAGATTGTTGTCTGATGTTGAATAGACCTGCTGATTTTTGTACCTGTGCTTTAGCTGTTCAGGTGCAGAGGCTTGCTTTGCATTTTGCCAGACTGATCCCCTTGTTAGTAGCCAGTGACCAAAATGGCTTTCTGGGACAGAAAGAGTTGGACCTCTGTCAGATTCCCAAGTCCACATCAGCAATGAGTCCCTTGGTGCTGTGAGCTCCATCTCCCCCATCATTTTGCTGCAGAGCTGTTTGTGTTTCTTGCCCATGGTACCGCCTCTCTCAGCGCAGCATCTTCCTTGCCTGAGTGTTCGCTCCCCCTATGTCATGGGCTGGATTGAGAGCTGGTCACAAGGCTTGGTGCTGCTGCGTATGTTTCAGTAGGGCCTGATCTGAAGCCAGTGGAAGACCACAGAAAGACTGAGTTTTGGGTGAGGACCTGGATACAAGCCATGCTGTAAAGCAGGTGAAGGATGCCGCATAGGGATTCTTCTATCAGTGACTGCAGCAACAGGACAAGGGTTAATATATTTACACTTAAACGGGGGAAGTTCAAGTTAGATATAAGGAAAAAAAGTTCTTTACTGTGAGGGTGGTGGGGCCCTGGCACGGGTTGCCCAGAGAAGTGGTGAATACCCCATCTTTGGCAGTGTTCAAGTCCAGGCTGGTGACATGGTCAAGTGTGAGGCATCCCTGCCCATGGCAGGGGATTGGAACTAGGTGATCTCAAGGTCCTTTCCAGACCAAACCATTCTATGATTCTATAATCACAGATGATTTTTCCAGCTTGGGAAAACACTGCATCCCCACGTGCGGGTTGGTGTTTCCTTTCCCTCCCAGAAGGCCTCCCCTAAAAGCCCTCTTTTTACCCTCTTTTTGGCTCTTCATCACTGGTTGACAGAGCCTGCTGCCAGCATCCCCTCACACCTCTCTGCTCTATTTTGGGCCTTGTTGCCCCTTTTTAAAGGGGGTGAAAGCAGCATGACTTATCCATGCACCATATAAAATTAGCCAAGCTGGAAAGAGGATCCAGGTCCAGCTTGGCCTGGTTTTGTTCCTTCTGTTTCTGAATGACTTGGAGACCAGCCGCTTGGACCGCTTGCACTGGGTACCAGTTACATTTTGGTGTCTCAAAGAAGAGATCAGTTTGATCCAGTGTTTCACCCCAGCTTTGCCCTGCTGCAGTACCTGAAGCACCAGATTTGTGTTGGAACACCAATTGTTTATGGGGTTTAGTGATGTGAGATTACAGTGGGGATTATTTTGGAACAGGTATGATACCTTTCTGACTATCCCACTCCCCTTACGTGGAGAAGTTGAGCCTAGCAGAGAGTAAAAGAAAAGCAGGAGAGGCCACCATGATCTTTTTTACCAGTGTGGTGGTGGTCTATCAAGGAAAGGTGAATAGCACCAGGACGGTGTGTTATACATTGTTGCCCAAAGGTCAAGCTGAGCTGTGGATGCAGCTGGATGTAAAACAGCAACTATAATTATTAGGTAACCTTTTCCCCTTCATTTATCTTGGAGCTCTCTGTAAAGCCCATCACTGTCATAGTTAAATGTTTTCAGCTGACACAGTGGTCTGAACTGAAGACACCTAACTGGTCATGGGGAGCTCCAGTCTGCCTTCCTAAATTTAGCTGATCAGTTGTTTACCACCGATACTTTGCTCTCCATCGCAGCCTTCAGACTTCTGTGACATTTCTTTAGGACATTGTGGCCTGGTGAGTTTTTATTCCAGATGGGTATTTGCTTGAAGCCCTTATGCTGCAATTAGTAGCGTGAGCTGTTGTATTAACAATGCAGATGTTGCCTCCAGGAGGAATAGAGTTGTGCTATGCATGTTTTTTCTTAAATGGTAGCACCTCAGGTACAGGAGAAACCTTGGATTGGCCACTCTATTCCCTTCTCTCCTGGGCAGGGCTACCTGTGCTCAGACCCAACAAGAATCTGCCCAGACTAGTCTTGAGGACTTGTGAAGGGGAAGTGTTCCTTGCCTGTGCTCTACTCACTAGCCAAGTAGCTTGATCAGCAGCTCCTAGCACTTGGAGGAACCCTCTGACACAGCAACTCTTCCTATTTGGTGGGTTTGACTGTCAAGGCAGTCTCAGGGCCCAGACCTTTGGTGGTAGTATGTGAAGGGAAAGAAAGTCCACCTCCTTTTTCCATGAAGCTTTTCAGATCTATCAGCTCTGAAGTGCTCCTCAATAGTGGCTGTGAAAGCAGTGAAATATGAAAAATGGCAGATGTGCAGAGCAAGAAGGAACCACTTCTACCTGCTCCCTTTTCAGACTTGTTCCCAGTATGGACTTGTTACAGAATAGAGAGAGAGCAAGTAATTTCCTGTTCCTAGAAAATGGTGCTTCATATTCATTTAATACTTGGTAGATACAGAGTCTCTGAAGGCTGAGTGGAAAGCAGCTGTGCAGCTAGAGAGCAGGCAGAGTAGCTGAGGCTGGGATTTGAGCAGCCTCCATTCATTACCCAGTCAGGCTGGACTGCAACGTGAAGGGAAGCATCCAAAACATCTGCTTTTGCACTGATGAGGAGCTCAGCACCTGCTTTTGGTCTGCTGGATCTGCTCCAGCTGTGCCAGAGGCAGTGTGGAACCCATACCATACAACTTAAATACAGCTGAAAACTTGACCTGAACATTGCCCTGTGATGAAATCTTTGGCAAATTGTGTCTGGTTTAAAACCTATTTTGTAAATAGCATTTCAACTCTTAAACACTTAAGGGCTCTTCTTTCTGCTGTGCAAGAGCAACTTGTACAGTTCAAACTCTGCATGAACATCTTGATTTTATCCCTATAAATGAAACGGAAGATGCCCTGGGCACTTTGGAAGGCGTCTTGCCATGGTTTAGGGGGAGAGAGGGGTCATCTGGCTTTGGAGATACTCCTAATCCAACTGTTAGTTGTTTTTTACTGCTAATGCGTTTCAAATGCTGACATACAGTGATGCCAGGGAGAAGGAGAAACTGGGAGGAAATAAAACCTGCTGTGCTCCTGAAACTGTTTTTGTTTGCTATGCCAATACCTTGGAAGGAAGGATTTCCTTGGCTATACACCTGTATCCACACACCACCCTCACCCGCCCCCCTCCCCCCCCCGCCCCGTGCTGAAAGGCAGCCCTGAGGGACTAGGGCTCAAAGTTCAGCATCAGCAGGACCAGCATTTCCCTAGTGCTTTGCACAGGTATTTCTTACTGATCCCACTAAGCCAAGGAACTCTTGGAAAAAAAAAAACCTGGAGGACCAAAGGATTACAACTAATTCTTTAGCAGCTGAAAGGTGCGATGGGCTGTGGCAGTGCCAGTGCAGCTGGTCATCTGTGCTGGAGGCAGGACACAGTTTCTTTGGTGCTGTGCCTTTTATTTTCTGACAGCATCCGTGGCTGAAATTAGTAGATTTTGAGACAACCTCAGTTTTTTTTTCATTCCTGTATTCTGTGACATTTATCTACTGCTGAAATTCAAGTTGTTGTGGTCATAGGAGTAAGTTGGAAGATTCAAACAAAGCTAAAAAAAAGTGGAAAGTGCAGAAAGAATCCCAAATTACATGACTGATCCTGGTACTGTGGGTACCAATAAGCTCAGGTGCTGCCTGCTTAGTGAATGCCAACACTGTAGGCACTCCCTTGATGCCGTACCCATGGCAGGGGGATCCGTGAAAGCCTTGTTGAGTGTGATCAGAGCTGGCACAGCTCCACCTTCTCTCTCTCTCTCGCAGCCATGGTTCTATGAGCCACCCCTTTCCTTTTCCTTGCTCATCAACCCACAGAAAATTTCTCAGGTCATGGGGTCCTGCTGCTTCCAGTCCCTGGAGAAGATGGAGATGTTCTAGTGATGCCCTTGTCTGTGATTCACATAAAAGGATGATGGCAAGAGGAAAAACATCTGATCCAACCCTTGGCTGGACGATATCATAAAATCACCAAATAAATGAGGTTGGAGAAGACCTTTAAGATCACCAAGTCGAACCATTCCCCAGCACTGCCAAGGCCACCACTAAGCCATGTCACAAAGGGCCTCATCTGCATGGTTTGTAAGCACTTCCAGGGAAGGTGACTCCACCACTGCCCTGTGCAGCCTGTTGCGATGCCTGAACACCCTTACGGGAGAAATTGTTCCTTGTCTCCAGTCTAAACCTCCCCTGGTGCAACTTGAGGCTGTTTCCTTTTGTCCTACCCCTTGTTACGTCAGAGAAGAGACTGACCCCCACCTCATTACAGCCTCCTTTCAGGCAGTTGTACAGAGCTGTAAGGTCCCCCCTAAGCCTTCTCCAGACTAAATCCCCCCAGGTCCCTCATCCATGTGTTTTTAAGCAAAAATCTGCCGTTATCTGAGAAACAACCCTGCAATCTCCCTAGAAGGTGTGACCATGAGATCCATCCCATTTCCTTTGCACTCATTTCTACATAAAGGCAAAAGAGAAAGCTTTTAAAAATGGTGTTATATTTCTCACCTCAGCAACTGAACATATGCTAAGCTTCAAGTAACCAAAATTTCCTTAGAGGTTTCTCTTTACTGAAAACCTGCAGTTGAATCAAGGAGTTTTTCCTATGGTGGTGAGATGTTTTGGGTTTGGGGTTATTTTTTGTTCTTTTCAAAAGCTTAAGATTTTCACTGCTGGTATTTCATATGCTGGAAAGAATTAAGCTCCTCCCTGCCATGCTGAATAGGCAGGGCAAGGGGGAGCAATGCAGGGCACAGCAGTGAGATGGTCTCGGTTTGTTCCCGAATTAAAGCCTGACACTGAAAGCAGTGAAATAGTCTATTCTTTCCAATATCTGATGGCACTTGCAGCTAGGAGCTGGTTTAAGAGCCAGGACACAGGTGAAGGCCAGATGAAACCATCCAGCCTGTTCTTTAGCAGAGGGAACATCCCCTCCTGCCCCTGGCTATGCCTGGACACCCATGCAGGGAGATGGCAGGCTTCTAGGTGCCAAATTGAAGCAACTTCGGGTCTTCATCAGCAGAATTGGGTGTCCTGGAGCAGCGTGATTGTGATGGGCTGTTGATCCAGACAGACCCCTGCTGTGGGTTGGGGCTCTGCTCCCTGCAGACTGGGTGATGGACCAGTAATGGGGACCCCTCTGCCCCTTCTCTCCCCTGCCCAAGCACAACTGGGGAGATGTCCTTAAACCCTGC